CCTAAGGAGATGGGTATATGGATGATATCCATCTTTTAACTTGATCTTTTTATATTTTGGTAAAGTAGAGCAACACTTTTTGAGATTTGTCAAAAGAACGCTCAGAGAAAAGTTTGGCTATTTTGAGACAGTGACACCCCCTCAAGTTTGATACAGCTACCAAATATACCCTAATGATAATAAATTAACATTTTTACCCTTTGACTTTTATATTGAACAATTTAAATGTTAAAATGACTTTTCTACCTATAATCATTTCTATCCTTCTCTCCTTTTCTCTTCCTCCGCCTCAACACCAACACGCACATATATATAATAATACTTAGGTCCTCACTAGTGAGGATCTACAATATATTAACCACTGATGTGTACCAATATTAAATGGACACATCATTTTTAATTATCAAATTAAAGATGGTGGATAGATATTTACTTACCAAATCAGATATAGTGATTTGATTACCATCTATAATTTGATAATTAAAACACAATGTGTCAATTTATTATTGGTATACATCAGTGATCAGTATGTTGTAAATCTTCATTAGTGATGACCTAAGTATTGTCCGTATATATATACATACACCCTAACACACACACATATATATATATGTACACACACACACGCACACACACACATACACACACACACACACACACAAGGCGGCGGTGATGACAGCGAGCTGCCTCTCCTAATCGTCGGCAACTCTAGATATGCCGGTCTACTTTCGATTCTATTAACCCATAGAAACCCATAGTCACTGATGAGATAAGTGCAGCGATGGTTCGGCTGGAGGAGGGCTTGGTCATGATAGGCGATGGCAGAGATGATGTCGATGGGCTGGTTCGCGACAGAGAGCGCGAAACAGCGGTGGACGGAGCGGTGGTGACAAGGACAGTTCGAGGCGCGGCACCGGCAGGCAAGGAGAACTCGGCTGATCGAGATGGACTGGTTCAACCGTGGATGAATTGGCGGCGGCTCAGATGAGGGTGACGGCAGAGAGATTCAGCTTTGATGATGGAGGCTGTAATGGAGATGACGGCGAGCTCGGTGATGTGCAAAGCTGAAGACGGTGATGTGATGGCTTGGGCGTGGATGATGATGACGACGAGCTCGGCTTTGGATGATGGTGGCTGGAAAGTAAGGACAGCCAGAGAGAAAAATCCGGCGGTGATGGCTAAACTGTTCTGTAAATGGGTTGCTCGTTTTTTTTTTGCCTTGTAATTAAATTGGTGGTGATGATTAGTGGTGATGAGAGAAAATAAATTGCTGGAATACGCAGGGGTGGTTGTTGGGGTGGAGATGGTAGCGGTGGTTTGGGGGTGAGGATGGTGGTGGTTGTGGATTTTGGTGTGGTGGTGGAGCCAGAATCTGGTTGTAGGGTTATGGGTTGTAAGATTGATAGGGTGCTGAGGGTAATTTGGTCATTTAAGTATTTTGATATTTTATTAATAGAATATTGAAGGGTAAAATAAACTTTTCGTATGTTTTAAAGCTCTGTTTGGATGACAAATTTCACAAAGGGGTGTGATTGTTCCAAAATAGACAAACTTTCACAAGGGGATGTGATTATTTCAAAATAGACAAACTTTCATCTGAATATCCTTTTGACAAACCTCATAGAACTGCCTTTGTATTTTACCTTTTAATTTTTTTTTTTTATTGAGTGTGTATACGTGGGAATGGTATGAGCGGGTCTCATCGTTGGAGACTGTCCATGGTTTAGGGGATTGTTTTGGTGTACATGAGCGAAGGTGAGTGTGTGTATTAACGAATTTATTATATGTATTTTTTTTTATTTTCTTATTTTATTAAATATCTTTTCTTATTACTATTATTTTTGGTCTTCTTTAATTTTATTTTTTTGGGTCATTTTTTATAAAATAACAAGAAAATCTAAAATTATTTTAAAAAACTGGTGCAAACTGAGGTGTAGTTTAGTCTCTAATATAACTTGTGTAAAGGCCTTAACATGCTTACAGGGATACTTAGGAACAACAGAATTGTACCTAAAGTGATTTTAAGTCTGTCATTTCTTATAAAAACGTGAATGAAACTTTAAGGGATATTTTATTTAATTTTGTAAAGAGAGTTCTCAAGAATTCATACAAAATTTTAAATTACTATAATATAATTTCATGAAAACATGGAATAAGTCATGAGATTAAATGGTAGTTTATCCTGTAAATAATTAATTCGTGTCGTTTTGGGTTGAGGTGGCTCAATTCGTGTAACCTGTTTAAATATATGTATCATAAATAAATTTACATTTAAGTTTAAAAATTTTAAATTAATCTAATCAGACAATATAATTGTTATCATCATTCCATTCTTAAGTATTTCATATTTTCAACCAAATAATAGAATGAAAATAAACATTTTATTCAATTCTCATTTTTATTCCATTCCTACACATAAAATGTAACACAAATATTGTAGTGCGTCGGTCCTTCATTAACTATTCCTTAAACATAAATAAGAAGGAAGATAGAGTCATAAAAATAGAGTGTTCCCTTCATCTTCCCCTCCTGATAATTTAGAGCATTTATTTAATCTTTACCATATCCGAAGAACAAAATAGAGACCTGTGCTATTCCCACCTATAATACGTAGAATCTTTATTGCATACAAATAAATATATGAAATCCCCTTTGCTTTTATGCTTTTAGATATACAATTTTTGCATTGCCTCTCTTGTATTTAAGACAAATTTAATGGAAAAAAGTTGAAAAACTCTACTTGCCGGGCAAATGAGTTATGCCCTCAATTAAATCAAAATTTCTATTTTTGCTTTGTCTTCAACACTAATTTTTCTTTAAATTCTTGATAGATTGGAAAACTCAATATCTATCAACAATTGGGCATTGTTTTTATCTTCTTTTAAAAAAAAAGTAAATTGGACCTTTCATAGCGTGGTTTGACGTACCTGCAGATTTTTTTATTTAGCAAAAATTATTATTTTCTTCTTCTCAATTTCACTTAGATATAATCCCACTTGATTACAGAATTAAATTCTTTATATAATACATAAAAATTTGATACATTTTTATTTACATTAGTTTATTCTATATTATATTATATATCTAATATAATTTACACACCTACTTGAATTTAAAGTTTGAAAAATAGACAAGTAAAAATTCTATCATATTTAAATAATATTGTCACCTGCTTTTAAAATATTTACATACAAATAAATAGAGATACCACAAAAAATTCAATTCCAAGTCCGAGAAGAACTCCAGGAAAAAAGAAAATCATTTGTCAACTCAGATGTACATATTTTCTGTTACTCCTTACATATAAACATGTGTGTGTATTTGTGAATCAATCAATATGAAAGCATGATCAATTATGCTATTAATAATGTTCTAGTACCTGATGTTCTAGTACCCTTCTGATGGTATAAAATATAAGGTCTGAATAAACATTTAAATTTGGTCTGTACTTAATTTCTTGTTAGAACTTGTTTCAAATCAATGATAATGTTGCTGTTGTCTGGAGTATATTTTTGGGGTTAAGAAACTCTCCAGTCTATCTATATTTGCAGTGAATGAATAATTTTTGTCTGGTGTTTTTTCCTGCCCCTTGTAAGAATACATCAATAACTTTGCTCTTTACCCTGTTCATATAGTTGCAGACTGTCCTACTTTGCAATGCGATGCTTTTATATATATATATATATATTTCTTTTTACCTGGCAAATAACATATCCATACATTTAGAGTAGATGGTGGTTAACACCCTCAACCTTCCACTTTGGGAGATAAGGAGGTTTCAGTGGGTACAATCTTTGGTTGTTGCAATGTGATTCAATTGAGTAACCATAGTAAAAAGTGCTTGTATTCTGCAGCTAAGTGCTCAACTGCTCATGTTTTAGTTCTATTCTGCCTTTTGCCCTGGGAGAGTTTCTCAAGAAGTATATTTCCAGTTTTCTTCAAAAATCTGATTTACTTACAAAGAAAATCATAGAAACAAAAAGTTTGGGTTATGATTTGCCATTCCTTAAACTGGAAAATTCTTATTTTAATTTACTTGATATTTTCTCTTTTATTTTGTAATATTTAATCTGGTTGTTAGGTGTTTCATCTGTTATTGCTTTGGCCGTTTCTGACTTTGTCTGCTTTTCTATCATTGTGCATACAGAACAGTGAAGCAATCTGACTTTCGGGCTGCAGAGCCTAATGGAGCCAAATAATGGTTATTATGTGGATCTGCTGTGTCTGTTGACGAGAAGGTTGGTTCTCCATGTGTACAATGTAAAAATTTAGATGGATTTTCTTTTTTTCCCCCTCTGTGCCAAGGAGAAGGTTGGCTGTGTATAATGTCTAAACAATGTATGTCTTCTAGACATAGTCTGCATATGGTAAATGTGCTCATAGTAATGTTCAAATAGCAAAAATTAGACTTTGGATGAAGATCATCTCATGTGATTGCAATCGAAAAATGTTGGTGGTTCCAAAAGACACCACGAGTTCTATTTGGGGCCCACGATAGTTGAAATCTAATTTGCTTTCACATGGTTGTGATGGTGGTCATACTGAAAAAATTTCTAGCTTATTTATATGCTTTTATTTTTGTTATTTCCATTTGGTGGGTTTTTGTTTTGTGCATACAGGGGGATGAAAATGCTAGAATAATCATCTTAGATGAGGATCATATCTGCAAAAGCATATAAAAAGAAAATCACTCATGAAATTGAGCATCTAATTGTGCTGTTATTCCGATGGTTGGTTTTATTCTTCATGCGTCATCCTGAAATAACTTGATTGTCCTTTTTTGGCTTCTGATTTGCAGTATCTTTTGGTCAAATTTGCAAGCATACGTGGCACAATTGTGTCCAAGTTTTGGAAATCGAGTGTCACCCGTGTGATTGCAGCCACAGATGCAAATGGTGCATGCAGCAGGACGCTGAAAGTTCTTATTGCGATTTTGAATGGGAAATGGATACTGAAGATTGACTGTAAGCTCTGATTATGTGTTTCAGTTTGTTATTTATCTAAGTTCAAATTGTTTCATCTTTTTATCTTCGCTGCTGGGTAAAGAGCATAGTTAATTCCTTCACTTTTCTGTGTGTGCGGAATGCGGTGAAAGAAATTATTGGTCGGTCATTTTTGCATTGTAAATGTGATGTTTACTAACAATGAAAAAGATAATTCCACCGCCCACCCTGCCCACCCCCCTTGGAAGATGAAGAAGAAAAAGGAAAGAAAATTATATGATGTTTGAGTTACCAGTTCATCAATCTGGACTCATTTATGATCCTTTTTTCCATCTCTGATACAGCTTGATTTCTGGGTCCGCTGGGATAAAAGCATGCATGGAAGCTAAGAAACAGGTGGAAGAAGAAACTTACGAAGTTAGCCTGGACAGTCATGACTGTTGTGATGGCCCCAAAACTAGAAGACCGAGGGCATCGGATAATGTAAGAGCATGATGAAAGAAATAACAATTATTTTTTATGTTTTTGCACATGGCTGGGAACTTGAATAGAGTGACTAGAAAATAATTCATTTCCATATATATTTTTTTTCGTTTGGCAAGAAACTTAATCACCCACTTTGCCCTTATGGTACTTAAACCTTCAAACTTTCTACTTGCGAAAGGTGAGGAAGTACCAATGGGCTATAGGCTATAGCTCTTGGTAAATGAGGTATTTTTTGTGTCAATAATCGGAGAAGTTGATAATTTGAGTCAATCTAATTTCATTGTGTGATTTTGGACAATGGGATTAAAGCACAAGATTTCAAGTTTCAAGTGAGATCTGAGTATTTTTTTTCTTGGGGCTGTTCTCTGATTTGGTTCCACTTTTGTGAATATACTGTTCGTGTATGTTTTTTGGTTTCCAATAGTTTGTTCATCAACTTGGTGGTCAAAATTCAGGTTTCTGGTGTGTCATCTTCTATAATTTATCCTTTTACTCAATCGAGTTTTCAGTGAGTGTTCTGTTTCCTTTGCAGGCACCAAAGCTGCTCTTCAACGGGTTGGTTTTTATTTCTGTGGGGACTTTTGGGCAGCTTACAAGGAAGAACTCCAAGCTCTTGTTAAAACTGCAGGTGGTAGTGGCACGAAGTAATGCTACCCATGCAACTTCTTCAACTACCCTAGTCGTTCATAATCTTGATCCGCCACACTGGTGCCAGCCAGGAGAAGGGGGTTCTTTTGCAGCACAAAGGCTAGAGAAAGCTAATGAAATAGGGTGTAAAGTCATTGGGCACACATGGTGGCTTCTGGAATCAATTGCAGCATGTAAGCTGAGGTGGAATATGTAATGCAGATGATTTTTTGTACAATGGCCCTGGCCCTTCAAGACTTATCCAAGCTGTCCCATCACACGAAGAACATATAATACATTCCAGTATCCCTTTCATTTATTCATTATACATCAACATAGTTCATCTCATGGTGAAACATTCACATACCATTTAATCCAATTATCATAATTATAGTTCAAAAAATATATGATTAAGATTTAAAATCCATATCTTACAACGTTTAGACAGCTTATATTAAAGTTATAGTCCATAAATATAATTACAATAACGAGAGTCCACAAATCTCTATATCAAATGTAACAAACTAAGGTTTTACAAAAACATATGGGACTTGAATACAAAAATAGCAAAATGGTCTTTTAATTCAAATTAGGCCTGTTGTGGAACGTCATCAGTCACTTCATTCTCATTTCCTGAAAAATGTTAAAATGAAGGGGTAAGCATAATGTCACGCCCCGTCTATGGAGGTTGTACCACGCAGGCGACACGCAGACGCTAAGGAGGACGCTGCATGGCAACTGCATGGCAAGTGGAGTTTCTAGAGTCTTCCGGAGTAGTCTAGAGTTGTGTGGAAGATTCTAGATATGTGTAGTATATTCTAGAAGTGTGTGGAAGGTTCTAGAATTCTTCAGAATTGTGTGGAGTAGTATGGAGGGTTCTAGAATGTTGTAAATATGTATGGAGATGTGTAGAAGGTGGAAGAAGATTCTAGAGAATCAATCTTCACCGTTGGTTAGAATGCATCCTAGCCATCCATTAGGGATGGGGATGCCTATAAATAGGAGTAGGACTTCATTTTGCAAACAACAAGTCCTAGAGTGAGTCTTGAGAGCCTTGTAGAGAGCTTGAGTGTTAGCCTTGTACAAAGCATTCTTTGAAGTAATAGAAGTGTTATTTCCTTGCCAACTTAAGTGCCTTAGTGTGTGTGAGTGTGCAAGCCAAGTGAGGAGAGGGCGAGGGCAACTACAACACTAGTAAGCGCACGAGGGGAGTGTGTTGGCTAAGGTGTGCATGGGAGTTAGGCTGACCAAGTACTTGCGAGAGTAAAAGCAACGTCTTGGTGCCGCACGGGAGCAGCTAGAGTGGTGCTGAAACTCTAAGCCCGTGACAATAAGCTCAGTAGGAGGTGCCTAAGGTACACCTCTTGAGACTCCGTGAATCTACATAATGAATAGTAATAAGGAAATTGGGACCATATCATGTCGGGAGTAAAAATATGATTACGATAACACATTATTAATCCAATACCACAAATAAATATGCTATGCAATGAGATGCCATGTAATGTCACTCCCCGTTTTTTAAAACCATTTCCATCATCATTTTCAAACCGTTAGTGAACCCGTCCCATGGCAACTCCATGGCGGCACGAGAGGTGGATTGGCCATTGTCCCTGACCCATGTCAACTCCATGGCGTCATTTGGGGCCCAGGTAACAAAACCACGCTAGGGCAATATCCCTAGTCCCCTCTAGGCCTCACTAACGCTGCGGTCCCTGAGCAACTCTTAGGCGACTGGGTTTTTCACAAAATCCTTTTCAAAATTCTTTCCCAAATATATATATATATTTCTATCTCTTTCCCAATGAAGTGCATAGATAGTTTATGCCTTTTATGTCATATCAACATGTATCATCACACACTAATTTTAAGATTTAACTACTTAGCATGCTTCACAAGAAGTTTCAAAGAAATAACATACTTCCTTTAACAAGATTCTAACCTGGTAAGCAAGTAAGACATGAAATTAAATTCATATAAACATGCTATTTCATGTAACACCAATTGAAATACACAGACACATATCTCATTACAACAATATGATCATTTTAAGGAAAACTAACACAATTTAATATGCTCGACAACAAATCAAGTAAGATGATTCACAAAGGAGCGAGAAAAAGTGAATTAAGAACTCCTACCTTCAAAATTATGAAAATCCTCAAATTTTGTGCCCTAGTTTTGAAATCCCTAGAGTTGGCCAAATAAGGAATTGTTTATACCCACGCGTAGATCTCGCCGTGCTCTCCGATTTGCCGCAAACGGCAGCAAAAAATATCACTTGGTGAAGGAGAAATCAAGGCGTGAAGTTTGTAGGAAAAAGAAAAGAAAAAGAAAAACAGAGAAGGAAAGAAAAGCTGCGTGAGGGAGATGAGAGAAATGGGACTGTAATGACCCTTTGTCATGCAATGACTTAAAATATCAGCAGGCTCCATTAATTAAAAGAATTTCTTTTATATATACATATATAGCACAAACATTACTGCATAGACTTGGATACAATTCATCTATGGATGATTACAAGGTGGTGTAACTTTTCCATAAGTATATTGATATATTTGACAAACTTGTACACATTACTTTTCCTCATACTATGTACACATTTTTTTTGATACCTAAAAGCAGATAAATCATCTGTTACGCGGAAACAAAGCATTTTATCAATAACTCTTCCTGCCTGATTTGATAAGTAGTGTAGCACTTGTAAAGTTAGAGTCTTGAGTGAAGTCTCTACGTGAATTTAGGTGTCGCTCAATTCGTCCAAGCACACCTAAATCATAACAACAAATGTGAGAGAGTTATTTTCACGTGCGACTCTCAGACTTTACTTCGATCTTAACTACAAATGTATGAGAGTCATTTTCATGTATGACTCGACCTTATTTCGTAGACTGCACTAAAACGTCCAATCACGATCTTCTAACTGCAACGATGGAACCCAATAATTCTCACTCCCGAATATATGAACTCGGATACAATTCATCTATAGATGATTACAATTTACAAGGTGGTGCAACTTTTCCATAATTATATTGATATATTTGTCAAACTTGTATATTTTACTTTTCCTCATGCATACATTTTTTTGATACCTAAAACTAGATAAATCATTTATCTATAAGTCTTCCTGCCTCATTAGCTTTACGGGGGTAATTAGAATACTCATTCATGTTGGTTTTTTGAGCCGTTTCTTTATTTGCATGCTTTCAAATGCAAATGTGCTCCTCAAAAAAAAAAAACTTGCATGCCTAATAACCCAAGGACCATAAGTACTTGTGAAGTTGGTGACGTGAAAAGTCACAAATCTTTCGGAAGAGATCATCTTTGATGTACTCTCGTTTCCCAGTGAAGTCTCTCCGCTAATTTAGGTGCGTATTGAGATAATGACATACTCTAATATCAAACCTTTAATTCGTCCAAACAGACCTAAATCGCAACAACAAACGTGAGAGAGTTATTCTCATGTGTGACTCTCGACTTTACTTCGATCTTAACTACAAATATAAGAGGGTTATTCTCATGTGTGATTCGTGACTTTATTCCGTGAACTGCACTTAAGCATCCAATAACAATGTTGTGACTGCAACGAAGCTTGATTCCCCATCAATCGTGAGTTCTTGCAATGGCTTGATTTTACTTGTTCATAGAGAACAAACTTTCTTTTTTCTTTTTTCTTTTTATACCCATGAAACACAAAAAATTATCCCAAAATTCAAGAAATTACCCTCTTTCCGTTTTACCCTCCATCATCTCACTCCCAAAAAGAATGTATGGACTTCAGTACCATTCATCTATAGATGACTACAAGGTGGTGCAACTTTTCCATAATTATATTGATATATTTGACATACTTGTAAATTTTACTTTTCCTGGTACTATGTATGTATTTTTTCGATACCTAAGAGTAGATAAATCATTTGTTACCCATAAACAAAGCACTTTATCATCAGCATTTTATCAAACTTCTTATTATTGGTGTAGGTCACTTCCATAACTTTCACATAAATAGTCACATACACACCTAGGGGTGAAGTTGGGCAGCACCAACCCGAGGCTGATCCAAACCCAATGTAAACCCGAATTCAGGTGGGCTTGGCTTAGTCCAGGTCCGATCTAATTTCGGGTTCAGCATGTCAACCCGAATCCAAATATTTTCAAGTTGGGCTGGGCTGCCCCCCTTCGCACCAGCTTTCCTTTCCTTTGAGGGAGGAGAGAACCAGCTAGACAAATGCACCGGTAGCCACTGAAACATTTAGATTCCAAGGAACATTTAGAATCCAAGGAACCAAGAGAAAGTAATCTGACAAGTACTATGTGCCCAAATTGTTGTACCATTCCAAGTTTTCTTTCCAAACATGAAAAAGTGGACTGTTATTTCCTTTTGTACAAGAATCTTCAAGTCTCTGCACAAGCATTACTAGAAGAAATTTTCATTACTACATATGCAGAAGAGATTTACATTATATAAATTGAGATATTCTCAGCTGTAGTAATTTTTCAAAATAACATATGTCTCTCAGCTCCAAGACTAAAATCTCTCTCTACATAATCCATAGTGAAAAACCTTATGCAAAAATTTAGGATAAATGTATTTTTTGTTGATTTGACTAGAACATCAATCCATATGTCCCATAGATGCAAGATAAGAAAGTTGAATGCTGTAGGCTTCTTTCAGCTCTGCCAATACCTCTGAAATAGTAGGCCTCCGCGATGCGTCTCTCTCTACCGACCTTGAAGCAACAGAAGCTGCCTTTCTCATGCTCTCCATATCAAAGGTTCCCTTCAAGCTCTCGTCCACTATCTCAAATGCCCCTGCCTGCAAGTACGGCTTCGCCTGCAATTGGTGGGTGACCAATTCAATTTACTTGTATTTTTTTTATTCATCCATATCATTGTCTGCTAGATGTTCAGGGTTTTCAATATCAAAATTCTCTTCAGTAATGAGATGCATAAACAAGCAAATCTGATATATTTAACCTTAGGAAATCTGGTCTTTTGTATCACATAAGGCAGCTTATTGATAATATATGTTGAACAAATGGCTAGCCAAGACATCTAATATCATGTACAAGCAGAAACCAAAAACATGGGACATCTAATACAAGACAAACCGATGAATCACAGCATTAAAGCCAAACTTCACTCAAGTGTTAAAGCAGAGAGAGCACATCAAAGTCCTTTAATACCATCAAAATTTCAACTTTGAACATAGAAAAGAAAAAAAAAGAAAAGAAAAGAAAAAAAGATCTAATTGTTCCACTTGCTTTAGTCATATTTTTCACTTAAAAGATGTAAGATTGACAACCGAAAGTCAGGAAGGACGATAAAACTGTGTTAATTCTCAAAGGAACAAATGTATTAGAACCATAGCCACCCTTTGATAGTACTACTGAAGATATATGTAAACTATAAAAAGCATAAATAGATCAGATCTATATCTCCTACACTAACACTTAATATGGTACATTGGCAAACTAAGGATTAGCAGACATGATAAGAACTTATAGGTTTACCCATAAAACCAAATTGACGGAATCTGGAGTGCCAGAGTGACTTAATGGTTCTCGACCGCAGACGAGCTCCAGAAGAACAACCCCAAAACTATAGACGTCACTTTTCTCGGTTAGTTGTTGGGTGGAATAGTACCTGCACATGGATATAAAATTGAGTGTAGGGATGAAAATAGAGTCATCAAGAATGATGAAATGAGAAACACATACTCGGGATCAAGATAGCCAGCAGTGCCCTTAACAACAGTGGTCACATGAGTTGCATCTGCCTGGATTACTTGCTTAGAGAGGCCAAAATCACAGACCCTGGCATTCATCTCCATGTCCAAAAGGATATTGCTGCACTTCACATCGCGGTGTATGATTCGAGGATTGCTCCCATTGTGCAAGTAGTCCAACCCTTCAAAAGAAAAGGGGTTCAGCTTTGATCCATTAAATATTAATGATGTCCATCATCTATTGTACAATGCTAAATTATCCTAGCTAGGAACAAAATTGTTAATCAGGCAGGAAGTATCTTCTGGTCTCCATTAACAAATCATAACCTGATAAGTAGGATATCCAGCTCTCAATAATGATAAAATTATGGTCCACCAAAAACTTTACTGGAATTTGCTACTTTATAACTGGCAAAATATATTGGCATTCTAATTCCTCAGGAATACACTAGATCTCCAAAGAAATATTTGTCTATATATCTATTCTAAAAACAGCATGATTCTATTGGATAATTGGAATTGTCTACAGCCCCATTAGCAAGTTTAATACGTGTGTTTCAATCCCGATCACCACATTTGAGAACTGCTGTTTTGGCACAAAAGCTTCAATATGAGAATGATTTCTTAGGACCTAACTTCAAGACTTACTCATCTCACATCTGAGGAAAGGAAATTCAATTTTAAAGGTTTTTGCTTTCATTCATTATTTCCTTCTGTTTGTGTGTGCGTGTTTACTTTTTGTTTTTATTTGTTCAAGTTTTCCTATATAAATTTCGGTTAAAGGTTGGATATTTCACAAACAATTACCTTTTGCAGCATCAACAGCGATTTTCAGTCTGCGAACCCAGCTTAATGTTATTTTTTTACTGTTTGTACCTGAAACAGTAACTTATCTAATCATCAGAAACATTGTTAATAGTAAAATGGAGGCTTTACAGGCAGAATAAATTAACAGAATTTGAATACATGACTGGACTGAAGGAAAAAATAAACAGTAAGCATTTCCATGCATACCATACCATAAAGGTTATCAGCCAATGATCCACCAGGCAAATACTCGTAAACTAGTATTTGTTGCTTTGACTCTTGACAAAATCCTTCCAAAGATACAAGATTTTGGTGACGAATTTGTGACAAGAGACACACCTAGAAACAACCCATAAATGAAAGTGAGGCAGCTTTACATAAGATGATTCCTTCTTTAGATTGAATCTAATAGGTGAACCAGAGAATTCTGAAAACTCGGGGTAAAAAAGCCATGGGAATTGAACATGACTTTCAATCTCCAAACCATTATACTTGAAATCAAGAGTATCAACTATAAAACACCCAATGGCATATATGACTACAAAGTGCAAGCAAAAGGACCATCAATCACCACTAAAATTTATATTGAGATCAATCAGGATATACTAACAGTCACTAATTAAGAAAATAAAGGTCATCAGCCTGGCATGCCTTGTAAATGGTGTCACATAAAGTAAAATAGTGAAAGAGGTTAGATGATGAACCTCATTGATAAAAGAATCAGCCCCGAGTTGGGTTTTGTCAAACCGCACTTTTACAGCTACTACTTTCCCATCTGAAAGCTTTCCAAGGTAAACAGATCCAAAACTACCACGGCCTATAACCTGCTTAAAGTTATTTGTAGCAGCTTTGATTTCTTTGTAGGAAAAGGCTCTTGCTACATTCCAGTTCCGCATCTGTGTTTCAGCCCCTAACAATCCAAAAAATGATGCCTTATGAGAATAAACCAACAATTTGCAGTGGTGAAAATGATGTGAACTTTACATACCTGCACCATATGTCACTTCAGTTTTATTTCTCCTCGTGTACAAGAACACTGAAAGAGAAACAATGAGAGCAGCTAATACGGCTCCTCCTACTGCACCAAGTAAAATTGCTATATGATTATGACCATCATGCTTCTTTTTAGTAAAGACAGTGACTTGTGGCGTCTCAATTGAAGGATTGTTTGGAACATCATTGCATGTCGATGTGGAGAAAGCAAGGCACAAATTCCCTGTTGTTCTGCACAGAATTGATGAATCAAATTCTGATATATAGAGAATAAACAACCAGAATGTCACTCCATACCTAACTTCCAAACTTTCTCTGTTCAAAGACTCTGGAAGAGTGCCTTGTAATTTGTTGTATTCCAGATTCCTGAAGATCGCGGAAGAGTATATCAAATTTGTACATCACTGACTGATGCAGTTAATCTTACTTACACCTAGGTGAAGTTCCTTCATTGAATTTTTTAAATTGGGTGATCAGATAATGCTTACTTACAATAGGTGAAGGTCCTCCAACTCTCCCAAGCTTTCGGGAACTATTCCCTCTAACCTATTGTTTTGCAAGTCCCTCCATAGAAAACATGAAATGCAGTATTAGTATCACATTTTGGATCTATATATTGGTAAAGGACAATATTTTCTTTTTTCTCCCACTTATGTTAATTCAACTTTCCAGCAGAAGTACATAGCCCTAAAGATTTGAGATAACTTGAACTTACAAAATTTGAAGGTTAATTAAGTTTTCCAAATCCGAACCAAAGGATGTTAGCTGATTAAAACTCAGATTCCTGCAGTGTTCAGTTTATGCAATGTTTTAAGTAATGCTATATATAGAAAAAAAAATTGAACTATAAGCACAGCACTCTTTAGTGGGGCATTACAATTTTTCAAGATGCTGTAGGCTACCCAAGTTTTGTACCTCTCCTGCAAGTGATGTATTGTGCAAATCCCTGAACATAAGATCATAAAATAAATGCAAGAAGCATGGTAGTAATGATAACGAGTCATGAATTGCTAATAACAAGCTTACAGTGCTTTAAGATCCAGTAAATCACCAAATGTAGGACTGATTGACCTCAAGTTGATGTCAAAAAGCTCCCTAAGACAAAGTGAAAGCCAATATCAGTAACACAAGGAACAAAAAGAAAACACAACAAATCACCCATGTGGTAGTTGCATACAAAGAAGTAACCAAACTTCCTTCGCATCCAATACGATCCCAAGGTGAAGGTAAACATGGATCATCTTGCCACCCCAAATCTAAACCGGTCGATTGCTGAATAACCTGAAGTGCTGAGACTACAACAAAGATATCAACAAACCATGAGTATAATGAATGATCTTATCCATGGACAGAACATATCAAGAATGCAAAATTGAAAATGTAATAGTACCTGTAGTTGAAGAAGATTCCACAGGAATGTCAACAATCTCATAGACCTCAATTGCATTGACTTGGGGGTAGAAGCTGATGTTCTTCAATGTGATGTTCAAGCTCCTGATCCCCTTTTTGGTAAAGAATAGAGCACTGACTTCTGACATCTTCACGGTGTAGTTTGATTGAACAACATCCCCATTAATTAGCACATCAAACGATGGAGACACAGGAAGAATCCCAGCGAAATACAGGACAATATAGTAGTCTCCTAGAACATCAAGAGGGAGGTTATACATCAAATTACCCGCCCGTGCCAAAACTCTTGCAGTTTGAAGAACAGTGATAGGGGGACTCTCCTCAAGACTAGACAGATTGAAGCTAAGCTGAATATTGAACGCAGTTGACGGATGAAAGGGGGCATAATCTTCATCAGCATCCCAAATTCGATCATATGGATCCAAAGGGTATCTATTATTTCAAAAAAAAAAAAAAAAAAATGTAAAATAGAGAAGAAAAAAAAAAACTTGCATTGTTCCTCTAAGCAACACAATAAGAAGAGGTTGTATAAGTTCTTACTGCAGTGAGCCATTGGTGTAACCACAATTGATTCTGTAAGACTTCCTAAGTGACTTATTTTGGAGATCTCCCATTCCACTTCTGTAAGATGCTTGAGGAAGAGGCCGGACTTCGATAGAAGAAATAACAGGAAATCCTCCATCCGGGATTGATAGAAAACACAAAGGCAGAACGTCCTTATTGGCTGGCCATATGAACTCCTCGGTCCGTGGATCAGAAGTAGTAAGGTTTACAGTAGTGGTAATAGCTGTCCCAAGAGAAACAGAGAATGCTGGTGGTTTCCCAAGTCCGTCATAATTCCTATACACAAATTGGGCTCTAACAAGAACCAAGGATGACACATTCTTTACAGGTAGCCTATAACAATGTCGACCTTGGGAATCCGGGAAGAATCGTACGGGAAGATGAGATGAGGAGGTACCCTCAATGGAACCGACTGTAGTTGTGTTGCCACCACTAACATAAGTATCATCAGATTCCCATGAAATATTAGAAGAATCAATAAAGTTTGAAGTTCCACCACATGATAAACTCAAAAAACCTGTTTCATAATTCCATTGACATCATGTAAGCAACGTTTAAATCCAAGGTCTTATACATCCATTATCACAAAGCAAAGATAAGCGCTGTATTATAGATTATGTTAAGCATCAATAATAATTTAAAATATCCAAATTAAGCTGATTAAAGCATAATTCTTAAGCATCAAAGCAGACTAGAAATGTAATTTGTTGTGAAAGCCAACAACATAAATCAGTGAGACATTAAAAGGAATTAGTCCTCAATTAAAGTAAATGCTGAAAATTTCATAACCAAAAGAGTGTGAACTATGAAGGAAAATAAAAAAGACAAACAATAGATACCATCTTGATCACATAATGCGACTTTGCCAATGCCACAGAACAGTAAGAACCCAAACCAGAGACACCAGTGCAACCCCATGAAGAGTTCAAGACTACGCAAGAAGTGTTGATTCGGATTACGACGACTCATGAGAGGACAAATGTAATGGAAGAACAAGAAGGAAAAAAAAAGAGATGAAGATGGGATTGGTACAAATGGGTCATTTTTTTGTGGGTGACAAATTGATGAGTGTAATCGAGTAAAGTAAGGTCATGACAATGACGTTGTTGTGAGCTATAAAAAGGGCTGAAATGGAGGGTCTTGATGAGAGAGAAACTAGAGAGAGACAGTGATGATGATGAAGGCGTGGTCAGAGATGATGATTGTATAAAAGCAGAAAGATAATAGACAAGAAGAGAAAGGCCAACTAAACTGATTATGTTCAAGAACACCACCACCCTCCATCTCTCTCTAGTTCAAAAACATAAAATGTCCACTTCATGACACCTACCTTGCTAGATACGTTGTCATTCGGTTGAAAATTTGCAATCGCACACACCTACAATATTACTTGTAGGTTTGAACACTCCAACCAGGACGGATCTAGAAATTTATATAGAGGGGTTTTTTCATATTTTCAGTGGAGCAATTTTAAAATTTTATGGGTATAAATGCAAAAAAGTACAAATTTAAAAGTATAAAATGCAATAACAAAAAAATTAGAGTAGGGGCAAATGCCCCTACTGAACCATAGTACATTCGTACCCGACTCCAACTCAACTTTTGAGGAGGGGAGATCATACTATCGGATAAAATTAGATACATTTTGAGAATGTGGTAAAAATATATATATATATATATATGAATATATTTTCCAAATATTCTGATAGGACTTTTACATATATCTAATAAAATTACTGAAAATTCACCTAGAGATCAATGGGTGATTGAAAATTAGGACCCATTTGTATTACATAACATTTGACAGCCAAATTTTAATCCTATGGTAAATAAAACTTGCCCCTTCCAAAAACCTCAATTGAAGATACATTTCATAGGTTTAGAGTCACAGATCACCTTTTTTAATGAGAGAAATGATTTGCATCGGATGCTTGCACAACCAGCATCCAAGAAATGAATCATTGCATTAGTTCTCGTTTTTAGCTTTGCTTTCAAATTCAAACTCCATTTAGATTATCTTTCTCATGAAGGAAAATTACTTTCAGTACATAAAGATTATCTTTCTCATGAAGCCACAATCAATACATTCCACGGCCTAAGGAAACACACGGATATTAATGATGTCCACTGCCATCAGTTAAATTGACCATGCACTAATTGAATTCTGCCACTTTTTCCATTCTTCGTAGTAAGGTATGAATATAGAACATTGCTTTTTGCTTCAGCTTAAAGGTATTCACATTCATACCATTAGATTCATTTGGCTCTAGTGATGTACCCTCCTACAATAACATGGAAAGTTGAACATTCAAGTTGCATGTGAGTAATAATAGTATAAGGCTTGTTTTCGAAAAATTATTACATGTACCATCCGAGAGAGAGAAAAAACAAAAATTTATTACATGCCGATCACTAATTGACACACGCAAGCAGCTGTCATTCGAGCCTATGAAATTAGTAACATTATCCATGAACATATTGAGCAATATAATAGAGTATTCATGGTCTTAATAAAAGGAATGATAGGTGAATTAGTATAATTTGAAGAGGGTACAATGGGCATTGTATTGAATTTGGTTGGGTCAGGACGAATGGACCCAACAGGACTAAGTAATAATTTCTCTCACCTTAGGAAAGTGAAAGTACCACTAGATTACAAGACGCTTGTTGTCCTCTTTTTGATCCCGGCTAAACATTCATAACTCCCGGCTTAATCCTTCTTTCACTTACAAAGAAATGAGTTTTATGGGGATGTCCCTTTAAGCCATGATCCAAAAGGGTTCTTGATTAAAAAAATTCCTATTATTATGCCTCTTCTTATCCTCCTTTGTGAAAGAGAATAAGATTTTGGTTATCCTAACAACTACGGGTGGATAATGTGGAATAGGGGGAAAGCTCAAGATTAATCCACTAATAAGTAGCAGCGGAATACGGGAAAACTCTTGGATCACCAAGACTAATCACTACTAAGCAGCCACATCTCTCTGATCATACTAACCCTATCCAGGTAAAATACGATAGGAATCATACCTGAGAAAATCAGCCCTTAATTTATGAACAACTTTACCACAACATTACCCAAAGCAGACTAACTTGAACTTCTTGTCACATCATCTTGTCGCCTTCATCTACATCAAAGTGCAAGTCGGAGATTAAGCAGTGCAAGGATGGATAAAAAAAAGAAATTTTTTTTTTTTTTTTGGAAAAGTGATGCTAAATATTGTTGCTAGTTAAGACATCGTTAACTTTAACGCTTGGATTTGATATTGGTAGCTCACTGGAGATAGAAAAAACGTTCAACGTTAGCTCTCCTGCATCTAGCAAAAGTCCTGCATCTAGCCAAAGTGGTAATTGTTATCATCTTATACCCGCCTGAGAAATGCAGAAGTGGTAATTTTTATCAGCTTATACCCGCCTGAGAAATGCAAAAGTGGTAATTTTTATCAGCTTATACCCGTCTGAGAAGTGGCATTACTGATGCAGGTTAACAGTGTTGAAGGGAAAGGTGTTGGTGGTGGACAAGACAAGTGCTATTTACTCTCATATTTTCCTGTAGGTGCAAGATATAATTCCAACGGTCATACAGCTTAGTTGTAGGAGACGGAATTCAAAACCCAAAATCACAGACCACAGCACAAAAACTTGTGTCCAAGTGTATGGTGTAAACATCTCAAAAAAATTAGCCATCACTTTTCAAAAATCCTCAAGGCTCCTTCCAAACAGCAATCTCAAAAAAAAATTACCACTATAGTGGTTGCAATACCTTCACCTAAAATTGTAACAGTAATTTGAACCCCTCAGTCACTACTTAAATCACCATTTCATAGCCCAGAGCACTTGGCCATTGCTAAAGATATTCAATAAAATGTGTAATACTTGCTCACCATTGCTCACTTGGCCAGGGAAAAGAGAAAGTAACGGATGAAAATGAAACTAAACAGCAAGACAATAGGCCAAAAATAGATTATACCTGTAAATTAAATAAAAATGGGGCACCCACTAGTTGGAAAACAATAGAGCCACTTAAAACTATATAGAAGTCAGGTAGGGTCCTCGCATAATCAAAAAAGCTGAAACAAAATCCAACATACAATTCTCAACAATATTCTAAGCAACTAACAAAGACCAACAAACTTAGTACTTGACAGGAGCAAGAATGTCTAGTTGGGAACCAAGCTTCTCCTCCGCAGCCTTCTCAGCCTTGACCTTCAGTTTATTTAGCTGCTTCTTCCTCTCATATACCACCTGGGCCCTCTCTTTCCTCTTCTTCTCCAGCTCCTAAATACAACAGAATAAGGCGGACAAAAATTGCATTAGACTTTGCTGATCAAATACAAGTCTTTGTAGAACAATTACCAAGGAAATTGCAAGAAAATATAATTGCAACGATCATATTATACAGTATCCTTGGCTGAGTGAGACAGCTACGCGTAATGAATGCAATATGGGTGAGAATCATCAGACTATGCCAGCTAAACATGAATGCAAAAATCCTTTTAGGAGGAATAGCTGATAAATTCCAAATAAACCATTGTAATAGGTGTCCACAATGCATTGAGGCAACATTGTACTAATCAAATAATGTGGAAGGTGAAACAAGGCTGCATGGTATTATAATTCCATCATAGCAAATTATGGCAACATGGATGGAATTCAGGCTTTCTGCAGAACCATATTTCAAGAATATTATGAGGAAACACTGTAACCTCAACATTCAGAGGCTAATCATCATTGGGGCAAAATGCTACAAAAGCACACAGCAACCACCTAAATCAAATCAAAAACCAAGCCAAACACTATAATTCAAAGGTGCACCACAGAATCAATCATGTATTTGAGCAACTATATGAGAAGTCAAAATGAGAGCTCAACACACCATGTGTTACAAGATCAACATGGAACTGAGGTAATTATCTACCTGAAGTCATGGTAATTGCAATTTACCGGGCCTACCATGTGGCAAATATTGAACAAGGTAAACATGTATTGAAGTGGCACTGTAATTGTCACATCAAGTGGCAAATATTGAAGAAGGCAACATTATTATAACAAGGCTACATGGTATTATTTCTTTTTGATAAATTCTTTTTTTACTTATGTGTGTGTATATGTGCGTGTGGAATGTTCTTCTCATGGCCAATCCCAAGAGGTAATGGCAGATCTACTCCCCAAGGCGATAGGATATGAGAAGGCCTCCTTTGAAAGCAGGAAACTCAGGGAGTCTCAACTGCTAGGTCAAAAGGGGATTGATCTGTGACAATTTGTCTTTGGGCTTTACGAACATCGAATTTGTTAGCCCCAATTTTTAATAATATAATTGTCACAACCAATTCAAACACAAAATACAACCAGTACATAAACATATATATATATATAAACATGTTTCTATACATCATAGACAGAGAATGACGACTTCAGTGACGAAACCGAAGAGATAGAGCAGGCATTAGCCATGCGAAGCTAAACCCTGGAGGAGGCATCAGAAGTGCGAAGCTAAACACTAAAAAGAGGGAACTGCTTGTCCAAGGAAAACATGGTAAATTAAAGTGATAATCATTTCTAAAGTGACAATTCATTCAACATAAGATTTCACTGCAAGACAAAATGGCAAAAGAAAATAATGCATTGAGGTGACAATGTACTTATCAAATAATGTGGAAGGTGTTTTAACAAGGCTGCAAGGTATTATAATTCCATCATAGCAAATTATGGCAATATGGAAGGAATTCAGGCTTTCTGCAGAACCATATTTCAATAATATTATGAGGAAACACTGTAATCTCAACATTCAAAAGCTGAACATCATTAGGGCAACATGCCACAAAGCAACCACCTAAATCAAATAAAAAACCAACCACCTAAATCAAATAAAAAACCAAGCCAAACACTATAATTCAAAGGTGCACTACAGAATCAATCATGTATTTGAGCAACTATATGAGAAGTCAAAATGAGGGCTTACCACACCATGTGTTAGAAGATCATAGTTGTTTCCACATATAACATGGAACTGAGGTAATTATCTACCTAAAGTCATGGTAATTGCAATATAACGGGCCTACCATGTGGCAAATATTGAACAAGGTAAGCATGTATTGAAGTGGCACTGTAATTGTCGCATCAAGTGGCAAATATTGAAGAAGGCAACATTATTATAACAAGGCTACATGGTATTATTATTATTATTTTTATTTTTATTTATTTATTTATTTTTCTTACGTGTGTATATGTGCATGTGGAATGTTCTTCACATGGCCAATCCCAAGAGGTAATGGCAGATCTGCTCCCGAAGGCAATAGGATATGAGAAGGCCTCCTTTGAAAGCAGGAAACTCATGGAGACTCAACTGCTAGGTCAAAAGGGGCTTGTTCTGTGACAATTTGTCTTTGGGCTTTATATACATCGAATTTGTTTGCCCCAATATTTCATAATCTAATCGTCACAACCAATTCAAACATAAAATACAACCAGTACATATATATACATATACAACCAGTACATATATATACATATATATGTATATAAAGCCCAAAGACAAATTGTCACAGATCAAGCCCCTTTTGACCTAGCAGTATATATATATATATATATGTACTGGTTGTATTTTATGTTTGAATTGGTTGTGACGATTAGATTATGAAATATTGGGGCAAACAAATTCGATGTATATATATATATATGTGTGTGTGTGTGTGTGTATAAACATGTTTCTATACATCATAAACATGTTTCTATACATCATAGACAGAGAATGACGACAACTTCAGTGATGAAATCAAAGAGATAGAGAAGGCATAAGCCATGTGAAGCTAAACCCTGGAGGAGGCATCAGAAGTGCGAAGCTAAACCCTAAAAAGAGGGAACTGTTTGTCCAAGGAAAACATGGTAAATTAAAGTGATAATCATCTCCAAAGTGACCATTCATTCAACATAAGGTTTCACTGCAAGACAAAATGGCAAAAGAAAATAATGCATTGAGGTGGCATTGTACTTATCAAATAATGTGGAAGGTGTTTTAACAAGGCTGCAAGGTATTATAATTCCATCATAGCAAATTACGGTAATATGGAAGGAATTCAGGCTTTCTGCAGAACCATATTTCAAGAATATTATGGGGAAACACTGTAACCTCAACATTCAAAGGCTGAACATCATTGGGGTAACATGCCACAAAAGCACAAAGAAACCACCTAAATCAAATCAAAAACCAAGCCAAACACTATAATTCAAAGGTGCACTACAGAATCAATCATGTATTTGAGCAACTATATGAGACGTCAAAATGAGAGCTCACCACACCATGTGTTAGAAAATCATAGTTGTTTCCACATATAACATGGAACTGAGGTAATTATCTACCTAAAGTCATGGTAATTGCAATATACTGGGCCTACCATGTGGCAAATATTGAACAAGGTAAACATGTATTGAAGTGGCAATGTAATTGTCACATCAAGTGGCAAAGAAGGCAACATTATTTTAACAAGGCTACATGGTATTATTTCTTTTTGAGAAGTTTTTTTTCCTTATGTGTGTGTATATGTGTGTGTGGAATGTTCTTCTCATGGCCAATCCCAAGAGGTAATGGCAGATCTGCTCCCCAAGGCGATAGGATATGAGAAGGCCTCCTTTGAAAGCAGGAAACTCAGGGAGTCTCAACTGCTAGGTCAAAAGGGGCTTGATTTGTGACAATTTGTCTTTGGGCTTTATGAACATCGAATTTATTCGCCCCAATTTTCATAATCTAATTGTCACAACCAATTCAAAAACAAAATACAAACAGTACATTTATATATATTAACATGTTTCCATACATCATAGACAGAGAATGACGTAGACTTCGGTAAGAGATAGAGAGAGAACGCATAAACCATGCCCAGCTAACCCCTGGAGGAGGCATCAGAAGTGCAAAGTTAAACCCTAAAAAGAGGGAACTGATTGTCCAAGGAAAACATGGTAAATTAAAGTGATACTCATGTCTAAATTGACAATTCATTCAACATACGGGTTCACTGCAAGACAAAATGGCAAAAAGAAAATAATAATTGTACAGTCTACATAATAGGAAAACTTTAACCAGTTTGTTATTTAAAATTTTGAATGCGCTAAAACCCCATGCAACATAAGGTTTTAGTACAAATACAGAAAGCAGAGTATTGATTAACCATACAATGGATCAATACAAAACCACCTATCATTGAAAAAGTGGAAATAACTAGACAACAGTTGGACAACTAAATCAATTCATATAATATGCAATAGAAATGTTCAATACAAAGAACTCGAATCTAACCTTGATAGTGTCATAATAGTTCCATCCAACCTCTGAGGAAAGACGACCCAACAAGCAGTATTTATGTCCAGCCTGAAGTCTCAAAACCCTAATTTTTTGGAAACAAAAAAAAAGATCAACGAATACTGGATACTAAACCCGTCGTTGCGAAACAAACCAAAGATCCAAAAATAAAAATAACAACACAGTCAAGAATTAATATTCCTGTATCTCACAAATTTTTTTTTTTTTAAAATAAATAAACAAGAGACAAAAGCCTGATTGAAGAACTCACTTGAGAGCATCGGGGATGACCATCCTCTTCATCTTGTCATAGGGAGGAGGAATTCCTTCGTATACCTTCAACCTCGCAAGCGCGGCCGCTCCACGCTTAGTCTTGTGAGGAATCATCCTACAATATAGTTACATACACACATATAAAAATAAAGATACAAATAAAGATACAGTACATACAGAGAGAGAGATGAAAAATGTACCCGCGGATGGTTCGCCATAGGATCTTGGCGGGGGCTCGGAAGTGGATGGGACCATGAGAGGGCTTGGTGTTCATTCTCTTGCGGAGGAAGCGCAAATACTTCATTTTCTGGCGGACGAGGCCGCCGGAGAGGCAGATCTCTTCGCAGCGGACCACCACCACTTTCTGGCCGTTGAGGAGCTCCTTCGCCAAGATCGATGCCAGGCGGCCGAGCATGTGGTGGCGAGCGTCCACCACCACTCGCCGAGCGCAGATTCCAGATCCGGACACCATATCTCTTTCCTCTGTCTCTCTTTCCTCTGCAACGACAGTGGACTGTGATAATGTGATAATATAAGGCACTAGGGTTTCTTTATAGCTAGGTTAGGGCAACTCTGGGTTTAAGACTTGTTTGGGCAACTCTGGTTTTGAGCCCAATGAGGCCCAACCCAAGATTATGCGTAAAAGAGCCTCCTTTGAACCATTTCTTATAAAATAATATTACAAATATTTTCAGATAGTTAGAAAATATCTCTAATTTCATAGAGCGATTTGTTATAATTCTTTGAAATATTTTTTCCTAATTTCAAATACTAAAAAACTATCTTAAGAAAGCGTTTTAGCTCAAAAAGGAAAATGATAAGGGTGCCGAAGGATAACCCCTGAAAAAACGACCAATCTATCTAAAATCTCTTACTTGTGAAAAGTAAAAGAGCCATGTGCTTAACTCACCCCCGAAAATTAATTGAATAAAAAAATTATTTAAGAAGATTACGAGGAAGGTAATGGAGCCATGGATACTGTGAAAATGACCCAAAGAAGGTGGATATATACAAATAGAAATATATATATATATACACACAATTACATATATGTTGGTAATAGATCATAAATATTAAAAAAAAAAAAAAAAAAAAAAAATCTACAAATTGCTCTTTAAAAAAACCTCTTTTTTCTTAATCTATTTTAAGTTTTTTGAAAACCGTTTTTATATTTTTAAAGCCATTAAATATTATTTTTTTAGACTATTAAACTACGGAGGTCAGCTTTATTACGTATTATTTTGTAGAAAATTGAACTACAGAGGTCAGTTTTTAGGTCAACAGAGCAAGAAACCATTTGTTCCTAAACTTGAACTCTCCTGTCCATAAATAACAATAGCACAATATTGATTGGGTAAACCTAAAGCCCAGCCCAGCCCATTCCAATTGTAGCCCTAAACGATTCATTTTATGGGCCATCTAGCAGTGTACCCAGCCCACATAATCTGTTATTAGCATGTTATCGGGAGATATTGGGTACCCCAAGGGTACTCCGTCAGCATGTCCACCTGCTACCCCCAATCCAATAAAAACATGACACCTGGCTAACTTTCCACATCAGTTTCATACTCAACAAGCCACTAACGGAGACGTTAACTTCTCTACTTTCTCTCTCTACCCTTTCCATCACCGTACTCTCTCTCCTCAGCTGACCGTCATAACCAAGCTCGCCACCAGCCTCTCCCCAGCCCCATCCGACTGACTACTGTGGTCCGGCCTCGACTCTGACAAACCGAACCGGGTCACCGCAATCAACCTCAATTCCAAATCTTTCCATGTAGGTTCTGATTTCTGAATTCATCTTTTGGCCAGATTCATTGCATAGTGATGGTTTTATGGTTTTTAAATGTTGCGGAAAAAAAAAATCAAGATAAATGTGAGCTTGCAATCTTACACGGGTTGTGTTTGGGAATGATTATTCAAAGAATTAAACTTCTCTCATTTTTTTCTTTCCCGTGAACAGAGCATTGAGCACTTTGTCTTGTCTTTTATTTTTTTCTTTTCCTTTGTAGGTCTCACCAATTTGCAGACTTTTGAGTCTCAGCGACAACCCCAGTTTGTCGCCATGGACGATTTTTCAATAACTTCCCCAATTTGCAGAATCTCCGGCTGTCTGACAACAATCTGACCGGTTCGTTGCCGGCGTCTTTCGGGTCATCGAAGATTCAGAACCTCTGGCTGAAAAATCAGTTGATGGGATTGTCGGGTACGATCGACGTGTTGGCCGCTATGACCCAGCTCTCTCAGGTGTGGATACAGCAAAATGGGTTCACGGGTCCGATCCCGGACCTGTCTCAGTGTGCGAATCTCTTCGATTTGCAGCTCCGGAACAATCTGTTCAGTAGTCGGCGCCGGTCCAGTGCAAATCTCTTCAGTAGTCGGCGCCAGTCCAGTCGGATGGGGCTGGCCGTTGGCGAGCTTGGTTATGACGGCGGCCTCGTCAGCTGAGGAGAGAGAGAGTACGGTGAGGAGAAAGAAAAAAAAAAGGGTAGAGAGAGAAAGTAGGGAAGTTAACGACTAACGGAGGCTTGTTGGGTATGGAGCTGATGTGGAAAGTTTGCCAGATGTCATATTTTTATTGGATTGGGGATAGCAGGTGGACATGCTGACGGGGTACCCTTGGGGTACCCAATATTCTCTCGTTATCGACATTTTGTATATTGAACTACTCTTTACTTTTTTTAAGCGGAGCTGAATCATTGAGAAATTTTAAAAAGCAAAAGTTAAAGTGAAAATTGCAGAAAATAAAGATGGAATATTGATAGAAGTAACTCATGGGCCGAATGGAATGGATTTTAAGAATTCTCTAACTATATATATATATATATATATAATATATAGTATAGTAATATATAGTACTATATATTATAGGTGGTGATTGCAACAAAATTCACGAGAAAATAATGAAAGAGATGCAACCTGTGGACTCCTCTAAGTTAACTACCCCATACATTATACTAAATGATATGGTGCAAGTGCACTATCAACCATATATTTGTGGTTCAAGCCAAAAATATTCGCAACTTTACACAACTTCAGAAAAATAATTAAAAAAAAATAAACTTTGATGGTTTGAACACTTACATCGACATTCCTAACAAATAAAGTTACTAAAAATGATTTTAAAAAGTTAAATAGAGCACCTAAAATAACATACAATAAAAGTAAGAATTTATATAGCCCCATTCAAAAATAATAACGATCACCAGCATGACAAGAGAGGGTACAGGTACAAACAATTTCAGAAAAGATAAATAATAAATGGATCAAACCAAACCATATGTGGATAAATTTGCTTAAATAAATCCATCAAAAAGACTAAGCCCTAGCTTTTCATTAATTGTTTAATAAATAAGTAATCATATCTGCAGTGCTTGAGAGGCCGATAGATCACTTTACATCGTTCACATGGCGTTCAACATACATATCTGAAGTGCAAAAGGTATCAGCCAGTTTCCAAATTGTAAAATTTTGCTTGCAGATCTGCAGTGATGAATGCACGTCTCCACGACTTCCTTTCAAGATCATAAACAGTTCATCCTGAAGTTGAATGCTCATTTGAGTGACGAAGTCACAGAAAAGATTGAAGCTTCAACAGATGTGGAGCTCTTGGTATGAAGATCTCAACCTCATTCATTGACAATAGCCCAATATTATGAAATATATATTTATTAAGTTATTAAAACAGATAAAATAATAAATCCAATGGCTAAAAATGAAAACTCACTTCATCGCTTTCGTTCTGAACGCCACTTGTACACTGGCTTGGAGGTTGGACAGACAATCTCATCTTCACGAAGTTTGCGTTTCCGACCCTTCTTCTGCTCCAGCAAATGAATTTATTTACTAATTTTAAGATATACAAAACCAACAGAAAAGAGGGGAGGGGCAACCAAATCTATAATTTTAACACCTGTAATTCTTTTTGCAAGGCCATATCCATGTATAGTCTCTCCAACTCATTTACTCTGCTTTTTCTTGCCTCTAACTCTCGGAAGGAAGCAGCTGTCTTCCTGCACATCAAGCATGCATTTTATGACATAAGCCAAAAATAAAAGGCTGCCACAAGGCCCACAACAACTTCAGAATGTGAAGAAGCAGAAATAAAATGATTTCATAAGCCCAAAAACGAAAAGGAAGGACATTCCGAAGTTAATTTTCTAGTGAAGTTTCTTCATTGTCTTGAATAAAAAAGAAACTTAGTCACAACATTGTCATCTAGGTCACCCTTCCTAGTGGAGGCTATAAACCTAAAACGATTACTTCAGAGTACAAAGTTGGAACAAAAACTTTCCACTAAATTTCCTAATAAATTTACTAAATTCTCTCAGTCAACAAACTACTTAATCGAAACACAACCATCTCCTCTATTCTCCAGAGCAGAGGCTGAAAAACCACGACATTTTTTAAAGGTTCAAATCCTTATCAGCTAAACGACATTATTACAAGTGATTAAAATAAAGAAGAAATATTTTATATTGGGAAGAAGCTCTAGAAAAAGGATTTAAAATAAGTATGATTACAAGTTTACAATTGAATATACAGAATGTAACTTCAGCAAAAAAAAAAAAAAGGGAGGAAAGTAGTGAATGTCAAAGGTCAATAAAGACCAAATAATAAATAGTTTTCTTACCTAGGCTTTAGTTTTCACAAGGAGAAGAGAGAGGGAAAGGATGTTACTCATAAAATTATAATACCCAGTACAGATCAAGTATACAAGTAAAATTTTAAAAAACTATAAAGAAACTATAATACAGTCGTGCTTTATAAAATAGGGGTTGGTGGCTAAGAAACATCATCCTAATAAAATGAGTCTATACATAATGTGAATGTTGAGACGTGCATGACAAGACAAGACAAGAAATCATAAATGAACACTTTTGTAAAACAGTGGAGGCAGAGATGGCAATAAAAAATGATAAAAATACTATTAAGGTTTGGTCATAGGCAAAGAAAAGCAATAATTGCATTAGTGAATAAGATTGGCATGGTTCACATTAAGGGTAATGCTAAATAAATGGGAAGACCAATACAAAAATAAATATAAATTGAGATGCTAAGGAAAGACTGGATATTCAAGGTTTAACCAGAGCATGCTATTCATGGTTTAACTAAAGCACGCCCTCAGACAAAGCCAAGTGCAAACAAAATTCATTTATTTGAGTTGAGTTTTATCAAGGAATCCCATATTTACAATAAATTATTGCGTCCATGATCAATCGAAATCAACAATACCAATTATATTTCTCTCATTCAAGTTTAAGAAATCAAAAACCATACATGTATAAATACACACACACACACAGGGAAAAAACCTTAAAAAAAAGAAAAAAAAACAACATTAATATCAGTTGACTTTCAACATGCACAAAATTTCAAAATGGGTTGTGAAGGTCATCCTGTAATCCAGACCCTTGTTAATAGGGGGTGCAGGGAGGGTAGAGTAGACATAGACCTAACCTTTGGCATTAATAGAACAAAGCCACTGTTCTTAAGATTCAAATCCATTTTTTCATAATTGACAACCCAACCTTTCACCATTTTACCTAGCAATCACACATAATTAAGAACATATCCTAGAATGAATTGAACAAATTGTTATATACCTTTTAATACGACCAGGTATGTCGTCTAATGCAGGCACTATTCCACCTTCTAAATTTCGTAGTTGTATCTCCTTAGCGTCCTCCCTGGATGATAAAATAAAATAACAATAAGATAAAGGATCCAGAAAACATCATAATATTGAAGGGGATGATGGGGATCTACTAACAGGCATATTAAATTAATAACATCTATCTATGCGTAACACATATAGAGGCATGATTTTTTTTTTTGTTGATAAGTATATAGAGGCATGCTAAACAAATACTACTCGTAACGCCTACCATAACTCAATTGTTGATTCTCTTCTTCTTTTCTTTTAAGATATAAAGATTTTCTGCATAATAATGGAATAGATTCCATAAACAACTTGGTCCATTGAGGGTAAAAAATTATGCAAAAATACCCTGCCCTTAGGCTAAACATATGGATTTCTTTGCTCATTTCTTTTAACCACATAATGTAAAAGGAATTTATTTAGAAAATATGGTTGGAAAATGGAAATCCTCATTTCCGGAGTTGTAGTTTCTGCTGCAGATCAAGCAGGCTGATTGGGCATCCAAACATGTATTATGAAAGCAACAAAGTCAGTTCAGCAGTAAATGTTCTCATCGAGGTCCAAATATTAGGTCAAAAGTGTTTTACTAATCTCATTACCCTGTCCACAAGTTCCTCGATACATTGCACCTTTTTTACATTGATCAATTTTTAACTTTTTCCTTCTTCAGGCAGGATTTTCTGACAATAACCTACCTTCTAAAAAAAGAGAGAGAGATGATAAATGACCCCTTTTCAGAAAGTAGCTGCTCTGAAACTCAAACATGCATCTTCATCCTTGTCGATCTAAGATTATATCATTCACCAAGTAATGACCCCTTCTCAAAAACATAACTAACACACTCAAAATTCTCAACCTATACCAGGTTCACAAAGGATGTAGTCTCGGTACTGGAATGAGAAATAGGCAAGGAAATGGATTGTGTATTTTAGATCTAGAGGATAACTGTTGTATTAATTACCTAAGTTCTTTCACGGGGCCAAGTGGGCAACAGACCATGATGAATCCTACTCTTAGGCACATAACCACACCCAACATATGTACTTGAATCCATGTAATAAAATCAGAGCAAAGACATGCATACAAATATCATCAAAAGTTCAAAACTAAGCATCCACCTTTTTTTCTTTTTTTTTTTCTTTTTTTTTTTTTTTTTTTTTCCTTTTGGTTAATGTTAGGTGTCCATCTCATAATCAAACTTTCAGTCAGTACAAGGAAAAGTATCCATCATATAATCAAGTCGATACTAGATCACAAAGACGGAAAACAACTCCTGAAAGTAATCACCTTTAACGGTAAAATTAAAGGGGGAAAAGGAAGAAGTAATATCTCCAGTTCAACCAATTCAACAGTTCTATTTCCAGTTTAATTCAAAAAAGCAGAGAATGCAATAGCCACTAAATAAAGATCAGGAAGCTCACACCTGTCTTCAGCATAGTACAAATGTCTGTTTGATGGCTGATTATCAAGAGAGTGCAACATGGCGGTTAGCTTTTCAATTTTCTATATCAAATAAAACAATAAGGAACCTAAAAAGGAGAATTCTTAAACACTTAACACGACTGAAATGCATATTGGTGGGAGAAAAAAAAAAAAAACAATTACCTTTTTTTCACTTCGAACCTTCTGCAGAACATATCCTATATCTTGGGTCTTCATTAGCATGAGTTCTTCTTGAGTATATTTGTTTGCCTGACTCCTGTAAGAAAACGTAACAAGTCAGGCTTCATTGTCTGTGGATGAGAGGAAAAACAAAAGCAAAAAGGGCAATGTAATTTGTATGTTACTCCAGTTTATGAATTCCATCAACAGTTTTTGTCTTAATCATCTTGAAGTAAGATTCATCTGGGTTCCTGAATGATGCTTTTTCCTTGAGTTTCTGTAAAGGACACAAATGGCAAAAGCATAGGCACACATTAAAACAGAAAATATTTCTAAGATAAATACCATGTATAAAGACGCAACATGTAATACCCAAAAAACACAAAGAAGCGTAAAGTAAAACTGTCACATTACCCGTAAAGCCTCCTCTTTTTTGTGGTAAGCCTGTGCACGTTCAACATAGTCCTTGTGCTTTTCAAGAATTCCGAATTTTCTCCTTGAATGCCTGATATCAAAAGGAAAAGGCCATCACATCATATGGATTGTTAACAATATTAAACAGAATGTATTTCCAAATAAAAAGAATTAAATGTAAGGCGCTCATGGAGTAAAACAGAGTCAATTGATTCTATAGCAACTTGTACCCTTCATCGAGTGCATAAGTAACAGATAACCCTTTCATCTCCGCCCCTAATAGAAATAATATACCCCATACCCATCCCCATCCCCATCCCCATACCGAACATGTTTCGGGTAAATGTCTGAAATCACATTTCCGCTTAAAATTGAGTTAAGAATTCCCGTCCCCATCCCGCGTGTCCCGATTAGTTCAATAACAGAATCGAAGAATGAATTACATGAGAAGCAAACCAAAATTTAATATCGTACATGTTTTTTAGTTGAAGAAGAGAAGAAGACAACAAGTGCATGGTTGAATGCCTTTGTGGCCATTACAATATCAAGGTACTTCGGCAGTAATACTTCAGGTTCACTTTCTTCAACGACGACTTCAATGAATTCTACAGTAAATTCTGCACCAGAACTTATGGAGGTGTGTAGTTTATAAAATGGATGCGATGTTCAAGGAAAAACATGCAAACACTAGGGATTTTCAAATCTGGACACGATCTCTGAATTGAAAGAGCTTGAGTTTTAGGTGCGAAGTGCCAGAGTGATGAAGAAGGGTGAGGGGTGGTGAGGATGGCCACAGGGTGAGGGGTGATGGCAGTAAAACGATTTGGAAAAATTAGGGCTATACAGTTTAAGGTGAAAGGTAGGTGTGGCATATATAGAAGGCCAGATTTGTAATTGGCAATGTATGCATATAACTGGGGCGGGCGGGAAGAAGTAAATACCAGCCCCGCCCCGAACCCGTGTCGGGTTTAAACTTCATCTCCCATACCCGTTTCAACCCCTATTAAAAAGATACCAAACCCGTAGCAATAGGAACAGAAACCCGCCGGGTCGGGTAAGATTGTCATCCTAGATTATGCACAACAACACATTATTATTTTGCTTTTAATTATCCTAATCACAATAGATATTACCCCAAATACCAACAATAGATTCTTTTAAACTAATGCAACCATGATTCACAATACAAATCGACATTAGAAGGCAAAATAATTATGAAACCATATTTCCACACGTAGATCAAAGAAACCCCACATCTATGTCCTAAACAACCAATTTGGATGAAAGAAAATCTTCAATGAATCATGCAAACAACACTGATATTCTCCTTGTTCCTTTTTTCTCAATTAAACTGCAATCTTTAAAGCAAATAGAGTGCAAGAAATATCAAAGACCAAAGAAAATCCAATGACCCTCGTACAACAAGAATCATAAACCAACTCTAACTCACAAAAGAGTAGCCATCTCAAACAAAAATGAAAACATGAGTGGACATACAAATGAAAGTAAAAACACGGCAGAGACTAATATGCGAAAATTTGAAAGCCACTGTAGATTTTAACAAAAGATCATATATGCAATTTAAGGATTGGTTTCTGCAGGACCAAATCTAGATACTATTCAATCGCTATCAATTAAGCATGGATTCTATTGACAAATCCTTTGTAAAAAATAAATAAAAAAATGATGGTACTTGAATCTAATGAAAAACCCATGCCATGTAAAAGAATGAAGAATCGTAACAAATCATGTAGAAAATAGGGGAAGGCAAGAGGGAGTTATCTACCGGTGGTTAGTGATCAAATATCATAAATACTTTTTCCCATCCATGTTAATTTTCTTCTTTTTTAGCTCTATATTCCAATTGCATGGTCTCTTTTAACTATTTCAATTCATTCTAAGCACCAAATAGAACCATTGCAAAACTTACTGACTTGCCGGTTGCCGTCGATAATGGCCGGTCTTTGCAGATAATAGAAGGTCGTTTGCAAATGAGAGAGAGATGAGTTAGGATTCCGGTAGAAAAGGGTAGAGAGAGAGTGTGTAGCTATGATCGCCGTTTATGGGGTTTTAAGTGGCTATGTGTAACGGGTGGGCGCTTGCCCATTTATCCAAAAGTTCGAACTGTTGGGTAGTGCTGCATACCCACCCATTTATACCCATGTTACTTTCTATCCAGATCCGATGTGGGACAAGTCTCCCCTTGTAACATTCTCTCTCACTCGAATTCGCAACGCCCTCGTTGTGGTCGGGCCACCCGGCAACGAGGGCCACCCTGCCTACCCGGGTGGCTCACCCGGACGCCTTCCGGGCCGGGCGCTTGGCGTAGCAGCACTAGATCAAGTACTGGGTCTGGCTCTGATACCAACTGTAATGGGTGGGCGCTTGCCCATTTACCTAAAAGCTCGAACTGTTGGGTAGTGCTGCATACCCACCCATTTATACCCATGTTACTTCCCATCCGGATCCGATGTGGGACAAGTCTCCCCTTATAACACTATGGTACAATACCTTCAGTGGCCGCTACAGCAGTAATGCGTTAATGTCAAGCGAACGTGATCTGGTTATCTATTTAGTATTCTCTTAAGAAAAAAAATTTTAAATTATTATTATTAAATGGATTTAGTATGCTCTTAAGAAAAAAAATTTAAAATTATTATTATTAAATGGAGCGTCTAATTCGTGCATGATTGTTTATTTATTTTTAAATTATAAAATACAATAATAAAAAAATACTAAATCTTTCTTACAAAATTAACTTATTTGTATTTCGTAATATAATACACAAAACAATAATATTGATCGAAATATTTTGGGCCCAAATATTCTATTTTTATTTTTTTGAACAGGGGGCATCACCTCAATATTCTTTGTCAAGTTTACATAATTTGAAACAAGAATATTTGTTTAAGATGTGTAAGTTGTTAAATTATGTAAGGATGATTTGCAAATTGAAATTATATGCAAACAAAAAAAAAAGTTGGCGGATGAAGCCCGGATGAGCTCACCTCCTAGTAAGAAAACTTGGTCTATAAAAACTTTGATCTTTATGATGTTTTACATGAACTTTGAATTTTAAAAGCTTTTTTTCAAATACACAAGGCAACTTAGTTCAAATTAGATGTTTCTTTACTCAATTTTTTTTTTTTTTTTTTGGTGGAGGTTGTTAGCTGTTGAATAAAAGACCATTATCTACTATGTGCAAGGAATTGGCAATTATATTAATGCGCGCCAAGATAAGTCTAACTATTTGCATCCTTTTTTTTTTTTTTCTTTTTTCTTTTTTTTTTTTCCAACAAATAATTGCATCCCCACCTCGCTTATTTATCGATAATAATAATAATTGGATCCCAGATCTCAAAAGTCAAAACATTGTAATTGTTGTGAAATTTTGTGATGTTTCTAATAAATTCATAAATTAGCTGGTGTTACAAAATTTGTGTTTGCAATGTTACATATTTTAGTTCTCATGAACTTGGTGAAATTTTGTAATAAGTCTAATATGTTTTTGGTTTCAAACTCTAACACTCTTATTATAAATATTGATTTAACTGGTACTGTTGTTATGGGGCCAGTTGCAGCCCAAGAGAGTTCGGAGTTAAAAAAAAATGTGGCATATTTCAGTTAATTGCATTTTATCCCAAAGTTAAAACAAATTAATGATATTGAGTTGAGCCCAAACATGAAACATGACCATTGGGTTGTTCCTTTGTCCGGACATGTGCCCACGAGGAATTGATGGAACATTTTTTAATTTTCTTTCTTATAAGGATCTCTCCTCTCTTGGAATCTCATTAGGTACATGCATGCTATTTTGTTATTTTTTACATGAAACCCCCAATTTTAAAATCTTTACATTGGCACCCACGTGCGAAATGATATTAGATTGCCTTGTGCGAGCATATCCACTAACACAAAACATTACCATCTCCATTAGAAAATAAGGTAGGGTTGCAAGTTGTTTAGACTTTTTATCTTTAAATTAGTCGATTCCATTTCTCAGTGGAAAACAGAAGAGGGATGCAAATTGTATTGTAGTACACTTAGACTATATATATTGACACGAAACTTACACACTAACGTATTCCAGTAAAAAATTAAACCCTCCACCTTCGAGTGAAAGAATATACCACTAGATTATACCACCTTTGATATTGCACCTATACTATTAACCGTATCACTAATTTGTTATCATGCTTTCTCAATTTTAACAAACTTATTTAGGATATAATAGTAAGTGTATATAAACTGGTTTCAAGTTCGAGGGTGTTAGTAGTTTAGTATGATAGTGTTAAAAAGTTAGTTTGAGTGAAAAGCTTTTGAATAAATTGGAACTTTTCTTCAGAAAAAAAAAATGTTATTTTTGAAAGAGGAAGTGTACTACGATAGGGATCTTGTTCTCTTACTGTTTGAATTGAATTTAGTTAACGCTTTAAGAGACATACTTGTCATCAGAACATTCTATTAGTCATTATATTGAATTCAATTCAACACTTGAAGATCGAAGACAAACAATCATTTAATTTAATTCAATTCAACACTTTAAGAAACTTACTGGTCATTAGAACATTCTTTTAGTCATTGGATTGAATTCAATTCAACACTTAAAGAATGAAGACATGTACTAATTGAGTTGAATTCGATTTAACACTTTAGAATATTCTTTTAGTCATTGGATTCAAGTCAATTTAATAATTGAAGAAGAAAGATATACACCCGTTGAATTGAATTGAATTAAATACTTCAAGAGATATACTATTTGTTATAAAATAAAAACATTCGTGTAGGCATTGAATTGAATTCAATTCAGCGATTTGAAAAATGAAGAAGCCGCACCTCTCATTCTGAGAGCATTTTATGATAACTTTTTATTAATCAGTATTATCGTTCAACTTAGAATAAGTGGATAATAGTGATTAACAAAGAAGGCTCCAAATCCTATATAATTTACTACTTACAGAATAGAAAGGGAAATTATTGCAAATATAGGGGGCAAAGTGGAATACCACAACAGTAGAGGGACACAATGACAAAAAATCTGCAAAACAAAGCTATAAAATGCAAGAAAAGGTGGGCGATGACAAGCCCATCTCTCCTCTCTCACCAACCCCACATCCAACTCCGATCAAATCTACCATAATTGTCTCACCAACCCATTCTCTCTCTAAAGAGACGTAGATCTTCACGCTCAAAGCCTCAAACCCACCCATCTCTCAGTCTTGAACTCTCTCTCTCACACACACACAAAACACACACAAAGAAACGCATTCGATCGTAAATGGGTGCTGACGGCAAGGTCTTTACATTGTCGGAGGTCTCCGAGCACAACAATGTCATGGACTGTTGGCTTGTCATCTCTGGCAAGGTATACATAGTTATGCATGTGTATGTGTTTGTTCGTGTGTGTGGGCGTGCGTGTGTGTGTGTATATATATATATATATTGATTCTATGGTGTGAGTTTAATTAATCCATGATTATGCTTCTGACTGTATTATGATTCATTTTATTTAGTTTTATCATGCTCAAATATATTAGATTTGTTAAAGATTCGAATCTTGAAGTTTTATATGGATCAACTTTTGTCATGCTTGAACGAATGAAATTAGTGATATAATTTTTTGGGTAAAGTGCAAGAAACCCCCCTATATTTTCAGCAAAAAACACAAAATCCCCCTAAACTAAGTAATACTCCCTAAACTATTCAAAATTTGCAATTTAAGGACAAATTCTAAAATCATAGGCACCGGAGCTAACCGGAAATATTAAATTACCAAATTGGCCTTAAATCAACCGACACCGTTTGGAATGTTTATTGTCGTTTGTTAAGTAGCAATCTTAAAAACCAATGATATGGCGACAACCCAACACCTTATCAACAAGCTTCACCTACCCTTCACCGTTTTAGCGCCAAACAACTTCCATACAGACTCCAATCTAAGAAGTTGACTCTGAAACTCAATTTGGAAACCATCGCTCATTCCATATAGAATTACACTACTCACTTTAGCACCAAACACCAACACTTGTACCAGACCCACCTATATATAAGCCACACACGCATATATATATATACATACGGTCGACTTTCCATCTGCACCTTCGATCGAGAATTTTTTTCCTAATTTTTCAAAATTGCCAATTTGTTTCCTCAATTGCCTCCAAAATTTCTCTCTTAGGCAATCTTAACCGCCGCCGGCGCAATATTGCCTCCCATCGGCAATCTTCATCGCTGCCGGGGCGATATTGCCTCCCGTCGGCAATCTTCATCGCTGCCGGCGCAATATCGCCTCCCGTCGGCAATCTCCATCGCTGCCGGCGCAATATCGCCTCCCTTCGGCAATCTCCATCGCTGCCGGCGCAATATCGCCTCCCTTCTGCAATCTCCATCGCTGTCGGCGCAATATCGCCTCCCCTCATCACCAGTCAACGGAGGGAACTTTTCATAACCCGCCGTCACAATATATATATATATATAGTTGAACAGAAGCCATGGATCTTGTATACTGTTGATTTGTTAGTTCCAATAAAATAATGTTAAGCCATTTCAATGCATACTTGGTTTTGGAAAACAAAGAGAACCCAAATAAAAGGGATTTTACAAACTTAATTGTGGAGAAGGAGTAGTTCAGATTGAGGTTTGTTTATTTGTTGCGCGAATGGTACAAGTGCGGTGATTGATTTATCAAATAACTTCAGGCACCAGTGGTGAAGAAGATGAACGTGACCGGCGTGACTTGTCTTGTTGTGGTAATTGAAAGATGGAGTACATGTAGTTAGAGTTGGAGGGTCTCTTTCTTCCATTGGAGTTTTGACGCACTCTATCTGATCATTTTTTTTTTTCTTCGGAAGGTAACTCTATCTGATCATTTTGTGTGTCGCTTCAGTTGGGGTTGCAAGGTGAGACCTCCACATGGATGGCAATGGCGATTTGTGAATTTGGGGTTTCGTTAATTATCCCATAAGTAATAAGGGTAGTACCGGCATTTTGAAATTATAACCTAATTTACATGATAATCAGATGTCGGAACAGTGTCATTTGGGTTTTTTTGCAAAAATTAAAATAGTTTAGGGAGTTTTCTTTTAAAATAAAAGTTCAAGGGGGTTTTTTGCAAGAGAGAGTAAAGATCAGGGGGATTTTTTGCACTTTACCCTAATTTTTTTGTTATATGCAACGAATGACATATCTGGATTAAATTATTATTATATTTTGTATTTATTTATTTTGTCCATGAACTGTTTGACTCAAAAAATTTTGAGTCTGAGGACTCAGAATTTTCTTAGAACCTTCTTTACTGCACAATATAACATTTGACTCTATTATAATAGTAAAGGTTCATTGAATGGAAAAAGAATTTGACCAAGTTTCCATTTTTTTCATTGGATCAATAGAAATAAAGAAAGACCATACGAGATGATAAAATTTATGTAGGTATTAGTAGATTTTTCTCAATTTAATTGACTTCATTGCACCGTCGCTATTTTGATTGGTGCACAAATAGATTAATGGTCCTGTTTTTGACTACATAAGAAATCAATAGTATAATATGCCCTGAAGAGTCACAACAGCAGATTAATGTTGTCAACTTCAATTACTTAGGCATCCACAAAAACATTTATATGTGAAACCAGTTTTCTTAAACCTTTCTCGTCTTGTTTGTGGCCATTGAATCCAATTTTTGCATCAACTGGTTGAACAGTGCCGTCAATTGTTGTCATTCTTATGAATGCTACAAAAAAAAGTATGCAAGGAAGGATATCTTCCCAGAAGAAACCTGGGGATGGGGCAGGGTGGAGATCCCACATAAGTCAAGACAATATATTTTTCCATTCCATGAAAAACGAAGCAGACCGGAATAAATTAGAAAACTAAGGGGTAATGAAAAATAGTGAAATTTTATTAGCCTTGTGAAATTTATTTAAAGCTCAGATTGAATTATTCTGCTTAGAGATCAAGTTCTATATAATAATTTATATAAATTTTATTAGAAATTGATATAAAAGAAATGTAATTTAGAAGGACAAAAGAGAGAGAAAAAATGAAGGTGTGCCTTGTATTTCGTTGACATGTCTTCCCACAGTGTAAATTTAGCCCTAAGATAATTGTTTGGATGAATGAATAGATTTTTGGGGAAAAAGTGTTGGAGGGATGCTTCGAAAATCTGGCCATTTGTTTAACCGGTTTCCTATAGTATAATAGTTGAAATGGAAATGGTGGGCAGATAGATATGTGCTCGGAGATTTAAAGCTTTTATGGATGCTTTAAACAGAATGATGGGCTCTAATGGTGTTCATTCTGCTACCTCTCTTTATGGTGTTTTCGTTTACAGTGTGTCGTAGTATTTGTGAAGTGTCCTGAACTCTGCATCTCTTTAATGTTTGTATCAGGTGTATGATGTGACGAAGTTTTTGGAGGACCATCCCGGTGGTGACGAGGTTTTGTTGTCTGCAACAGGCATGTAAAGAAGTAGCAATATTTTTTGAGCCAGTTTAAATGTTGGCTAATCATTTGTTTTCCTTGTATGTGATGCATGGGTGTCGACCAACGTTAAGTTCAAAATCTGTTTGCTTTGGATGGTGTTTTGGATCTGAAACCCCACCAACTAATGAATGTTCTTGGCCATGGTTTGGCGCGCACGTGTTATATGTTTTGCAGGAAAGGATGCAACTGATGATTTTGAGGATGTCGGCCACAGTACCAGTGCAAGAGCAATGATGGATGAATTCTATGTGGGTGACATTGATACATCAAGCATTCCCACCAGAACCAAGTACATTCCTCCCAAGCAGCCTCACTACAACCAGGACAAAACCCCCGAGTTCGTTGTCAAGCTACTTCAGTTCTTAGTTCCCCTGATCATATTGGGTGTGGCCGTTGGCATCCGTTTCTATAGCAAATCAGCTTAGGGGGTGGGGAATGTACGAGGGCATTGAAATCCAATCCATAATAAACTTATATTAGCGATCAAGCGCCTTCATTCTTGTTCTTATTGCCCACGAAGACTTCCAATTCTGGGGATATATATAGTAGGATGTTTTGACTTCTATATATAATATATGATAATGAATATGTGCATGTTTTCCCTAATCATTGAATATGGAGATCTGCGTATTGCTTCAGGGGAGTGTTTTTCTATGAAATCATAATTAGAAATCTTTGTCGTGAACAGAAGTATAGTGTCTAATCCCCACTTCTCTTCTCTTTCTAACTGTTTTCAAAAAGTACAGGGACATGTTGGAATGGACACAAGACAGCATTTAATTTGTGCCAATGATTATAATATTAGCACCAGTATCACATAGAAAGATCAGAACAAGATTCACCAGCCAGTGCTCATAGAAATTACCATATTCAAATGCAACACTATAAAAGACAAAGGGTCTTTCTAAGATACTCCACACATTTCTTGTATTTAAACCAAATTATTCAACCACAACAAACTTCACCTAGAATCAAAGACAGTTATGTTCCCCAAAGATCCTTTCGTGGATTTCACCGCCATTTTTGTCGTCTGTTAATGTAATGGACAATATAAGAAGGGGAAAAGGGAAAATAGGCTTACTTACCTTAAATTCCCAATCCCACCTTGACCTTTTCACTCTATCTGACTGCTACAACCAACCATGAGAACTTCACCAACGAGAAGTGAGAAAGGTGTACTAAAGTTGGTGCATCCAGGCAAGTATGTGGAGATTCACAGAAAACTGATTACTGCCGCAGAAGTCATGAAGAAGAATCCAAGGCACTGCATTGCGCGGCCTGATGTGTTTAAGTATCCATGGATTGTGGTTCGACCTGAGTCAGTATTGTGTCCAGGAAGTGTTTTTTACATTGTTCCTTATCGAGCAATCTGTCGCCTGCTAAAAGCCAGAGGCCTCCTGGACCAACAAAACCAGTGTCTCAACAATCAAGACCATCATTGCTATCCTGAAGAAAATTCACCTCTCAAGTCATGGGCTGGCATGACAACAATGCACCATAACAGTAACTGGTGCTTCGTGATGCCCGGTGATGGAAGGAGTCCTCAAGAACAAGATTTCAAGTGATGATAGTCTCACTAAACAATGCAACACTGTCTTGGCCTGAGCTGATTGTTACAATGGCATTGTTGTGCAAAGAAAGGCGGCCTTTGGATACTGCAAGAGCTGGTAAACATTTGCAATAACTTGAAGAGATGGTTAGAAAATGAAACACATTGAACAGTAGTTAATTTACTGTATTATATTAGAGCTACTACCCCTAATGTAGTATTGGCATGAATGTAAATATCTGTGGTGGCGATGAGGTTTTGTCATCTGCAGCAGGCATGTAAAAAAGTGGCAATAGTTTTTGAGATGATGTAATCAGAGTGATGTTGTAATCTAGTTGCCAGTTCAAATGTTAGTGAAATAGTTGTTTTCTGGTATGTGAAGCACGGGTGTCTACATTAAGTTCAAAGTCTGTTTGCTTTGGATGATGTTTGGGATCTGAAACCCCACCAAAACCAAGTACGGTCCTCCCAAGCAGCCTCACTACAACCAGGACAAGACCCCTGAGTACTTTGTCAAGCTCCTTCAGTTCTTAGTTCCCCTGATCATATTGGGCTTGGCCGTGGGCATCCGCTTCTATTCTAAATCATCCAAGGAAGTGAGAATCTACAAGGGCATTGAAATCCAATCCATGATAAATGTATAGCAGGATTTTGACTTCTATATATGATAATGAATATGTGCATGTTTTCCCCTTCCCAATACTTTGAGATTCAAAATTGTTTTTGTCATCTTTTATGTGCCTCTGGTGAAAACTTACCTCGTTCTTGTTACTTTTGAAGTTTGTGCACTAGTTAGTTTCATGAATTTGACCATCAAGGGATGTAGCCAAGTGGTATCTCCTACACCTCCGAAAGTTAGAGGTAAGGGTTCAAGTTCGTAGAGGGACAAATGGGTACATGAGTTTCTTGCCAAGGGGGAAAAAAATCATGAATTAAATGTATAAAGATCGCATATGTGGCTGAATGCATTGGTTAAAAGAAAGATCAGGTTTTGACAGTTTTGTTCTCTATGATGTTATCCTAATGAATAGCTTTCAGCAACAGGTGGTCTGGTCATTGAAATTTTGAGTCATCCTGCAATTGGTTCCTTGCTGAAGGCTAAATTGATGTCACGAATGCTAGACACTTTTTAGATGACCTTTATTTTAAAGAAAAGATAAAAGAGAACAAGAATAGGGGAGGAGAAGAAGAATTAGGAAGGAGAAATATTTTTATCCAATAACTCAATAATCAATATTCATCAGGGGTGTATAGTCAATTTATCAAGCCCTTATATATATAAGGGCTAAAATAAAAACCTAATCGAACTACTGTAAAAAATGGAATCATGAAGAAACAAGGAAAATCTCAATAATACTAAAAGTATCCTAGGATGGTGAAAAGTTTAAACCAGTGCAGGCTTTGACATGTTTCTCAAGCTTGCACGAGTTTCTGTCTGTTCACCAGCTTTTTCTACAGAAAGCATTTTCTTGACACATGAAGTTGTTGGTGACCAAAAATATTCAAGACATTGCTTTATAAGCCAAACTACTGCTGCTAGTTTCCCTAGGAACTCAATTCAGGTGAAATTTTTTTGTAAGAATTTGGATGGTAGTTGTTTCTCCAACTTTTGTCCAAAGCGAAGTAACTGTTTAAAGCTAATTGGCTCTAGCTCGTAGAAATGTTATTCAATTTAACAAATCTCTCCTCCCCAAAGGGAAGGTTGAGAGTTTGAGTCCCACTAAGGACATATTGTAATCCGTGAATAATGGGTGTGTGTTTGCTTTAACTTAAAAAATAAAAGAAATGTTAATTCAATTTTGTAGTGGAACAGTAGACAAGCTAATGCATCATATCATGAAAAATAAAACAAAATAAATTAAATCATACCCTAAACATTGATGATGGATATCTGAGTATTACTTCCAGGGAGTGTTTTTCTATGAAATCATTGTTAGAAATCTTTGTCATGAGCAAAAGTACAATTACAGAGAATCCATCTATTCTTTCTTTTTCACTTTCTTAATCCCCACTACTCTTCTCTTTCTGACTGTTTTTATTCTATTTTCTTTTCAAAACACACATAAAAGGTATGGGGACAAGTTGAAATGGACAAACGAGAGGATTCAGTTTTTGCCAATGATTACAGTTTTTGCACTAGATTCACATAGAAAGATCAGAACAAGATTCCGCAGCCAATGCTCATAGAAATTATCTTAGAAAATTCAAAATGCAACGACATAAAAGACAATGGGTATTTCTAAGATACTCCACACCTTTCTTTTTATTTCAACCACAACAAACTCCATCGAGAAACAAAGACAGTCATGTTTCCCAAAGATCCTTTCACGGATTTCATCGCCAAATTTGTCATCTCATGAGATAATTGACAGTATAAGAAGGGAACTAAAATAGGCTTACCTCACATTCCAACCTTGACTTTCACTCTATCTGATTGCTAGAAGAAACCATGAGAACTTCACCAACAAGAAGTGAGAAAGGTGTACTAAAATTGGTGCATCCAGGCAAGTATGTGGAGATTCACAGAAAACCAATTACTGCTGCAGAAGTCATGAAGAAGAATCCAAGGCACTGCATTGCGCGACCTGATGTGTTCAAGTATCCATGGATTGTGGTTCGACCTGAATCAGTATTGTGTCCAGGAAGTATTTTTTACATTGTTCCTTATCGAGCAATCTATCGCCTGCTAAAAGCCAGAGGCCTCCTTGACCAACAAAACCAGTGTCCCAACAATCAGGATCATCGTTGCTATCCGGAAGAAACTTCACCTCTCAAGTCATGGGCTGGCATGACAACAATGCACCAGAACAGTAACTGGTGCTTTGTGATGCCAGGTGATGGGAGTTCTCAAGAACAAGATTTCGAGTGATGATAGTCTCACTAAACAATCCGACACTGTCTTGGCCTGAGCTGATTGTTACAATGGCATTGTTGTGCAAAGAAAGGCGGCCATTGGAAACTGCAAGAGCTGGTAAATATCTGCAATAACTTGAAGAGATGATTAGAAAATGAAACACATTGAACAGTGTTTAATTTACTGTATTATATTAGAGCTACGACCCCTAATTTAGTATAGCATGAATGTAAATATCTGTGGTGGCGATGAGGCTTTGTCATCTGCAACAGGCATGTAAGAAAGTGGCAATAGTTTTTGAGATAATGTAATCATAGTGATGTTGTAATCTAGTTGCCAGTTCAAATGTTAGTGAAATAGTCGTTTTCTTGTATGTCAAGCATGGGTGTCTATATTGAGTTCAAAGTCTGTTTGCTTTGGATGATGTTTGGGAACTGAAACCCCACCAAAACCAAGTACGGTCCTCCCAAGCAGCCTCATTACAACCAGGACAAGACCCCTGAGTTCTTTGTCAAGCTCCTTCAGTTCTTAGTTCCCCTGATCATATTGGGCTTGGCCGTTGGAATCCGCTTCTATTCTAAATCATCATAGGGAGTGAGAATCTACAAGGGCATTGAAATCCAATCCATAATAAATGTATAGCAGGATATTTGACCTCTATATATGATAATGAATATGTGCATGTTTTCCCCTTCCCAATACTTTGAGATTCAAAATTGTTTTTGTCATCTTTTATGTGCCTCTGGTGAAAACTTACCTCGTTCTTATAACTTTTGCAGTTTGTGCACTAGTTAGTTTCATGAATTCGACCATCAAGGGTTGTAGCCTAGTGGTATCTCCTTAACCTCCGAAAGTGAGGTGAGGGTTCAAGTTCCTATAGGGACAAATAGGTAAATGAGTTTCTTGCCAAGGGGAAAAAAATCATGAATTAAATCTATAAAGATCGCATATGTAGCTGAATGCATTGGTTAAAAGACAGATCAGGTTTTGTTCTGTATGATATCCTAATGAATAACTTTCAGCAACAGGTGGTCTGGTCATTGAAATTTTGAGTCATCCTGCAATTGGTTCCTAGCTGCAGGCTAAATTGATGTCGCGAATGCTATAGACTTTTTAGATGACCTTTATTATAAAGAAAAGATAAAAGAGAACAAGAATAGGGGAGAAGAAGAAGAATTACGAAGGAGAAATATTTTTATCCAATAACTCAATAATCAATATTCATCAGGGGTGTATAGTCAATTTATCAAGCCCTTATATATATAAGCACTAAAATAAAAGCCTAATGAAACTACCATAAAAAATGGAATCATGAAGAAACAAGGAAAATCTCAATAATAATAAAAATATGATAGGATGGTGAAAAGTTTAAACCAGTGCAGGCTTTGACATGTTTCTAAAGCTTGCATGAGTTTCCGTCTGTTCACCAGCTTTTTCTACATGAAGCATTGTCTTGACACATGATGTTGTTGGTGACCAAAAATATTCAAGACATTGCTTTATAAGCCAAACTACTGCTGCTAGTTTCCTTAGGAACTCAATTCAGGTGAATTTTTTCTACAAGAATTTGGATGGTAGTTGTTTCTGCAACCTTTGTCCAAAGCAAAGTAACTGCTTAAAGTTAATTGGCACTAGCTCGGAGAAATGTTATTCAATTTACCAAATCTCTCCTCCCCAAAGGGAAGGTTGAGAGTTTGAGTCCCACTAAGGACATATTGTAATCCGTGAATAATGGGTGTGTGTTTGCTTTAACTTAAAAAATAAAAGATGTTAATTCAATTTTGTAGTGGAACAGCAGATAAGCTAATGCATCATATCATTGAAAAATAATAATAATAAATTAAATCATACCCTAAACATTGATGATGGATATCTGAGTATTACTTCCGGGGAGTTTTTTTCTATGAAATCATTGTTAGACATCTCTGTCATGAACAAAATTATAATAACAGAGAATCCATCCATTCTTTCTTTTTCACTTTTTTAATCCCCACTTCTCTTGTCTTTCCGACTGTTTTTATTCTATTTCATTTTCAAAACACACATAAAAGGTACGGGGACAAGTTGAAATGGACAAAAGAGAGGATTCAGTTTTTGCCAATGATTACAGTTTTTGCACTAGTATCACATAGAAAGATCAGAACAAGATTCCCCAGCTAATGCTCATAGAAATTATCATTTTAAATTCAAACGCGACCCCATAACAGACAATGGGTCTTTCTAAGATACTCCACACCTTTCTTTTATTTCAACCACAACAAACTCAATCTAGAAACAAAGACAGTCATGTTTCCCAAAGATCCTTTCATGGATTTTGTCGCCAATTTTGTCATGTCGTGCAATAATGGACAGTATAAGAAGGGAACTAAAATTAGCTTACCTCACATTCCAACTTTGACTTTTCACTCTATCTGACTGCTAGAAGGAACCATGAGAACTTCACCAACAAGAAGTGAGAAAGGTGTACTAAAATTGGTGCATCCAGGCAAGTATGTAGAGATTCACAGAAAATCGATTACTGAGGCAGAAGTCATGAAGAAGAATCCAAGGCACTGTATTGTACGGCCGGATGTGTACTACTATCCATGGATTGTGGTTCGACCTGAATCAGTATTGTGTCCAGGAAGTGTTTTCTACGTTGTTCCTTATTGAGCAATTTATCGCCTGCTAAAAGCCAGAGGCCACCTCGACCAACAAAACCAGTGTCCCAACAATCAGGACCATTATTGCTATCCTGAAGAAACTTAACCTCTTAGGTCATAGGCAGGAATGACAACCATGCACCAGAACCACAACTGGTGCCTTGTGATGCCAGGGGATGGGAGGAGTCCTCAGGAACAAGATTCTGAGTAATGAGCACTGTTATGCAAAGAAAGGCGGCCATTGGAAACTGCAAGAGCTGGTAAATATCTGGGATAACTTGAAGAGACGGTTAGAATATCAAGCAGATTGAATGCAGTGTTTTACAGTATTATATTAGAGCTATGACCCCGAATTTAGTATAGCATGAATGTAAATATCTATGGTGGTGACGAGGTTTTGTTATCTGCAACAGGCATGTAAAAATGTTGCTGTAGTTTTTGAGATAATGTAATCACAGTAATGTTGTAATCTAATTGTCAGTTCAAATGTAAGTGAAATAGTTGTTTTCATGCATGTGATGCATGGGTGTGTACATTAGGTTCAAAGTCTGTTTGCTCTGGATGATGTTTGGGATCTGAAATCCCACCAAAACCCAAGTACAGTCCTCCCAAGCAGCCTCATTAAATTATTGAGTCATCCTGAAATTGGTTTCTTGCAGCAGGCGAAATTGATGTCGCTAAAGCTACACAGTTTTTAGATGCATGACCTCTATTATATTTTATTGCATATATTTTGAAATGATGACCTATGATGCAAAAACCAGGAAAAAAAGTAAATAAAAGAAAAAAAAAAGAGTGAAGAAGAAGATTTAGGAAGATGAAATATATGTATACAATAATAATATTCAGCCCTTATACATATAAGGGCTAAAATAAAAACCTAATCAAACAACTGTCAAAATTGGAATCATGAAGAAACAGGGAAAATCTCAATAATAATAAAATATAGGCTAAATTGCACTCATACTTCTGCAGTCAGGTTTAATTATAAGTAAATGTAAGTAAACATTTGTTATATGTACATGGAGTACGTGGTGCAAGGAACTCATCATGATCTCCATAAATAATACAGCAGCAGAGCTAGTTTGAGCACTTGCGTAAATTCTAAAGTAGGCTGGTAGAACAAAGTATCCTAGGATGATGAAGAGTTAAGTCAGTGTAGGCTTTGACATGTTTCTCAAGCTTGCACAAGTTTCTGTCTGTTCACCTATTTTTTTGACAGAAAACATTGTCTTGAGACATGAAGTTGTTACTGACCACAAATATTCAAGACACTGCTTTATAAGTCACTAATGCTTCTAGTTTCCTTAGGAACTCCACTCAGGTGAATAGTTAGATTCTGCAACTTTTGTGTCCAGCACAAAGTAACTGTTTAAAGCTAATTGGCACTTGCACCAAGAAATGTTATTCAATTCACCGGAGGACTTCTAGCGCAATGGCATGATCTCTCCTCCCCAAAGGTTGAGAGTTCGAGTCCCACTAGGGACATTGTGATCCATGAATAATGAGAGTGTTTGCTTTAACTTCCAAAAAAAAAAAAAAAAAGAAAAAAAAAAAAAAATTTCAATTCTATTATGTAATAGAACAACAACAGACAAACTAATGCTTCATGCACCTCCATTGATTCCCCAAACTTATTTTGAGTGTTTTATAATAATTGAATGCATGAATCACCCCCTCATAAAAAAATAAAAAATAAAAAATAAAAAAATCATACCCTAATCATTGATGATGGAGATCTGAATATCAATTGCTTCCAGGAAGTGTTTTCTATGAAATCATTGTTAGAAATCCTAGTCATGAACAGAAGTATACAGAGATTCCATCTATTCTTTCTTTTTTACTTTTAAATCTCCACTTCTCCTCTTTCTCACTGTTTTTATTCTTTTTCCTTTTCAAAAAGACATAAAAGGTACAGGGACATGTTGGAATGGACAAAAGAGAGGATTCAAGCTGTCAATTCAATGCAGTTTTTGCACAAGAATCACATAGAAAGGTAAGAACAAGATTCCCCAGCCAATGCTCATAGAAACTACCAAAACATATTTAAATGCGACACCAAAAAAGACAAGAGGGTCTTTCTAAGATACTCCACACCTTTCTTGTATTTGAACCAAATTATTTAACCACAACAAACTCGATCTAGAAACAAAGAAAGTCATGTTTCCCAATTATCCTTTCATGGATTTCACCGCTATTTTTGTCACCTTGTGAGATAATGGACAGTATAAGAAGGGAACTAAAATAGGCTTACCTCACATTCCAACAACCTTGACTTTCACTCTATCTGACTGCTAGAACAAACCATGAGAACTTCATCAACAAGAAGTGAGAAAGGTGTCCTAAAATTGGTACATCCAGGCAAGTATGTGGAGATTCACAGAAAGCCGATAACTGCTGCAGAAGTCATGAAGAAGAATCCAAGGCACTGCATTGCGCGGCCTGATGTGTTTAAGTATCCATGGATTGTAGTTCGACCTGAGTCAGTATTGTGTCCAGGAAGTGTTTTTTACATTGTTCCTTATCAAGCAATCTATCGCCTGCTAAAAGCCAGAGGCCTCCTCTACCAACAAAACCAGTGTCTCAACAATCAGGATCATCATTGCTATCCTGAAGAAACTTCACCTCTCAAGTCATGGGCTGGCATGACAACAATGCACCAGACAGTAACTGGTACTTCGTGATGCCAGGTGATGGGAGGAGTCCTCAAGAACAAGATTTCGAGTGATGATAGTCTTAATAAACAATCCGACACTGTCATTGCCTGAGCTGATTGTTACAATGGCATTGTTGTGCAAAGAAAGGCAGCCATTGAAAACTGCAAGAGCTGGTAAATATCTGCAATAACTTGAAGAGATGGTTAGGAAATGAAACACGTTGAACAATGTTTAATTTACTGTATTATATTAGACCTACGATCCCTAATTTAGTATAGCATGAATGTAAATATCTGTGGTGGCGATGAGGTTTTGTCATCTGCAGCAGGCATGTAAAATAGTGGCAATAGTTTTTGAGATAATATAATCAGAGTGATGTTGTAATCTAATCGCCAGTTCAAATGTTAGAGAAATAGTTTTTTTTTATAATCACTAAAATAAAAACCTAATCAAACAACTGTCAAAATTGGAATCATGAAGAAGCGGGGAAAATCTCAATAATAATAAAATATAGGCACTCATACCTCTGTGGTAAGGCTCAATTACAAGTAAATACAAGTTTTGTCGAAACTTACTTAACACACTCTAACATCTCTTATATGTACAAGGAGCGCGTAGTGGAAGGGACTCCTCATGATCTCCATAAATAATACAGCAGAAGAGCTAGTCTGAGTTCTCATCTAAATTCTTAAGTAGGATGGTGAAAAGTTTAAGTGAGTGTAGGCTTTGACGTGTTTCTCAAGCTTGCATGAGTTTGTCTGTTCGCTTGCTTTTTCTACAAATAACATGGTCTTGATACATGAAGTTGTTGGTGACCACAACTATTCAAGACCTTGCTCTTATAAGCCAAACTACTGCTTCTAATTTCCTTAGGAACTCCATTCAGGTGAAATATTTTTCTTAGAAAATTTGGATGGAAGTTGTTTGTGCAACCTTTGTGCAACGCAAAGTAACTGTTTAAAGCTGCTCGGCACTTTCCCAAGAAATGTGATTCAATTCACCAAATGGCCTTTGGCACAAGCGTATGCTCTCTACTCTCCAAAGGGATGATTGAGAGTTCGAGTGCCACTAGGAACATATTGTGATTCGTGAACAATGGGGGTGTGATTGCTTCAACTTTCGGGAAAAAAAAAATGTTATTCAATTCACTTTTGTAATATAACAACAGCAGACAAGCTAATGCATCATATATCTCCATTGATTCCCCAACTAATTTATAGTATTTTATAATAATAGAATGCCCTGAATGCATGAATCACACTCATGAAAATAAATAACAAATATAAAAAATCACACCCTAATCATTGATGATGAAGATCTGAGAATTGCTTCAAGGGAGTGTTTTTCTATGAAATCATAGTTAGAAATCTTTGTCGTGAACAGAAGTGTAGATACAGAGTCAATCTATTCTTTCTTTCTTTTTTACTTTTCTAATCGCCACTTCTCCTCTTTCTCACTGTTTTTATTGTTGATCCTTTTCAAAAAGTACATAAAAAGCACAGGGACATGTTGGAATGGACACAAGAGAGGATTTAATTTGAGCCAATGAGTATAATTTTTGCACTAGTATCACATAGAAAGATCAGAACAAGATTTCCGCAGCTAGTGCTCATAGAAATTACCATAGCATATTCAAATGTGACACCATAAAAAGACAAAGGGACTTCCTAAGATACTCCATACGTTTCTTGCATTTAAACCAAATTATTCAACCACAACAAACTTCATGTATAAACAAAGACAGTTATGTTTCTCGATGATCCTTTCGTGGATTTCACCGCCATTTTTGTCATCTCTTGATATAATGGACAGTATAAGAAGGAAAAATAGGCTTAAGTACCTTACATTCCCACCTTGACCTTTTCACTCTATCTGACTGCTACAACAAACCATGAGAATTTCAACAACAAGAAGTGAGAAAGGTGTACTAAAATTGGTGCATCCAGGCAAGTATGTGGAGATTCACAGAAAGCCGATAACTGCTGCAGAAGTCATGAAGAAGAATCCAAGGCACTGCGTTGCGCGGCCAGATGTGTTCAAGTATCCATGGATTGTGGTTCGACCTGAATCAGTATTGTGTCCAGGAAGTGTTTTTTACATTGTTCCTTATCGAGCAATCTATCGCCTGCTAAAAGACAGAGGACTCCTCGACAAACAAAACCAGTGTCCAAAGAATCAGGACCATGATTGCTATCCTGAAGAAACTTCACCTCTAAGGTCATGGGCTGGGATGACAACCATGCACCAGAGCCATAACTGGTGCATTGTGATGGAAGGGGATGGGAGGAGTCCTCAGGACCAAGACTCCGAGTGATGAGCATTGTTATGCAAAGAAAGAAGGCCACTGGAAACTGCAAGAGCTGGTAAATATCTGGAATAACTTGAAGAGATGGTTAGAAAATGAAACAGACTGAATGCAGTTTTTTACTGTATTATATTTGAGCTATGACCCCTAATTTAGTATAGGATGAATGTAAATATCGGTGATGCTAACAAGGTTTTGTTATCGGCAACAGGCATGTAAAAAAGTGGAAATAGTTGTTGAGATAAATATAATCACAGTGATGTTGTAATCTAATTGCCAGTTTAAATGTTAGTGATATATATGTTTTCATGTATGTGATGCATGGGTGTCTATTTTAAGTTCAAAGTTTGTTTGCTTTGGATGATGTTTGGGATCTAAAATCCCACCAAAACCAAGTACAGTCCTCCCAAGCAGCCTCACAACAACCAGGACAGTCCTCCTTCAGTTCTTAGTTACCCTGTTAATATTAGGCTTGGCCGTAGGCCTCTGTTAATCTTAGGGACTAGGGAGTGACAATCTCCAAGAGCATTGAAATCCAATCCATAATAAAATTATATTAGTCATCTTTTTTGTGCCTTGGTGAAAACTACCTCAATCTTATTACTTTTGTAGTTTGTGCATTAGTTAATTTGACTACCAAGGGATATAGTCTAGTGGTATCTGTTCAACCTTCGAAAGTGAGAGGTGAGTTACTGGCCAAGGGAAAAAAAAAAAAAAAAAAAAAAATCATGAACTTGGATCCATAAAGACCCCATACGTGGCTGAATGCACTGGTTAAACAAGCTCTGTTCTCATTTGATGTCTTCCTAATGCTTTGATAAAAAATAAAAAATGTTTTCCTAATGAATAACTTGCAGCAAGACATGATGCTGGCGTGAGCTTGAAAGAATTCCACTCTTAGAGGAACCTTACTTTCTGCATGTTGGATAAATCAAAATTGGAGCAGGTTCAATGCTATTAGTCTGTAAGCCTAAAACTACCCGTCCCTTCTTTCTTTACATGCTTAACTTCAGGGGTTCAATGTAGGTTTCAGCAAAACTTACATCTACGTATCAAGGACGTCCATATTTACATGTCCAAATAGACTACTTTAACCAATTTTTTCTGTTAGAAATGTAGCTACAAAATATAACTAATTTTAGGTTCCATATCTATAACTTAAGATTGTCAAATCATGATGAACATCAAAATCATACAAAAATCGCTCACATGCATATATGGGATTCATTTAAATTATTTTGCTAAATGGGCAAATTAGATGCGATTTATATGTCGTACAGTGAGTATTCATGCAACACAACTTGATCAATAATGCAACAAAGTGAGTATTCATGCAACACCACTTAATCAATGACCAGGATAATAAAAATTCAAATAAAAATTCAAATTCAAAACGAACTAATTGGCTTTCCAAAGAATCTCGAAGGACAACCAGACAAGAGCAGGCCTGACCAAGCAAATTAAGAAAATGCAAATAAATTAGCTTACAAAATATCCGATTCAATAAAATTCAAGGTTGATGTACAATGTTGGGACAATGAGAGAGGAAAAATTAGTAGACTTGTGTTTTGACAGAAGAAAGGTTACAATAATTTATAAAACCTAAACACTAGAAAAGAGAGACACATTAAGGTCACTGGAATCACCAAAATGACTATAACAATAGCAATGCAAGCACAGCGATACAGATTACAGAGGGAAAGGAATTTGCTTAATTAACACACCAACATGAAATCAATTCCTAACATCAAAGAATGAGATAAATATGAATGAGAGCCAGTTGGAAAGAATGACTTGATACTCCCATCATCTAAGCTGAATATGCCCAAATCACTACAACCTTTTTTGGACCACCATCATATAGGGATGATATATTCCACAAACTTTCATCTGCAACATGCCAGTGGCCTAGCGGTATCAAGCTTCTACCTCTCAAAGATAAGAAATTTGAGCCTCAATGTGGAAGTGTTAGTACCAACTAGGAGAAAAAAAAAAACTTTCATCTGTAAAATAAATGCAGTTTCGTTGGTAACGTCATACAACCGGCCATTGTAAATGGTGGCTCCCAAGATCCGTCCAAGTCTGATCCCCCAATCTACAAAACAAAGCAGGCTGCCATCCACAGAAGTCATATATAATCACTACTTTAAATAAAGGAACCGTGTCCGAGAAATCTAGGGTTCAGTTTTTTTTGGCTGGTCTCTCCACTCCAGGAGTATTAATTAACATGTTTACAAAAGTAGTGATTATATATTATCTTCTTTAACATGTTTACGTAAGAAATTTTCTTATATCAAGTTCTACACCCTTTGAAACTTATTGGCAGAAATTGTGCTCGTGTTTGATTGATTCATATTGGAATTTTTTTATTTCAATATTTTAATTCCCTTTGTTTCCAATAAATAGATTTTTTACCCTAAAAAATTGATAATGTTATTTTAGAAAAACTTTAAATAGGGAGCAAAGTAATTTTGTTGAATTAGAAAAGAAGAAATGTGGGTTTTGCAATTGAATTGTTAAATCGTAATTTAAGTTCTTAAGTATACACTTTTATTGTAACTTAACTGTGTAACCATATTTAACATTTTGGGAAAGTTAACCATACCTAACTATGTAACCAAGAACATAGTGAGTGTCATATAAAAACATTATTTAGTTACCGATGTCCTCCTAATTTTTTATTTTTTAATTTATTTTTGCAAGATGTCATCCTAATTAGCAGACGCAAAAAAAAAAATATACAAATAAATATGGACTTGTCAAATTTCATATCATTTATATACTTCGAATTGGGCAGCTTTTCTAAAAAGGGAATAATAATTATAATAATAATTTGTAATAGCAACGATTATATCAAAATCTTATCCACGGAGGAATCAAGTCTGATTGATTTGGTGATGCAAGTGATGAATTGTCATTGGATTGTTGATGTTTAACCACTTGATTGATGCAAGATAAAGGTGTGAAATCAAGAACAAGTAAACAGAGACGGTGCAATTCATCTATATATATGTATGATAGTATGTTGTATTATGTACTTTTTACCTACTAATAAAACTTTTTTTTGAATAAGTTTCATTATATATTTCTTTATTTATATATTCATAACAAATAATAATAATTTAAAATAATTATACATAAGTCAATGGGTCAGGTGTGGGTAAACCCGCACATCATGGCCCCGATGCCTTACATCTTGAAATTAATTTATCTAAGTGGAATAATTGTTGGAGACTCAAATGATGGGAGCAAATGATGAGCTATTGAGCCGTTTATGATCTTCCCAAACTGGCCCACTTTTCACCCCTAAACTTTTAATGAAAAATATTAATGGAATTTTTACATTAAACGCAAAAACTACGGAAATATACAATTTTATTCATTTTCGTTGCCTTGTGAAGCAATTGTTTATGGGATGGCATGTGGTTGGGCATCTATATAATAATTGAATGCATGAATCACTTTCATGAAAAATAAATACAAGTACATGAATAACGCCCATGATGGAGATCTGAGTATTGCTTCCAGGGAGTGTTTTTCTATGAAATCGTTGTTAGAAATCTTTGTCGTGAACAAAACTATAATCACAGAGAGATTACTATTCCTTCTTTTTTAAATCCCCACTTCTCTTCTCTCTCTCTCTCTATAATTACAGGGACATGTTGGAATGGACAAAACAGAGGATTCAAGTTGTCAATTCAATGCATTTTTTGCACATAGAAAGATCAGAACAACAATCCCCAACCAATGCTCATAGAAATTATCATACAAAATTCAAACGCCACACCATAAATAAAAGACAATGAGTCTTTCTATGATACTCCACACCTTCCTTTTATTTGAACCACAACAAACTCCATCCAGAAACAAAGACAGTCATGTTTCCCAAAGATTCTTTCATGGATTTCATCGCCAATTTTGAAACCTCGTGAGACAATAGACAGTATAAGAAGGGAACTAAAATACGCTTACCGCACATTCCAACCTTAGACTTTTCACTCTATCTGACTGCTGCCACAACAAACCATGAGAACTTCACCAACAAGAAGTGAGAAAGGTGTACTAAAATTGGTGCATCCAGGCAAGTATGTGGAGATTCACAGAAAGCCCATAACTGCTGCAGAAGTCATGAAGAAGAATCCAAGGCACTGCGTTGCGCGGCCTGATGTGTTCAAGTATCCATGGATTGTGGTTCGACCTGAATCAGTATTGTGTCCAGGAAGTGTTTTTTTCATTGTTCCTTATCGAGCAATCTATCGCCTGTTAAAAGCCAGAGGACTCCTCGACCAACAAAACCAGTGTCCAAAGAATCAGGACCATTATTGCTATCCCGAAGAAATTAACTTCACCTCTAAGGTCATGGGCTGGGATGACAACCATGCACCAGAGCCATAACTGGTGCATTGTGATGGCAGGGGATGGGAGGAGTCCTCAGGTACAAGACTCCGAGGGATGAGCATTGTTTTGCAAAGAAAGAAGGCCATTGGAAACAGCAAGAGCTGGTAAATATATGGCAAAGAGACGGTTAGAAATGACAAGAGACTGCAGTACGTGTAGTGTGTTTTACTGTTTTACATTCGAGCCATGACCCCTAATTTAGTACAGCATGACTGTAAATATCGGTACAACAGCAGGCATGTAAAAATGTGGCAATAGTTTCTGAGAAAATATAATCATAGTGATGTTGTAATCTAGTTGACAGTTTAAATGTTATTAATATATATGTACGTTTCCATGTATGGGATGTATGGGTGTCTACATTAAGTTCAAAGTCAGTTCGATTCAGATGATGTTTGGGATCTGAAACTGTCAACCAAATATTGTTTCTTAACATATGTTTGGAATATGAATTGGAGCTAACTAACGATGCACACATAATTCCCTTGACGTTGTTAATGCTAAATCTTTTGCAGGAAAGAATGAAACTGATGATTTGGAGGATGTCTGCCACAGTAGCAATGCAAGGGCAATGACTGATGAATTCTATGCGAGTGACATAAATACATCTAGCATCCCTACCAAAACCAAGTGCAGTCCTCCCAAGCAGCCTCACTACAACCTGGACAAAACCATCGAGCTCGTTGTCAAGCTCCTTCGGTTCTTAGTTCCCCTGATCATACTGGGCATAGCCGTTGGCATCCGTTTCTATACTAGATCATCATCTCAGGGAGTGAGAATCTACAGGGGCATTGAAATCCAATCTATAATAAACTTATATTGGTGAACAAAGGCCTTCATTCTTGTTTTTACTGCCTATGAAGACTTCCAATTCTGGGATAGGAAGAATAAATAGTTGTACCCAAAAATCTCAATAATCAATATGCATCAGAGATGTATAAGTCAATTTATCAATCCCATATATATATAGATATAAGCAATAATATATAACTACCAAATATGGAGTCATGAAAAAACAATGAAAATCTCAATAATAATAAAATACAGGGTGAATTTCACCAATAGAGGTAGGTAGATGTTAGTTGTATTGAAACTTAAACTAACGTCTATTTTTTTTCTGCGTGAAATGTCATTCTTCCCCTTCTCTCTTTATGCGCCAAACTTCAAGCGTGTCAGTGTAGGTTTCAGCAAAATTTACATCTACTTGTATTTAGACTTTACCTCAAAGGGTATCAATGTAATTTACCAAATTTTAAAATAAATTAAAAAATTATTCTTTGCGTCTAGGCCTATTGTAAGTTACATGGAGCACATTGTTATGATCTCCATGAATGATAAAGCAAAAGAGCTAATTTGAGCTCTTGTGTAATTCTGAAGTAGGCTCTTGTAACAAAGTATCCTAGGATGGTGATATTCAAGACATTGCTTTATAAGCCAAACTACTGCTTCTAGTTTCCTTAGGAACTCCATTCAGAAATATCTACAGGAAATTATGATCTAGGTGAAAATTTTCTTACAGATTTGGATGGAAATTGTTTCTGCAACCTTTTTCCAGCACAAAGTAACTGTTTAAAGCTAACTGGCACTTCTCAAGAAATGTTATTCAATTCAACAATCAGAGCCTTATGTCAAGCTTTGAGCAATTTCATCATCTACATGAACATTAAATTTTGTCATAGAGCAACACAAGACAAACTAATTGCATCGTATATCTCCATTGATTCCCCAACTTATTTTTGTTGTTATGTAACAAGTGAATTAACAAACATTTGATGAGAACAAAGTTATCGAAACTTTTCAACCGCGATCGACATAGAGTTCAAACTAGAAAAAAGACAAGTGGATCCCACATGCGGGTCTCACTATGCCAATAGTTGTGGTTTAGACCGTCTAAGAAGTTGTCATACAACGTTGGCTAGTGTAACACTACTCCTTAAATAATAGAAAAGGGACACGTTGGAATGGACACAAGAGAGGATTCAATTTCTCAATTCAATACAATTTTTGCACTCATATCACATAGAAAGATCAGAACAATATTCCCCAGCCAGTGCTCATAGAAATTACCGTAGCATATTCAAATGCAACACCATAAAAGACAAAGGGTCTGTCTAAGATGACTACACACCTATCTTGTGTTTAAACAAAAGTATCCAACCATAACAAACTCTAGAAATAAAGATAGCTATGTTACCCAAAGATCCTTTCATGGAGTTCACCGCCATTTTTGTCATCTCATGAGATAATAGACAGTATAAGAAGGGAATTAAAATAAGCTTACCTCACATTCCCAACTTCACATTTCACTCCATCTGACTGCTAGAACAAACCATGAAAGCTTCACCAACAAGAAGTGAGAAAGGTGTACTAAAATTGGTGCATCCAGGCAAGTATGTGGAGATTCACAGAAAACCGATAACTGCTGCAGAAATCATGAAGGAGAATCCGAGGCACTGCATTGCGCGGCCTGATGTGTTTAAGTATCCATGGATTGTGGTTCGGCCTGAGTCAGTATTGTGTCCAGGAAGTGTTTTTTACATTGTTCCTTATCGAGCAATCTATCGCCTGCTAAAAGCCAGAGGGCTCCTTGACCAACCTTCTTGGCAACAAAACCAGTTTCCAAAGAATGAGGACCATCATTGCTATCCTAATGAAACTTCACCTCTAAAGTCATGGCCTGGGAATTGGGATGACAACCATCCACCAGAACCATAACTGGTGCCTTGTGATGTCACAATATGGGACGAGTCCTCAGGAACAAGACTCTGACTGATAAGAGTTTCAGTAAAACAACCCCACACAGTCAGGCCTGAGTTGATTGTTACGAACAAAAATATTCGCCAAGAATATTAGCTCAACAATCTTCTCCGGGTCTTGTAAATATTGTATGTTTCTAGAATACTCTAGCAGGAGAGTTAATTTCCTTTTATATTTGGAGAGTTGGTGAATATATATATGCGTCTCTTGTACAAAAGATCGTTATCAATGGAGGCCGAATCCCCCCTGTGGAGGGGATCTTGTGCTTTAGTTCTATGTACCTTTACATTTATATGCCTATATGAGGTAACAGGTTTACTGCCCAAAGGGTTTTAGTATTATTCATTTACCTACTTATAATGCCGATTATCTAAAGGGTTTGCAGCAAGCAAGTTTTGATTGAGAATTTCAACAATCCTATACATGTATTTATACCATAATAAAAAAAAAAAATAGGATTAAAAATCTTTTGCACCGAGAATTATTTCGAATTCAGGACTTGACTGGGGCATTGTTATGCAAAGAAACAGGACCATTGGAAACTGCAATAGCTGGTAAATATTGGGAATAATTTGAAGAGATGGTTAGAAAATGATAAGATGTTACGACAAACACATATATTATTATTGTGGGATTTCTTTTAGGAGAAACCAAACTAAAAGAAAGAGAGGTATTTCATGAATCACTTGGATAGTAGTTGCAACTTACAAGTGAAAAATGAGTGCCATAACTAGGCTGTAAGATCAATGAAATTTTTTTCACATATCAAGGATATTATCAAAGACCAAAACAACAAGAAAAAAAATCCAGTAGTATAGGTAGCATCAACCGTCAATCTCTTCTTTAACATGTTTACATAAGAAATTTTCTTATATCAAGTTATACCCTTTGAAAACCATCATCTGCAAGAAAAAGCTCATTCCTTTCTATCACTAATGCAACGAACCACAACTCATATACAAGGTGGGAGGAAGAAAACAAGAAGGGAGAAAAAAGAAAGAAACAAAGATCACCAAAAAGCATGACTCATTGTTACTCAACAGAAGCAGTTAAACGAATCCGAGTAACATGAAATACCTAAAAAACATGCTTGTTCACGTTCTTTCGGTTACCTTAGAATCGGTTTTTTGTGAATGCTTTGAGGGAGAACTTGATCCCCTTGATGAACTGTGCCCAAAAAAGTTCAGCTTGCCAATTTTCTTTGAAAAAGAGCTCATAAATTTATGAGAACTGGACTTCTCCATGTCTCTCTTCATGCAAACATGTTCTTTCTCTAGATCATTTAGTCTCATTCGCAACCGAGCTAGCTCAAGTTTCAGCTCCCTATTTTCTCGCCTCAGTGATGCATAGTTGTCTCGGGGAGACATTGCAGCACTTAGTGCACCACTGCTGATCCTCCATGACTGGTGCATTGGCTTGTGTTCTTCCTCGGGGTAAGAACAGAATAAGGCATTTCGGAGCCTTAACTGCTCAAAATATAGCACTTGGACCATTGATTGAAGAGGAAGGCGTTCATTTTGTGCCGCATGTGCACCGGCTTCTTGTGAGAGCTTTTGAAAATCAATCAGTTTACAGAGCTTCTTCCTGTCTGGATCTGATAAACCCTGATGCGCCTACATTTTGTATTAAAAAGGAAACAGTCAGGAAAAGAAAATAGCAATGGTCAGCACACAGGATCCTTGTTTGGTTTTGGTCAATCTTGTGCCTTTTTAAAAGGAAAACCAAAAAAAAAAAAAGAATTTAAAAAAAAAGAATAACAAGTTTAAAGAAACAATTAGAAAATCAGTTTATTGTCAACTTTATTTTTAACCAATTATCTCCAATCCCTCCCTCCAAAATTAGCCAGCACCAAATCACATAATAGTCTCATCTAGAAAAATCTCACAAGAAAAGATATGTAGAACGTACTTTGAGGTAAATATCAATGGCTCGATACAACCCATCATGAATAGTACGTGCGTGTGATGGTAAAGTTTCTGCAATTGCTATGAACTTAGTGAGCTTGAGATTTGCATCAGGTGCAATTTCAGCAAGGTAATTGTCTACCAACTTTGAAACTTTGAACAATGCAGTCTGGGAGGGTGAATGAGGACTATCAGATTCAAAGACTGAGGCATCTTCCATATCGTCTTCACTATCATCTTGTTGGGAAAAATTAACCAAAATTCTATGAACCGTATCAACATCAAATAAAGTATCACCAGCGTGGCGGAAGGAGGGGACCAAAAGATCATCTAGAGAAGCTATATCCAACTGCGACCCAATCCGCCTCTCAAGATCAAGCCTACAAGCAACCGTGCAATCAAGCATCACAGCACTTCGCAAAAGCCCGAAGAGAAAATTGATGGGAACAGCAAGTTTCTCAACAGGCAGAAGGCTAACAATTGTCTCAACCACAAGTCTTTCATGTCCACTTGAACCAGCAACCAAATCAATTTTCGGTTGGCTAGATGGATTCCATAAGCTGGATTTCTTAGCCAACTCCTTTTCAGCATAATTCATGAGTGATGCACCGATACTCTCAGGCCGGACTCCGCGACATTTCATCGCCGTTATGACTCTTTGATACAAATCAATCCGAAGAACAGAGAGATCTTCTATCCACCAGTCCCCATCACATTTGGCTTGGCGGGTCATGTGAAGTCTTCCTGAGCTGCTGTACTCCAAGCGTGAGAAGCTTGAAGCAATTTGCTCTACGCAGGCTTTGGACGCTATTGCATCAATACATCGGCTAACTATTTTTAGCTCATCGGCTAGAGGGAGTAGGTTCTCACATTGTTGCAAGACTTCAACGCACATTTCAAGGTTCTTGCACACAACAATATCAAGATACTCTTCAGCACGTGGACCAAGATTATTCTTTGAAAACTCCTCAGTCATTTCGAGGTAATCAGATACACAACATAACTGAGCAACATTTGCAGATATTATCTCAAAGTCAATACCATAGCAGAATTTGGCTGCCAACTCAAATGACTGGGCACCTCCAGGTAGACCAAGAAGCTCTATTCTTGAAATATCAGAGTCCCTGTGTTCTGCTACCAATTTCCGGATTCGCCCACTCCGAGAGACCAGAGGGAACTGCTAATAACAATTAAAATATAATCAGAAGTTACTGCTAAAACAATGAAAATGTGTTCTCTCTAAATTGCCTAAACAGTCTTATATTGTATACATTATTGCCTAAATGAAATTTGTCTGTAGAAGAATTTAAATTCATGCATACTTGACCCCAGAAATGAAAGTGAATATTTTTTCACTGTTACAGCCATCATTATGTTCATCAGAGTGCAGTGTTTTACTTCACTTAACATTTCAGAACATGAGTTGTTTATCTATTATGGCGACACCACCATATTCACCACAGATTAAATGGCAATCTGTTGATATTTTAAAAAATCACTAATTTCATATATATGAGAAAAAATAAATATTCAAGGACAACTGAACTCTTTAAATGCATTTGAAGGCACACATATTCTGATATTCATCTCATATATATCATAGAACACGTAAGCAACCACTCAATTTTCACAGGACAGTAAAATGTCATATCAAAAAAAAAGTTTTTTTCTGTTAGAAAATAACAAATTCATTATACAGAATGTTAAATTACCTTATGCAATGCAAATGATCCTCCATTCACCTCTATTGTAATATCGCTAGGAACATCCCGGAATATCCTGCAAAAGATCAGCAACCAATGACCAGCATAAAACACACTAGCAATTATTACAATAATTAACATGGAAATGGAAAATCAGAAAAATCAGTGCTTAGCTTTTTGGATGCTACCTAATATCAACAATTAGAAGGGCAAATGCACAAGAATTTTTTTTTTGCCAAACTGAAGCAAAGATTGTGAGATCAATAATCTCATTTTACATAGAAAATTTTAAAAGTCAATTGACAGTTAATAAAATCAAAAGTTCCCACTAATTTTAACATGCCCAAACAACAACAGAAAAAGAGAACAAACAGAAGAAAACAAAAACAAGGAAAGAAAAAAAGAAAGAAAAAAGATGCAGTTATACCAAATAACTATTTAAGAATGAGTCAAAGAAAGAAAGACAGGGCACTGGTGAATTGGGCCTGAAGCTCCTTGGGCGAAAAGAAAAAAAAAAAAACAAAACAAAACCAAATTAATATTGTTTGCATCTAATTCCGCTGTTCTATATGTTATAGAATTCATCATATTATGTGAGATCAGGCCAGTGTAACTCCAACATCTCACATATTTTGCAGTCAACACTAGCATCGACATGTTAACCGAACCGAACACTAAAATTTTAAAAATCTTAAGCTAAATACGATGTAATTTAGCTTCAAGATGCTTTCACCAAGCACGGAGGGATTACACGCATGATACTTTCGGCTACACACTCGATCAAACTTAAAACACAGGAAGGTCCAATGATCGAGTTTCCCTCTAGAATATATTGACAAACATCAATGATGCTAAATTAAAACTGCAGCCCTCACCCCAACAAAGTAATTAAACAAAACACAAAGTAAGCACATTAAACAAGTAGAAACCTTAAATAAATGCAAACCATAAACACATTTTCTCTTTACAAATAAAAAGAGCTCAAGGACCAAGTACAAGGCCCAAGAAGAGATATTCAAATACCCATTAGAGGGATAAGCGGAAAGTATAAGTTAACAAAAATAGAACCAAACAAACACACCAACAAAAGACATCATCACATAAAAAATATATATATATACAGTAAAACACATAAAAACAGTAACAAGATGATCTAAAATTAATGAATTGGATCAGAATTTAAAGGCATAGTTGAAGTAACAAATTAACAAACCATTCGTTGCATCGCTGCTGCCGCGAACACTTGGCCAGAGACAGCTGCTGCTGCTGTTTGTCCATGGGCAGAGGAAAGTGAAATTTCTAGAGAGAGAAAAGATGATAGTAGTGGGTTTAAGGAAGAGGAGTGGTACTGGGGAAAGGGACAGAGACCCAGATGGAGATGTTGGTGATAGTAGAGTACATTGGCCATTTTTGTCAAACGCGTGGTGTTCAAAGCATAGATTGCAATCGTCCAAAGCAACAGAGCTCTCTGGTGGGTCATGCTCGTGCCTCCGCTTTTATTTCAAATATATACATACATATACATATATGTATATATGTGTGTATATAATATTATATGATTACAGTCTATAACTAGTGAATAGAGTGAGTATTTTTGCTGATAAAGAGCCGCAAAGAAAGGACGGGTTTGTAACTTTCTTCATAAGAAAGTCAAGACTTCTCAATAAGAACAGGAAAAAGAGGGGAAAAGCGGGAAAAAAGGTAGTTATTGGTGTTGACATATTTTACTCTTTGTCCCTTCAACTAATCATTATGCTTCTGTTCCCTTTATTTTACGGCTATTTACATGGCTACCCTATATTTTTTCATTAAAGGGTGTCTGTTTTTCAAAATCCGAAATTTAAATAATAATAATAAGAATTTATATATTCAACGACTCGGTCTCCTTAGAATTGAAATACTATGATTTGACAGATAACCCAAATCCTTGGAGAACCGTATTAATTCAATTATTTGAGTGTTGGTTGTGATCAAATTAGATCGTTTAGATGGAAGGCATTGAGCACTTGAATTGAATATTATCTAACTTCTTGTCACATTCAAGTTGCATCCTTACATTCATGCAAGACTATTAAATATTTTTTACATGTTGTTAAATAGTTCAGGATAACGCAAGTGTGTGTGATTATCTTTTGTGTATTTTTTTTGTTTTTTGTCGAGAGTTTTAGTGATACCAATCAACTCAATTAAGTGGGAATGAATTTAGTGTATAATCAGATTGTCCCCACTGATATTTTTTATCTATTATTTTAGTATTAATACTAGTAATTTTTCTCTTTTTTAAAATTATATATCTATTAAATTTTAATATTGCTATTGTTCTCCTTGAACAATTTCCTGAGTCTATCATGCAAATAGGTAAACTTTAAAATATGAATTGGCCAGTTAGATCAATGCAAGTTTATAAGTAAACCATGTCCTTCTCCATTGTTTTTGTTTTCTAAATTTAATACTATTATAGTAATAAATTTTTTTGGAACCATGTGGTGTGTGCCATGTCCTCCCTTTACAATGGTGGAGTGGGCTTTGGAATGCTAAAACAGAACTTTATGCAACTGTGCTTGAGCTGGTCTTTTCAAAGTCGGTGTTGGATTTAATTTGTTAAAAGGTTGGTGCTTTGAAAGGATAAGGTGTAGAAATTTGGATCATTTTTGAACTGCAGAGGTGGCAACTTCAATAAACAAGGATGAAGTGGGGAAACTGTAACTAAAAAGATTTTAGGGATCAGATCAGATTTTTTATTTTTTTGGTAGATATTACTAATAGTGTGCCGGGCATACCAGGTCATTAGTATGCCCGATCAATGAAAATTAATACAGTATTGGTTGAGAGCAGTTTACAAAGAATAGATATCTAATGCGTTCGGTGCACCGTGCATTAGGCTAATTAGAACTGTACGTAATTTGTACGTGCCCGTGCCGGGCATACTAGGTCATTAGTATGCCCAATCAATGAAAATTAATACAGTCTTGATTGAGAGCAGTTTACAAAGAATAGATATCTAATGCGTTCGGTGCACCATGCATTAGGCGTGTGTTGTGCACGCATGGCTCTAATTAATCCGGTGCACGATATACTAGCCACACCGAATACCTACTCGTTTTCAGAAGTATGTGAAATTAATTTCATATGATAATGTATTTTCATTGATTAGACATACCAATGACATGTTTGACGAGAATATATTCAGTGTGCTCGGTATACTCTGCATCGAATCATCAAACTTGTCCGTCCTAGCGCATGTTGTATACAAATGACACTAATATACTCGATGCACCGAACACACCGAATACTTTATCATGTGTGAAGCACAATATAACTTCGTGTAAATAGGGATATATTAGATGAGAATTACTCTTTTATGTTTCATTTTTTAAAAATTTTGTGCTTATAAATGCACTTTTCACTTTGAAGATGCAAACAAAAAAAAATTCAAAAAGGAGATAGCACACCCCAATAATAGGAGTTGGGAGAGTGACAGTGGCCACTTTATGATAATTTTATACTATGATTGCCCACCCACCTCTGGTGGGGTCATTTTGGATTATACCTTTGGTGGGTCAAATGTACCCTACTCTCTCATTATAATGAAAGTTACACAATCATAACATTTGATATAATTATCTTCCCACCACCACCACTACTATTCCTTTTCATGCATCTAAATGAGAACAAAAAAATTTGTTCCTAAGTCAAAGTCTTTTAGATGACATTATCATAAAAAAAATAATAATAAAAATAAAAATAAAAAAGAAAAAGAAAAAAGACATGCATGGAAGGTAGACCCAAGTCCCAACTTCCAACAGCTACTTAATGTGTAGTTTGTACATGTACATGCATACATACACACACACAAATATATATATATATATATATATCGAAAAATTGGATTGCTTCAAAATCAAATGTCCTTGATTTCTTTATACTGTGCTAGTACTCATCAAACCGACAAATTTGTCTTTAGAGATTGTAAATTCAATACAAAGTCCTAAGTTTTTTAACTACTTGATATTGTTTTCTTTTGTTTTTTTGTGGTCTTTTTATCTTTTGCAGTAAATACAATGGACTAGACATTTCACATCAATTATAGAGTGAGGGGTTTGTGTCGTCCCATATTAACGTGATTTGACATAATTGCTAAAAGATAAAATGTAACATATTTTTTTTTTTTTTTGTGAAATTATAATAATCAACTACCTAACAATAATATTTAAAAAGTCTGTAAATTATGATAAAGAGTTAGGCTATTTAAATGTGAGAGAGTGGATCCCACCAAATAATGTCAGGTCTTACGATCAAATATTAATGGAGATTTTTGAATTTCACATCTTTGATATTGTCAAAATATGTTGATTTTTCTCCTATTGTTTTAAGGTGGCAAATGCAAAGTTTTTTCTCACTCATATCTAGCTCTTAAGATTGTTTTTCTCTTAAATTAAGTAAACAAATAAAATTCTATAAAATACCTTACCATATGGACAAAAAAATAAAATAAAATAATTTTTTTGAAAAGACAAATAATAATAATAATAATAATGAGGACACTTTACATGAGATAAAGTAATAGTAAAAATTTGAGGTAGAGTATGGATCTTTTGCGATACAGTACCCCCAATGTTATTCTCACACCAAGGAAAAGATCTCACATGCATGAATGAAGAAATTTGTCCGATGGAGCACCTGTGGTTGGTTTGAGTTGTTGGGAACCGTTAGATCTACTTTGACAAGGATGTGGTTCTTTTATTGGACGGTGATAAAATGATTTTTTTTTCTTTATTTATTTTGGTAAAGATGATGATAAAAAGGATTGTCTCATCATTGGGACATTCACCAGTAAATTGCCAATGCATTTTCGAAAGATTTGGAATGTCAAGGCATCCGATGTAGGTTACACTCCCTTTTTTCATGGCTTTTTGAGATAATTTTGGCATTTGAGAAAATTAACTATTCATCTAATCAAGTGACGCACTGTGGGGTTGTTCCTTGTTAATGAAGCCCTGAAAATTAGTAGTATTTGTTTCGCTTTAACCAGTGATGATAGGCAATGCGAAAAAGTACTGAACGTGATGTACTGCACAATTTGAATTTTCATTTTTTTTCTTGCAAAAATTTAATTCACTTTGTATAAAATACTGACAATTATAAGAATTCTATTCTTTTTTTGAGTTAATAACAATAGTCAATTAATTCATTTGTTTAATTGTAAAGTTATTATTTTGCTTCTTGTAAGTTAGAAGTTTTTTTTTTTTTTTTTTAATGGTTCTGTTTGTTTGGATCTAAAATATTTTTTATTTTTTAGTGTTTGATTGTAGTAAAATATTTACAAAGAAAAAAAAAATAAAATCTAAGAAAAATAACTTATCTATTAAATTTTGACAAACCATTTTACACATCCTGCTTAATGGATTCGACATCAATTTCAACCTAAATTTTTATAAAATACCAAAATATAAAAAGTTATTTACTTAAAAAATTATTTTTCATAAAAAAAAAAATTTACGTCAAAATAAACGGCCTAAATCACATTTACAAAGCTTCCGGTAGAAAAAATTTTGGTTATGAACTATAAGGCAATTCTAAAAATCTTGACAGTTGACAAACTACTATCGAACAGGAAAAACAAAAAAAAAAAAAAAAAAAAAATTATAATAATACTGTAATAAAACTTGTATCATTTCAGAGATAATAAAAAATCAAAAGATCATTACAAATGTTATCTAAAAGTGTACTGGTGTTACAAGGAAAGTTTGTTTCTGATCTTGGATGGAAAAAGTTATGAATATAAATGAGTGAGTATATAATACTGTTTAATAATTTAAGTTTTTGGATAAATGGGTAAACACCTACCTATTATAAAGCCAGACTCAATTCTTGATTTAGTATCACGCCAAGCGTTCGACTCGAAAGGTTCGAGTAGGTAAGCTGACCTAACCATAACGAGGGCGTTGCGAGTTCAGGTGGGGAAGAATGCTACAACGAAGAGCTGTCCCACATCAAATTCAGATTAAAAAATATATATATAACTATAAATAGATAAGTATATAACACTATTTAAAAATTTAAACTTTTGGATAAATGAGTAAATTTAGAATTAGCCAATATACTATCAAGTGTTGTTTGTGATGATTCTCTTGTTAGAAGTTAGCGACATGGGGTTGTCAAGTGCTGCAAAAGTTGGGTCAGCTTAATGCAGTTTTGAAGTTGGGTCAAGCTTGGAGAAAGATCAGAACTTTTGAACAGGCCTAGCTCACTCTCATATGATTTCAATTTTGGCCACGGTACTGGAGGCCCATAACACATTACAAAACCCTCATGATGCCCAATAACTTCTCCACACTCACACACACGCCAAGTATTAATTCTTTGATGCAACACAACTCACAAATATTTACATTATCGGGATTATATCGTTTCAACAAACCACAATTCGACAAGTTACGGGGTGGCGGTTTGAGATTGACTGAGATCATATATTCTCAAACTATATAAAAATTTGGGGACTCATATAGTTCAAGATGTTGGACTCTATACAATTAGGTATTCATTTTATTTTTAAAGGTATAGATAAATTGCAGTCAGACCTCTCAAGTTTTGATTGAAGACATGTAGTTATAATTTAGGCGATTTTAGGATAATGACACCCCCTCACGATTGGTAAATTGAACATGCACACCCCAAATCAAGGTAAAAATACCCTATTACCATTTGACTTATGAATTGACTTATTTAAATTATGAATTTATCATATTAACATTCTCAAAACATTTTAATAAACAAAATTAATCTCTTCATTTTCAAGCCACAAAATATGATGAAGAGGTTAGGATTCTTTGGAGCCTTGTATGTTCTGGTCACCGAATTCGAGTTTGTATCGAATTATTGTTAACGATTTTTTAAGAGGTTTAGTAATTGTGATGAGAGAGAGAGAGAGAGAGAGAGGACTTTTGATTGGTATTTGATGGAAATACATGATTTCTACAAGTTTGGTACACTCGTGAAAGCTCATTTGTTCTTCTTTCCTTTTTTTTTTTTTTTGTTTGAAAAGTTCCTTTTTGTTTGTTGTTGATTAAGAATTTGATCTATCTGCTAGTCTGGTGCCCAATGCCTAAATTTCTTCTCTTTTTAACAGATGATTAATAACTAATTTTTTAGTTGAGGATAATTAGTCAATTGCTTTGAATTTTTATAGGTCACATCTTATATTAATAAAATATCAGACTTGATCTTTGTATTGGAAATGTTTGCTTTAAGCCTTCTGTCATTTGGTCTTTAAATAATTTGCAAAATCAAAATTATACTGTCATTTTGCTTTTAATGAACTAATAGTAAGTGACAAGAAAGGGTTCTTCAACCCATCCATCATTTTGACACTTTTAGGTATGGTTTAACAAAACTCAGGTTCATGTTTTTGCTCATTATTTGCTTCTGTAAACCTACATGTCTTACCTTTGTTATGTGCTGTTTTAGCAAATGTGTTGTAAGCTAAAGTGAAATGACTTAAGGATGCTCGGAGTGATTTCTAAAATATCATCCTTTTTTTCTTTCACATACTCTTGAGAACCTTCAAAATACATGAATTTTACAGTGGTTAGAGACTACGTGATAAGCCCGGTATGTACAGTCTCATCAATTCCCATCGGACAATAGTAGAACTCACATAAAATATCTATTTCCACGAAATATCTATGACCCTACGCAATTAAAAAATTTGTATGTTTTGACTGATACGTTGATAGGTGGTCATTTATTTTAGTGTACTTTTTTATTAAAAGAAAGTGTAACAAGTAAGAAACATAAAGATTTTAATTAAAAATTATATTCCAATTTATGGTACTAGGTTCCTTTTTTGTTTTTTCTGAAATTGATCTTTTTTTTCAACTAGCCTTAAGTCATTTGATCTTAAAATAATTTGCAAAATCAAAATTATAGTGTCATTTTGCTTCAAATGAACTAATAGTAAGTGACAAGAAAGAGTTCTTCGACCCATCCATCATTGTGACACTGTAATTTTGATTTTGCAAAACTCAGGTTCATGTTTTTGCTCATCATTTGCTTCTGTAAACCTACATGTCTTAAAGGTTCATGTTTTTGCTCATCATTTGCTTCTGTAAACCTACATGTCTTACGGTCTTACCTTTGTTACGTGCTGTTTTAGCAAATGTGTTGTAAATGAGTTAATGCTTGGAGTGATAACCTGCAAAATACATTAATTTTGTCTATTAAAATATTCTGAGAAAGTTAAAATAGTAAATTTATAATTTAAATAAATTAACTCATAAATTAAAAGGTAATACGATATTTTTACTAGTGTTATTGTTTAATTTACCAAATTTGAAGTATTATTGTTCAAAAAGTACCTAAGTTGTAGGTAACCTGTATTTTAACCCAAACCCGCGGGTGTGAGTGGAATTTAGCCCAAGGGTTTTGAGTTAACGCCGTCTGTTTTATACACCCACCACCAAAGCCTCTCGTCGGAACGCAACCTTGTTCACTATTCAGTTGCTTTCCTTTTCAGTTTCCACTGTACACATTACACAATACAGGGAGAGTTAGAGAGAGAAAGACTATGGATGTGTACTCATGGTTTCGACGCAGTCTTTCAAGATCCAAAAAGACTTCTTTACCCTCCACGATCGATCCCCAAGATAAGCGACAAGAAGATGATGAACTGTTTGGAGTCACTGACCAATTAATCGATTTCGTCAAGTCCTTTACTCTAGACACCTTCAAGACCTTCCCTCTCCTAGGTATCTTCTTTATAATTATATATATATACACACACACACTCACACATCTATTATTATTTGCATAATTGAGTTTTATTTGTAGATGAACAGGAAAGTAATTTTGGTGATGACAATCCGACTACTTCTGGGAATATTCGGAAGGATCTATCTGATTGGCAAGAACGACATGCCACCATTATACTATCTAGAGTCAAGGTTTTCCCTCTCTCAATTTTGTTTGTTATTTTATTTATTTATTTATTTTATTACGCTTTTGTTGAATGAATTCTTGATTGTATATGCGGTCGTATTAGAAATTATTATTTGATGATAGTCACACGTTCTTGGAATTGATTGTCTTCCTGGGAGTATTTGGGGAATGTTATTAGCCAAATTTTAAATTTGGATATTGCATGCTTTTTAGGTTCTTGGAATCACTTTATTTTTACACTCCTAATTTTAAATTTGTATATTGCATGCTTGTTAGGTTCTTGGTATAAATCACTTTATTTTTACGCTCCTAATTTTAAATTTGGGTATTGCATGCTTGTTAGGTTCTTGGTATAAATCACTTTATTTTTACGCTCCTAATTTTAAATTTGGATATTGCATGCTTGTTAGGTTCTTGGTATAAATAACTTTATTTTTACACTCCTAATTACAGTAACAAGGCAATGGAATAATTTGGTTTTTGGAACGATTTGAATTTTTTATTGGGTTGCTATACAATAAGTATAGTTACAAAGCCGAATACAAGTCCTAAATCTATTATTACAATGAGGGTTTTATGATTCAACAATACAGGCATATAGGATCCGGCATCTTATCTGGGATTGATGCTAATGTCCAACAATCTTTGTGGTGACTAGGAAATGCAAATGCTTTTGGGTATGATGAGAGAAAATTCATTTAGATAGCATAAATCTACAAAATAGTAGCTATTTGACGAACATTCCCCTTCTTTATCATCAGCCAGCCTGAGTGATAAAACTTGCCTTTTAATATAGTATTCGAGGGTTGGCATGTACATTAATGCTGTTGTACTAAGTTAACAAGGTGGTTAAGAAAATAATTATTGATTTTGTATAAATAGTTGTTTAGAGTAAAGATAAAGGTTAAAAGCTCATGGTTATGATATAAACTAAAATAAAGCTAGGATTGTTGAGAATTGTTGTCATCTTTTATTGAACTCCCCTCACAGCTAAGAATCGTGGGGACGTCTTGGGAGGAGTTGTGCTTGTGTTGGACATGGGACAAAAACAGGCATTTATTGAACACTTAAAAGACAAGTTTTTGACACAGTTTGGATGCGTCTACAAATAGAATATAAATTTCTTAATTTTGTAAACATGGTTGACACTTCTTGGGCTCACTAGGAACGCATGAGTAAGGAATATCCTACATTGGAAAGATTTTCTTTTTAACATGAATATGAAAAATAATAATTGTAAGTAAAAAAAAAAAGGGTACTCCTAATTGAAGGTTTATGCAAATTTATGAGAATTTTAATCATATTAAAAAGAACAAAAAAGGTAAAAGGTTTGTATTAAAGAAGTATGTATGAGGGCAGGAGAGGACAAAGTAGTTATCAAATTTTGTACATACACAAACACATGCATGCACATATATGACGCCTCTTTATTATTACTTTCTCAATATCCAAGTTTGATTATGATTTTATTATTTGCCAGTTACAAATTTCATCTATTCATAGAATATTAGCTGTCATGAAGTAAATTTTACTATATAGAGTATTATTTTATATATTTTTATAAAATTATATATTTCACTACCGTGTCCTTGCAGTTTCCTTATTTTTATAAAATTATATATAGTATTAGCTGTGGCCTAGCGGTATCAGGCTCCTACTTCCCAAAGGGAGGTCAGTTCGAACCTCAGTGGAGGTTGTGTGTGTGAGTACCAACTAGGAAAAAAAAAAAAAAAAAAAAAAAGATTTGTCTTGTTGCCATGTTCGTGTTATGTCATGTTTGTATTTGTATCTTATATGCGTGTCCATTCTTCTTAGCCCCGTTGTCTCTTATTGCTCTGAGTTCCCACTGTTGTCTTCACTCACAATGGATTTCTTATAACCAACGGTTGTCCATGTTTCCCTTGTACGGGTCTTTGACGAAAAGAGGAGGGATCCACGTCGCTTCTTTCTTTTGTCACAATGTATTGAGGTGGTACAAGGACATGTGGTTTCATATAAGTTTCATAATTGTTTTCTTTGTTCATGAGAACTCTTCTTGTTTATGTTCATTTGTGATAGCTTTACTTGTGAGAACTCTTCTTGTTCATGTTTATTTGTGATGACTTTATTTTTATGCCTATTATTTATGCTTCTCATCGAACATTTTTCCGTGTTTGTTCAATCCTTGTGGACTGCATTTTCTTTCTGGGAGTTTGTAAGATAACTTCAAGCCCAGTTTGATTAGTACTTAAAGAATGCATGAATGGGAGATGTGATTTTGCATAATTGGCTGTTATTTCTTGTAAGCTACAATTCAGTGTGGCTTCATAGTAATATTAATTCAATTGCTGTTTCTCATTTCATTTATTAATTAAATTTTGGTTTTTCTCCAGGATTTGTCACTACTTAGGCTTAGGTTATGCCCTCGTCACTTGAAGGAGCGACAATTTTGGAGAGTATATTTTACGCTTGTCAAGAGCTATGTGGCTGAGTAAGTTTTGTGTATTTTTAATTTATTTCTGTCGAGTAATTGTATGCCTTACCTCCTGCTTTGGATTGCCAACAGTCCGTAATTGGTTCTTCTGAGTGGACAAAAGCTGACCTCAGTGTGTGGGTGTTGTGTAACGTGTAGCTTTTTCAATTGTTAAAAATGAAAAAAATAAGAAGACAGTGAGCCTTGATATTTTTCGACTTCTCCAACTAGATAGAACTTAAATTGCTCGAACAAGTTTAAAAAGATGAAGTGGAAAAGGGATGATTAGTTGATTACTGAGTAATTTTTTGCGAAATAATTTTGAAGGGTGTTCTTGTTATTTCAACAAAATAACTGCATCTCTAGTTGTGACTCTCATTGTTTGTGAAAATTTTCTTTACCGGGATTGGGCTTTGGGCTTCCGGACTTATATTTTGTACCAAGTAGCACTTAGAATGTATTATCTGTTTGCATTTTTGTAGGGAAGTCTTAAATAAATATTATCCTCATACGCAACTCAAATATTGCATAATTGACTTTAAAGTAGGGAAATATGTTCCAATGATTGATGGCAATGATTGATGGCCCAGGCAAACAGGATTGACAAGGCAAGAAGTTAGATATATAGTCATTCACGTTTTTATTTGTTAGTCATTGATGATTGATAAATTTTGATGCATGCCTTGATTTGAGATGGTTCAGGTAATTCTGACAAAAAAGAAGAAGCATATTTCTCTCTTTAGTAAATACCATTAAAGAGCAGAAGCACATGCTTCATGCTTTTGGTCGTAACTTTTTATTCAAGAACCTTCTCATGCTAAATTGTGCTCCATATAAACTAGTCGAGGATAGTTTTATCTTTCAAAAGCCCATAGTATGGTAATCGACCATTAACTGTGGATGTTAAAATAATGAATTTCTTAAGGACAGTTTGTCTTAAGCTAGTTTGAGGTTATAAAGTAACATCACATTTCTGAACGAAGAAAGATAAAATTGCCAGTTTTGATCTTTCATAAAAGTAAATGCTCTGCAAACATAGTTCGGTTTCCGTTGACACCAATAAGTGCATAGAGGTTTTTTTTTTTGGATCAGGTAAGTTTACTCATACACACTGCCCATGCTGGGGCTCGAACTCCACCTCTCCTCTTTTGAGGATGGGGAGGTTATACTATTGGGCCAAAGGCCCTTTGGTATAAGTGCATAGAGGTTGCATCTCAAGAAACCTTAAGTTCTCTACTTTTCATTCTTATCACATAAACTGGACCAAGCAGGGTTTTATTAAATATTTAGAGGAAGAATCTTTTAATCAGTTGACTGCAGGATATATGAAGTCGGGGTACAAATTAATGTTTTTATGATATTAGCTGTAAAAGCTGCGATTTGAAATGCGTGGTAATCTATGAGAAGTGTACCTTCCTATCATAACAGCATTATCGATTCTTTGCTGGCATCAAACTCTGAGAAATCCAAGGTTGGATTACACATGCAAGAATGCAACGGTTTCTCTCAGTTTACATTGTTAAGAGTTAACCTCATATTTTATGACTGCAACAATCTTCCTGAATAACTTGTAGTTGGGACCAGATTATGGTACATGTGCTGTGACAGTTTGACATGAAGTTGCTGATAGATTACATTATATTGACTCAACACTTGATGTGCATTCTATAGAAATATGTAGGGAGTACATATTTCACCACAATAATCTTCTGAGTAATGTGCAATTCTGTTGAGGTTATAGTACCTGTGTTGTTTGAATCAGCTAATACCTGAATTCATGAGTTCAGCTTGGTATTAAGTTGCAGGATAGAACTTTCATCACACTTGCATCAACATATATTAGGTTAATTATCTGATTGTCGGCCAAACCCTTTTGATCTTTGTTGGAACCTGCTAGACTTTAGTATACATGCTAAAGAACAAGGCAAGAGGTATCATAGACATGACTGAAAGAGAATGCATGTCCGCGACGAAGCCACTAATACTTGGAATTCATATTGTAATGGTGCTAAAATCTCTCTTAACCAGCTCTAACTGACATGTCAACATGGTTGATTTTTTATGTTGCAAGGGTTCATTCTGTTTTCATTGTTCTGTTCCTTGTAGGAGTTTCTTCTCTTTACATGTTCAGTCAAAATGGCTGATTTTTTAAGAAGTTTTAGATTGTTAGCTCCTTCCTTCCCCCCTCTCAAAAATATACTCACATTGATTATCAGGTATGAACTGCATGCCATACGACTTGCAAAACTCAAAGGGATGACAGTGGAGAATGAGAACTTATCAGATAGAGGTGCATATGAGGTTGAAATGTCAGAGACAAAGCAAGTGACAGATGTAGTGCCTTCAACTTCTTCGGACAAGGACTTGGATTCTCTCGTGTGACAGTGGAAATAGAAATGAATGAGCAGGTATCACTTTGTTTTTTCTTGCACCATAATTATGTTTATGCATTTGCTTCTGCTGAAAGAGTGTTAGAATTGATGTTACTTTCACATAGTATTTGTTGTAATTTTCCACTTCTAACTCAATTAATTTTTTATTAATGAGATGATTTGATGGTAACCGGTTGGGATCTGGTAGATAAAATATGAGGTGCATAGAGGAGAATGCTTAACGGGATTTGGGGAATTTCTAGGTTTTTTACAAGTAAACCTCCAAAACCCTGTGAATCAGCAAAATTATTGTTTTTGATTTCCCTCACCTCATCCTTTTGGTGATTGTTTGTTTTATAAGTTGTAAAAATATAGACAATGTGAAATTTAATGATAATAATGTTCAGTGGTCCCTCCTCACTTTTATTTTCTTACCCTTTTTCCACAAGATAGATTTTTAAGTGCCAATGTTAGCATTGTAATTATCCCTTATAATGCAAGTAATTATCGAACCACTTGCTTTTTCCTTACCTTCCTTTTGGAAAATATACAACATTATGTTATTGTAATTTGAAATTTGAAATTTGATAGTATGAGAAAGAATAGATACATTACGTCATTCATGTACTAAATTATGGGCCATAGCTCTGTATGGTGGTTAATACTAATTTCTTAGCTTGGTAGTTGCTTTTATATTTAAAACAATATATTTGCGATGAAACGGCTTCATTTCAAAAGTTAAAGCTATTTTAATTAATGTAAAAAATATGTATGTGGAAATTATTATGTACTTATGTAATTATATTTATATATTTGAACCTATTTGAAAATGTAGTTGCTTATATATGAAAATATTTAATTTTACATGCTTCTTTTTATATATACTTGTATAGTACTAGAACAATTTATTTGTGGAGTATTATATAAGGTAAGGTTTTTGCAAAGAGTAGATTTTGAAAAACCCTGACCCTTTGGCGCCAAATAACTATTTGTCACAAAAAATGTTGGGGCAATGAGCAGCGAAGTCAATTTACGTTGCCAAAATTGATGGATTTGTGAGTCATATTCTTCGGAAATAAGTATTTACAATGATGCTAAATTTTTAGATTTTAAGGTTGGAGAATGTGCAACAAAAGCAATTTTATCACCATTGATAAATATAGTTTTTTTCGATGAAAGTCCGTCTAGATAAGAATAAGTTTCAACAGATTCTATGATGAAATTCCATCACGTAAAAATGTATGTAGTCTTACCACCAAAATTGGTTTCATAAAATCATTTTTGGTGACGAATTTTATTTTCGTCGGGGCTTGAACTTACGAGGAGGTGGGTTATTGCTCATTTGTGATTTTTATTCTATTTTTTCGAAGTATAAAATTGTTAATTGTTAATTGAACTGCAGCCTGGGACTTTTTGGTTGAAACTTAACTCAACCTTGATGTAGATTTGGGCCATAAGATGACAACTAACCGGATTCTTTTTTTCTTTATTTTTTATTTTTTATTTTTTCTTACAGGGGTGCAAGTTGGGGACCAAATGCAACCAATGATGACCTGCAACCAAAATACTAACCATTGGGGACCAAATGAAACCAAATTACCGACATGTTTTGCATGCCTCCCAATCTAGTCAATGTTTTTACTTGGCTAGTTTGTTGTCATCTTCATTATTGGGGCCATTTTGTACCCTTGAGGGGTGTTTTAAACTGAATTACCCCAGTGAATTTTAATGAGGGTAATTTTTCTAAAATGGAAATTTATTGACACACATGCAAGCTATAACAAACAAGTTAGTTGATGAATGTTTGCGATGGATTGCTTTCGAAGATCTTGAGAAAGATGGTAAAACCAAAATGGAGCTAGGAAATTTCACTACAAGAAATAGAGATTGATTTGCAGGTTCCTCATTTCGTCGTAATCCAATAGTTGTTACACACATTATTTCAATGTATGGTTTTCCAATCCTTATTTTTTCTCTCTCTCTCCCTCATCATAAACTATGATCCGGAAAAGAAACCATTTGCAAGTGCGCACAACAGTTGCCTACCAAGGTGGTGTAACAAGTACAAGTAAAATTGTGTTGTGTTCTTGTGCCAATGCAACTCCAAGCATATATTAAGGAAAACCCTAATACCATCTTCCAAAGCATTTTGTCATCACATTAAATAAAAAAATAAAAAGATAATTTAGTAAAAACTAAAAGACAATGCAAGAAATATGAAAAAAAAAAAAAAAGAAAAAAAAAAAGGTCACTACATTTTCATTTTTCCATAAGAAGAAAAGGTACAATGTACTTCAGTTCTTGAAACATCCGTCTACCAAGCTCCAACTTCCATAATTACAAAAAACATGATGTTGAAGATAGAAGACAAATCTAGATTCGAATCCCCTTAGTACAAAATTTTATAATGTAATTTGTTGTGCTTTCATCCATGCAACACCGATGCATAAATGTGTTTTATCGTCCCTGCAATTGTGTTAATTCAATTACATCTTTGACGTAATACAAAAAATTGTACTAGAGACATCCGATTCCATCAAATCTATGTTGGAACACACACAGTTGCACAAAGTCATACCACAGAAACTGACACAGAGTACAATGTCCCAAACGAAAACAAATTCACTCACAAAAAAGGTGAAAAGGATTGATGCAGAGTCAATAAATGCCCACTTGTGCTACTAACGGCTTTACCACCACAAGTTTGAAAGATGATAAAAAGTAGTATACAACAAATCCAGGAAACTCAATTGCCACTGACAATGAAGTTCCCGAAAATACTCATAACATGAAGCCCAGAACTGCTAAGTTGTAGAGTAACATGAAAAAAAATGATAATATACATTAAAAAAAATGAAGATATATCAGCAATGTGAGTCTCTAACATACTAATGAATGACTGAAAAAAAAATGTTTATAGAATTAAATGAAGTGCAAACACATTAGGTATAATTCTATTACTAATCTCATGCATCGAACTTCAGGTGAGACTAATTGCTTGCATGAAAGAAACATGACTCATTGAGCCAAAGACTGGTTCAATATGACCCATCAATTAGTTTTGGGTTTTAGAACATTGACAACCACTTCTCACAACTAGTCAAAACAAGGTGGGAAACAATCTTTACCTTATATCCCAAACTGAGAAACATCACCATCAAGATTTTGCATTAAAGTGCACGTTCTAGTTTTCATTTCATCTCAATAAATGGTCGGAAAAGTACAAAAAAGAGGAAAAGACCAATTCAGAGGATGCAAATGAGTTACCTTTTTCTTCTGCTACCATGGAGCATTCAAAATTCAATCCCGACACTAACAAAAAAGAGAAATCGTGTGTAAAAGAAGAAATAAATAAATAAATAAAATGAGTGATTCAATTTATCCCACAAAAATAACAATGATGGAACCCTAGGCATCATAATGTTTCATTTGGAAGGAAAAAATCAGAATTTATAGATTTGATTTAATTTATGGAAGAATTCAGAATGTATAGATTTTAATTCAGAAGGGAAGAAAGTTATTTGAATTTCTGCCAATTATGATTTTTATTTTTTTGGCAAGTGGATCTTGATAAATTACATCTCCCCTAAATTTATGATCCCTTACTGTTTGTGGGGTCTTTCAATCCAACTCAGCTCTATAGATATTTCAGATCTGCTATGTTACAGATCATTAAATATAATAAATATACATCTTTGAGGACTTCTTGTTTCTAAGATTGATCAATAAAGATTTGGTGCCAAAAAACCATAACCGCTAGTCACAAGCTACCTTAGTCTCAAAATCCTCAACATGAAATTAATGAAAAAGAACAGAGAGACGAGGTGAATGATGCTTATAGATCCACTCTCACCCATTCGTAACGTCCTGGAAGGGGCAACTCATTTACGAAATCAAAGTTGTACCTACAAAAAAGCCACCTAACACATTAGGATTTCATTAGTTAGGATGGAGTCATTATAGGTAATCTACTTGAAATAACGTGCATAGATGTAATTAATGTTTGGAAGAAAGAACAAAAACAAAAATAACAATAACAAGTCCTAATCAACAACTAAAAAATTGGAAGTACTATACTTCTCCGTAAAAAGCATCAGTTGCTCCTGCTCCGCAGACGCAAAGAACTCATCCATCTCATCTGTTGTTGGGATGATTCTCCGCATGGTGTTCCGAGTTCTTCGACCGGCTGTGGTCGAACTTATTGGCCTCGTAGTAGAACCAGGGGTACCAATGGTGTCCGAATCCCTTATGAAGCTACAAGGAGTGCTTTCCCTGGTGCTCCTGTTAAACAATGCAACAGTAGTCAAATTACACCATTATATATGAATAAAAAAATTCAGTACAGTGACAAATTATAAGCTCCCATTAAAACTAAACCCTGATCGTTAGTATAACCTCCTTAGAAAAACAAGGCAACTAGTCTACCTTAGCCCCGGTGGCTTTGGGTCTAAATTCCCAACCACACGTTCGAAAAAATTACCCAGCTTGTGTGTACCCCAAAAAATACCGAGGTAAAATTGATATCCTCTTGGTTACCCAGAAGAAGAAAAATGGAAAAAAAAAAAAAAAAGAAGTGGCAAAAATAACATTTTGTAGTAAGGTACAGGCAGTAACAACTATTCGGAATAAAAAGGAGCATGAGATATGTGATTTTTTGTCACTTGCATATTGCCCAGAGACTTTTTTTTTGAAGTCTGTGCAATGGCCCCACAAATAAGATACATCATTGCAAACACAAATGAGGCAAAAGAGTTATTGCTGCCAGTGTAGGCCAAAGGAAAAAAGTATTTCCTGTTAATATTATTACAAGGAATTCAAAACCAGTTTTTCCTTTGTTTTTGCCTTCGTACTAGGTTCTGCCAAACAAGGACCAATTAAAAAGGCTAGTCCAGTGGCGGGAGACTGTCTGACAGGGTCTGAGGAGAGAATTTGATATATGCAGTCTTACTTTTGTGTGCAGAGATGTTTCTTATTTTGAACCCGTGACCTCCAGGTCCAGGTTACAACTAAGACTAAGCAACCTTACCCGGTAAAATGCTTGGATTGTCGAGCATGAGAACAGATTTTAAGCTTACCATCTACCCCCTCCACTTTTGTGTGCAAAGAGATTGTTTCCTATTTTGAACCCGTGACCTCCCGGTCACAACTAAGCAACCTTACCTTAAAGCATGAGAACAGACTTTTAGTTCACCATCCACCCCTTCCCAGTCCCAATACCTTGTGGTGCCCTTAAAGAAAATGAGAGCATTAAAACCGCTGGCCTACCCATGTTCTAGAAAAAAGAAGGGTTGTTTTTTTATTATTATTTCATTAAAGATATATCTCCGCATTACACTGGCAACTTTTTGTGAAAGCAATTCTGCACAGTACCCATGTTTCTGACCCTTTATTATAATACGAGAGAAACTAAAATAATAACATCCTAATGTTAAAACAAACTTCCAAAGCACATGTTTCAAACTCTTTGTAACTAAAAAGGAAATTTGAATTTTTTTTTTTTTTTTTTTCGGAAAAAAGGACACACATGCACATATTTCAGTTTGAATTTACTAGTGCAATTTCAATCCCATAAACAATAAACAACAAGAATCACTGAGTCAAAAATGGCCAACAATATACCAATTAAGAAAAAAAGACAGACTTTCTATGGAAAAGAGAAGAGAGATGAAAATGTTTGAACATAAAAAAATATTGAAGTGAACTGACAAATAAAATAAACAAGTTTATGCATGAAGAACCCAATAAGAATTAGTAATAATACAACTAGTCAAAATTTCTCATAATTACACTACTTTTATTTGTATTTTTATCAATATATAAAGGAAGGAGAAGAAGCAAAATTATGAAGAAAAAGAAAGGAAATAAAGAAGCAAATATACCTCTCTATGCCTTCAAATTCCCAATTGTTCTCTCCAAATGAACCCTCGAAATCATTGTTGTCCTCTGTTTCGTGTTCTTTCTTCTCGGAGAAGATTAAGACCGACCCAACAGAGCCTGAGTTCACGGAACTCGGCCTCAATCTCGAACTCGCTGTAGGGTTTGAGCTAGGATCAGGATTAGGGTTTCGTGTACAATTCTCTTTCTGTGTGGATTCTTGGTGGTGATTTTTCTTGGCGGCATCCAGCAACGGAGGTTTCTCGAGCCTTCGACTTCGAAGCTGAAGATAGGATGATTCAGAGCTTGGCAGTGTGGTTGTCGTTTGGAGTCTCTGTAAAGCTAGGGTTTTGGCTCTGGTTTGGACGCCGAGAGAGGACTGTGATACCTCCATCACACCGATATCGCCTGTGAGTTTTGCTTTCCTCATGTACTTCCCCATCCCTGATAGTTTCTTCGACGATCTGTACCTATTCCATGAAACTCTGTGTGTACATGTGTGTGAGAGAAAGAAGTAAACCCAAGAGGGGAACCGAAGATGAGAGGAGAGAGAGGAGGGAAAGTTGAAAGATTGGGTTCTAATTTGTACTCCCGTTGATGTTAGGGTTAAGGGAACAGTGGTTTTATTTTCTTATATTCACAATATTTTTTCCTATTTTTTTTTTTTGGAAATATTTTAATATCAAGAAACGAAATTTTTTAAAGACTTTTTTTTTTCATAACTTTATCATTAAATTTTCTTACCACAAAAAGAAAAAAGTAAAAAGGTTTTATAAAGTTACAATAATGTAGATAAGTTTTATGCTCTTCAAACCATAATAATGGTAATTTTTTATATTTTTTTGAATTTTTTTAATGCTTATTAAATACACTATTTTCTTTCACTTTCTATTATTAATTTCTATCTAACTAGATACTATATTTTACTTAATTTGAGGGGAAAAAAAATTGTCACAAATATTTAATCTAAATATAAAAATTGTAATCGTTTTTTAAATATTATTAGGGAAATAATGTTGATTTTCAATTTGATCAGCTTACAATCCATTTTCAAATGAAATGAACTAAATTAGTTCTTCACAAGAGTGTAAGAACACTTTCTGAAACTATTATTATAGTGTGCAAGTGCGTATTGAGTGACAACTTCAGCATTTAATTTTTAAGAAATAAGTGGAGTACAGCCTGTATCGTTATTAAAAATTGATGGTGTATCAAGACTTTGCAATGATGCTCCATTGGTGAACGAAAATATAAAAATTTGTCAGTAATTAAATGTGATGATAGGACTCATCTAAAGAATAATCTAACGGGTTATAAATTTGGGATACCATAATCCCAGGGCAGCCCCCTCCATAATTTTTTATTTTTTATTTTTTAATTTATTAGTAGTAATGATGTATAATTATTAATGATCATTTTGTATGAAATATTAAATTTGGCCCTCCAAATATTTTTTAGAATTCTATTATCTTGGTTATTAATGGTAATTTTGTATAAGAATATTGAAGTTGACTTCCCAAAATTTTATGAAGTTCTCATTTATAGTTACTTATCTGTGGAAATTAAAGATAGTTTATGAAATAAACTATTTATGACTTTTTTTGACTTTTGGTCTTACCTTTAAAAATTCAAACTTAATAATAAAGGAAGTGAGATTCGCATTCCACTTTTCTCTGAGCACTTCATTTACATTTTTTTTTCTTTTAAAAGAAATGATAAGAAGGTAATTACACAATTTCTTAATTTATAATGTCATAAATACCCTTTATACAACTTTACTTTTTTCAATCTTGTCAAGAGAGGTAAATTTTTTTATTTTTTTGGATAATTTTTTGATGGGTCATGTCAAAGAAATAATTTATTTTGTAAAAATAAATTTTTTTTTTAATCCTCTTTTAATAATTTTTTTTTTTTTATATAAATATTTTAACATTTTTTGGGGTTTTTTTTTTTCATGTCAAAAAGATAAATTTTTTAATGTGTGTGGGGGCAAAAATCTCCCCTTCCAATTAAGACAGGTCGCTTTTGTATGCAAGAGTCCTGCCCAATACAATAGCTTTGGATTAAGCAAACCAGGATCCTTCCAAGGCCCATAAATGAAGCCCAATTTTATCAAGCCCAAGAGAGTCATCATCAGCCTATCACAAGATGAGCTTAATCTTATTCTCGGTCAAACTTGGACAAACATTGTTCATGATTTGGATCTAATCTTTATATTTTAGGTTTCTTTTGAGGGGAAAAAAAAAATGAATAAATTATTTTTTAAGTAAAAAAAAAAATATTATGTTGAATAAATTGCCTCTTTTGGCCGGACCAAAAAATAAAAGTAGCGGTGCAAAAATTCGTCAACTTTGAAAAGTCAACGCATAAAAACAATGCACTCAAAAATTTTGTTCCATATGAGATTTTTGTCTATATAGTTCTTTTTTCATATAGCTCCTTCAATGCCGTGATTGATAGGAATTCCGAAAGGACGATTGTATTATTTAAAAAATTATTATTATTTACATCTAAAGTTAAGGTTAAAATTATCATTTTATTTAAGATTGTAGTGCAAACTCCCAATAATAAAAATATTTATTATTTTGTAAGTTATGCTAAAACGTATTGGCGCACACACTCTCTCTCTATATATATAAGTATATAAATTATTTGTTATGATTTAAAAAAAAAAAAAAAAAAAAACCAAACTTGACAATGATGACTTTATTAATGAACTGTTCCTTAATATTCTTTCAATTTATTTCTTAAAAATGCACTGGGAAAAAAAAAATTTATTACAATTATTTTATTTATTTATTAAATTTAATTATATACCACTATTTGGCCCATTTGAAAATTTCTGACTTCTGACTACACCCCGGCATATTATAAAATTTATATTAAAAATTTTTGACTCCACCCCTGCTACTGTAGAATTTATTGAACAATGTGAGAAATTTTTTATTTATTTTTAATACATGACTTCCATGAATTGATTGTGCTATACCACGTCACAACATGTGACGTGACATCACGGTTGCAATCAATAAAATTAGACACAAATATACCAAGTTAATTCAAGAGACTAAAGTCGATTTAAATATTCATTGATATTCTGGGCAATTTTGGGGATTTTTATTTTTTTATTGTTTGTAAATGTGTGTTGGTTTTAACTTAAATTTTTGGGCCGAGACCCGAGACACTGAAATTGAAAGACTTATTTTCAGTCTGGGCCTCGCAGACACAGAAGAAATAAATAATAAAATAATATATTTATCAAATTCGTCATTGCATCAAATTCTATTCATGTAACTTAGTACCGTGCGTTTCAAAATTTTTGTCCAATACATGAGAACCCTTATATTACAAGATTTGAATATAAGACGATTTCTACAAAGAGAGGATCAGCCTTCAAAGACGGAAAAAACCAGAAGAAACATTAGATTTCCTGCACATTCAAGGGAATTATATGATCTACTACTAATACAGCAGCCTCCATTTCTATTTTCCAGCGACAAAACCACCACCTATCTATCCATAAATTAGTGCTCTGCTACCGACCAAATTATTACGCTAATGAAGAAATTGCAACCGTCTCCTCACTCTTCACCAAACAATCTGCTCTATTTGAAACTTGACACTCCCCAAGTCCCCATCTTAAACCCAAGAAAGCTCCAAATAAACACATTTAGATTAGCAAACATAACAATATTACATTTCTCATTATAATAATATACAAAACTAGCACCCGGAGACGTATAGTAACACCCTTTGGTGACATTTACCAGACAAGTCGGTACTTGTTACCTTTCCTTATTTCCATAACTTCACAGAGCTGTCATGACTTGCAGAGGCAACTATTCCTGTGACAGGTGACTGTGCCAAAGCAGCGATTATATTCTCGTGTGCTGGAACTGTCATGCTCTTATTCTCAGCCATGTTCCACAGCTCCAATGACTGCAACACAGGTTAAAATGCCCAAAATTAGCTTGGAAATTTGTTCCCATTCAAGCATGTAATAAGCAGAATACAGGTCAATTACTATAGAGTTGGTCACTTGTTATTATCACACTAGACACTGATACCCAATATATATACACACACACAGAAGGAATTACCCGCATTCCACCAATCACCAAGAGAGCTGAATAACTTGGATGGAATACACAAGAATGGAATTGGTTTCCATTTGAATTGAGCTCATGAATGCACTCCCCTGAGTTTAATGACCAAACTTTTACAGACTCCTCGCTGACAGATGCCAAATAATCACCGTTGAGATCCCAGCATAGGTAGTTTACCATTCCGGAGTGCCCCTGATAATAAGGTGAAAGGTTTATAAATATAGGAACTACTAAGTTAAATATTTCAAAGATTCAATCTTTATACCTTAGAAAGGACTATGACTTAAAAGGTATACTGATTGAGGAATTTTCATTCAAAGATTCAATCTTTACTCATTAAAACACTCTTCGTGACTTCAAAGGGAACTCGAATAAGTTTAACTCAAAACTCTTATTTTCTTTCAAATATTCAATCTTTATACATAAAAAAGGTCTAGTGACATAATAGGTACTTTGATTGAGGTATTTTCATTCAAAGATTTAATCTTTATTCATTAAAACACTCTTCGTGACGTCAAAGGTATTTTCTTTCAAAGATTCAATCTTTATACATAAAAAAGGTCTAGTGACTTAAAAGGTACCATGATTGAGGTATTTTTATTCAAAGATTCAATCTTTACTCATTAAAACACTTTTCGCGACTTCATAGGGAACTCTAATAAATTTAACTCAAAACTCTCATTTTCTTTCAAAGATTCAATCTTTATACACTTAAAAGGTCTAGTGACATAATAAGTACCCTTATTGAGGTATTTTCATTCAAAAATTCAATCTTTACTCATTAAAACACTCTTCGTGACGTCAAAGGGAACTCGAATAAGTTTAACTAAAAAACTCTAATTGAGGTATTTTCATTCAAAGATTTAATCTTTACTCATTAAAACACTCTTCATGACGTTAAAGGGAACTCAAATAAGTTTAACTCAAAACCCCTCATTTTCTTTCAAAGATTCAATCTTTTAACATTAAAAAGGTCTAGTGACTTAAAAGGTACCTTGATTGAGGTATTTTCATACAAAGATTCAATCTTTACTCATTAAAACACTCTTCGCGACTTCATAGAGAACTCGAATAAGTTTAACTCAAAACTCTTATTTTCTTTCAAAGATGTAATCTTTATACATTTAAAAGGTCCAGTGACATAATAGGTACCCTTATTAAGGTAATTTCATTCAAAGATTCAATCTTTACTCATTAAAACACTCTTCGTGACGTCAAAGGGAACTCGAATAACTTTAACTAAAAACTCTAATTGAGGTATTTTCATTCAAAGATTCAATCTTTACTCGTTAAACACTCTTCGTGACGTTAAAGGGAACTTAAATAAGTTTAACTCAAAACTCTCATTTTCTTTCAAAGATTCAATCTTTTTACATTAAAAAGGTTTAGTGACTTAAAAGGTACCTTGATTGAGGTATTTTCAAAGATTCAATCTTTACTCATTAAAACATTCTTCATGAAACATAGAAAAGAGCTGACGGATTGCATTAGTTACTCAACCTCACTGCGGAATCATTAACAGGGTACTACCTTTTTCCGTGGAATCACATTCAAACCACGACCCATGCTTTTTTTTTTTCCTTTTTTTTGAAAAAAAGTGACACAAGATTAAATCATTCCTTAGGTTGCAAACATCCACGGATGAAATTATGCATTATGTTTCGAAGCCTAATATACATGGTTGGGAATAATATGAAGCTTTAATTACGAAAGGTCTTGAGTTCAAGACTATATATACTATGTAATTCTTCCTCAGTTTAGCATGCAAGGAATGGAAATTTCTTCTGGTTGTTGTTTGGTCTGTTTGCCTCGCCACGTGAAAGACATGGGCTGTTGGAGTTTGATAGACATTGTTGATAATATCTTAAGCTTTTGGGCAATTAATAGTATAACATGATATCAAACCTCTGATTTTGATAGGTCTTCGGTTCGAGTCTCCATATACGCATTTGTTCCATGGTTTGGTGTGCAAGGTTACAATTTGTTGTAGTCTAAGTTTGGTCTCTATGCCTCGCCATGTGCAAGACAGAATTGAACGCGAGGGAAGGTGGCATACATAGTTAGGCCCATTCTCTAACAACTTAAACTTTTGGGACAAGTGGTATAGTCTAACATAGTATTATATCTTTGGTTCTAGGAGGTATTGGGTTTAAAATTTAATCTCCAAATATGTATTTGTTCCGCGGTTTAGCGTGCAAGTTTGCACTTTGTTTTAGTCTCTATATGGTCTCTTTGCCACCCCATGCACAAGATGGGGTTGCACGTGAAGCAAGGTTGTTGACAATGCTTGTGGTTAGGCAAATTCATGAGTAACATTGTGCGAGGTTTTTTACTTTTCCCATTAGTATCAACCAAAAACCAGGGTGCAATGTTTAGAGTCCAACAGCAAAGTTACATGTCATATAATGAATAAAATTCCTTATGCCCCAAGTATACACCCAACAAGAACTTTCCTTTTAAATTTAAAAATAAAAAAATTGTAAAGTAGACCCTATCTTACAGTAAGAATTTGATATATGATTCAACATACTATGAATGCAAACAAACCTGGAATGAATGGGTTTGCCTATCAGTTTCGACATCAAAGATGGACACCACTTTATCTGATGCTGCTGCCAGTAGACGTCCAATTATAGGTTGAAATCTTACTTGTGCACTGCCTCCCTGCTACACCAAGCAAAATATAATTGGGATTCAAAAATGACCAATTTGGAAATTCAAAACAATTTGAAAAATAATACAACACAGAAAAGGAGAAAGGCAAGACTAATACTAAATAACCAACCTTGGAAACACGAGCGCATGAGAATGGATTGATATTCCAATAGCGAATATCGTTGTTACTATCGCAAAAACAGAATAGATCGTTCTTCTTGGGATGGAAATCTAGGGACATAACATGTGAACTGTGGCCAGTATATGCATGCAAACAATAGCTTGGCTGCAAGAATAATTCAAGCAAGTGATCTAGTAGTGGTAAACATGAATATATTATGAAGTAAATTTTTTTATTGTCAGAATGTTATGAGCATAAAGCACGCCTGTAAATGCAAGAAGTATGGACGCTATTACCATGTCATGATCTAACCTAGAAAGTATTTTAGACATGAGAAGTATCATACAGAAGGGGGCAGAGATACTTACATTAGCTGCATCCCATAGACGCACAGACTTGTCAAATGATGCTGTCGCTAGCTGAGTCGAATTCGGCCTGAAACGAACATCTGTAATTAAATACTGGTGCTCTTCTGGAGTGCTTTCTGTTTGCAGGGTATCCATGTTCCAAAGAACAGCCTAAGACATATAATAGAAATAATTAATGACTAATGCTTCTTATTTTTTTCAACTCCCCCTTTGCATTCACTTTGCTAACAACGCTTGAAGAGTGAACAAAAAGTGAAGGTTCAATCAACTATTAGAACCAGTAGACAAGCATGCCACCACACATGTAAAAAGTGATTTTAGAAACAGATCTTTAAGGAGAATACCCTTAGTACAACACAAACATTAAGTCATATGTCATGTATCAACACAATATTCAACCTGATAACCATTCTTCAATGTGGCATTTGTCTTTACCATACTATGCGTCATACCTTCTTGTCATGTCCAGCACTAGCTAGCAACTTCCCGTCTGAAGAAAAATGACAGCAGGTAACCTTATTTCCTGTCCGTATACAACCAACTTCCCCAAAGGAGAAACCTGAAATGAAGAATCTGGCCTTGTCTAAAGTAGAATTCAAAAATTATTCCGAACATGACAACAACATATAAAATAGATTACCCTTGGAAGACTCTGCTTTGTGCTCAGTAAGACTTTGTTTTAAGCCATATAAATCCCGTCCATCTCCTCCATCATGCGGGAGAAATGATTCTACGTTATCACCAAGGGAACCAACATCTCCAAAAGGTTCTATGTCATCCTGCACTTAGAAATGATATTTCAGGAGAAATAGTAATGTGTGATATTCCTGAGACAGATCAGTCAACAGATACTTGATACATAGGTATATTCATTTAGATGATTTCTCTTCTGCTTATTCATTTATTTTGCTAAGCAATTTGATTGCTTAAAGTAAGAGGTATGATTTTTGAATAAAGTGAGTTCAATCACTGCATTATATTGATTGGAAAATAATATCACGCATCAGTTACTGAATCAACAGGTGAAAGTATCATAAGAAGACAAAACGTTTTGGTAAGCACAGAAATCGTGAAACTCTTTATATGCGTGAGCGTGCATGCGCACACATGTTTGTTTGTTTATTCATTTATTTTGCTAAGCAATTTGATTGCTTAAAGTAAGAGGTATGATTTTTGAATAAAGCGAGTTCAACCACTGCATTATATTGATTGGAAAATAATATCATGCATCAGTTACTGTATCAACAGGTGAAAGTATCATAAGAAGACAAAATGTTTTGGTAAGCACAGAAATCGTGAAACTCTTTATATGCGTGTGCGCACACATGTTTGTTTGTGTGTGAAATCTTAAATAGCATACCAGCTGATTTGTAGACGATGCAAGACCTCCTGCTCCCTCTGCTCCATACATCATCAAGCTTTTTGGCACACTGCTGACATTTTGCAGACTACTTGCTGTAGTTATTCCATCACCAGGTGTGTGAGTTGATGCTGGAGAGTTTGGTGAAGGACCCACCGTATTCCCTGTACCTGTACTGTTGGCGGCACCAGATGAAGAATGTTGTTTTCTTTTTCTGTTATGCTGTATCATGATAAACAGCTGCTAGCATTAATCACTTTCAGAACAAAAGGAAAGACAGCAGCAGCAGCAGCAACAACAACAACAAAGGAAACAATAAAAAGGTCTTCTAATTCCAAATGCTTATGATGGAAGCACAATATGTTTGATAGTTGCAAATGCCATATTTCTGTAAATATAATGACACTTTAGCTCTTAAAATGAGATCAATCATTATATATGCACAAGGAAGCAAAACCTGTTGTAATTGCTGCTGCTGCAATTGATCATGTTGTTGAGATGACGACTGCTGCATTTGTGCCATCTTCATCTGTTAAATAATCACTGGAAACTCAGGAGAAGGCATTTATAGCCGTTGAACAAATAAAAACCTATACTGAACTTCCTAAAATTGGTGAAAGAGCTAAAGATGCCATGTCATGTGAGTGATATTAGACATATATGGGTGTCAGTTATAAAATACATGGAATACCAGAGGAAAGAAGGATGATGATGATTCCATCCATATGGGATAAAGGCAAGGATGATGATGATGACGACGACTAGGGGAGTCTAGGATGTTTTTATTGGCAAGTTAATATATATTCTTCTCTACATCCTTTATACCAAATCGAGAATAATTGAATGAATGTCACATATATAATTTCTACACAACATCTTTTTTCAACTTCCATTCCAGTGAACTAATATATTGGAAACTCCCTTCACTTCAATTTATTCCAATTCTTATAAAACACCCTTTTTGTTTTACTTTGGTGTGGATTTCCTCATTCCACACCAATTTTATCCCCAATGGTGGGAGCCTCATGCACTAGGTTTGCCCTTTTAGTGGTCCACTTCCTTTTGTTTTTTCAATAACTTTTATATTTCTTTGATACATTCAACCGTCTTATTCCACACTACATCAGTTTCCTTCTCTAGTTTCCATTACTCTACTGAATAGGTCTACCTTTTCCTGTTTTAAGAAGATAATATGCGAATCATATGAAGAATTTTTCTTCTTCCAAATCACTTTACCAAGGTTAACTTTCAGATATTACCTGCTAGTACTGCTAGAAACCCTGTAAATAGTCCATATACAAAGCCATTGGAAAACTAACAAAGGTATATATACTTGCACTCAATAACACTGTCTCAATCTTCAATATATTTAAAAGCAGACAAGTCAACGTAGCTTTTCATAGCCTAAGATACTTTTTTTTTTTCATAGTAAACTCAATTAGTCAATCATGCTCGGGGGAATAGAATCCCAACTTTCCAAATCCTGTTCACTCTTGGAACCTCTTGAAACTACAGATGAAAAAAGTACTCCACCAATGGGCAATAGCAGCTATTTTTATGAATAACCCTGAGCCCATAAGGTCTTCAAGGCTTATTGGCATACTATGTGGTGCCCAATCGGTTTGCCATAGAAGCTTACAGTTTTTGCTGCTGTTCTTTTTTTAAGTTAGAGAAATTATAATCAACAGATTCAAAAAGTATTCTAAAATAGAAATTAAACATACTAGTCAATAGAACCGTGAAGGATATATAAAGTGGCATAATTTTTTTAAATCATATTCAAATTTACAGAAATAGTATCATGTCCTTGTGGCATGCAATTACCATGAATGCTAGCCTGCAGGAAAATATTTTTTAGTGATTTTGGGAAGATGTTCTAACCTTTGGTGAATTTGATTGCACAGGGGAGCATATAGATCCATCATTTCTTGTGGGTTGACCATCTTTCATATTCAAGGAACCCCTTGGTAGTCCACTAAACCCATAGTTAGTGGAATTTCCAAGATTGCCTTGTGCCAATACCTGCTGCTGCTGTGATGCCAAAAGAAACTGATTTTGGGTTGGTAGATTAGGTTTTTGTACTTGCATTCCTAAACTTGGTCGTAATTGATCAATTCCCTGCATAACATAGCAGCATTGGTACTAGAAGACTCCTATATCTCCAATTTCAAAATATCAAAAGAATATACATGACAAAGAGGGTTTCCTATAACTTACAGTTAGAGGCCAACCCTTCAATGGAAGACCAGAGACACCTTGGTTTAACCCTGAGAAGAAGAAGAGCACTCATGACAATAATTCTTGAATAGCACATGACTAATGGTCAGTCTGTTGATTTTTTGAAGTGAATGGCAAGTAAACTATTTATCTCAAGGAGATAGAAAGTATTAATAAAACTATTACGCGTAAACTATTTATCTCAAGGAGATAGAAAGTATTAATAAAACTATTACATATTAAAGCAAAGTTGTATTTCCTGGCACCAAAAAGGAAAAGAAAAAGAATCATTTGACTCTCAACTCATACTCACAGCATGTCTCTGACATCATCCAACATCACAACACATAACAAACTTAAAGCCTTAAAGGCGTCTGGGTTTTATCCACCTCCGAGTCTGGTTGATCTCAACTGTGATTTTAGTCATCCAGGAATCTAGGTCAGCTACACAGCTGGGTAATTTAAGGCTCATTAGACTGATAGGACTGATGTATGTCTCTAGTTAAGATAGCATGTAGTAATGCCACTAGAGCTGAAATGAGGCTTGTTCATAGGTTTTGGGAAAGTGTTGCAAAGTTTTGAATATATAGCTAAAAGTGATTGCTCCTCGGGAAACAATTGAATAAAAAATTTCACCTAAGAGGCCTTGAATTAGCTGTCATCAAACATTAAGGGGAAGAGAAGCTTGTCAACCCTTTGTCTTGGAGTTTCAAAATTCAATAGATGTAACTGTAAGTGATTCCTCTTCTGTGAGCAACTGAACCAAATATACCACATAGGGGCCTTTGGGTTTGCTCTCTGATAAAAATTGCTGATCTCTTCAGTTAACACTCTCAGACTTTGCACCCGCTTTCTCAAACTTGACAGCTGAAACATTTCACCAATGCTCCCTAACAGAATAATAAAAAAATAAAATATTCTGAAAACCTCTTTCATCAGCATGGTAACAGTGCCTGAAATTCTCCAACCCCACCACCCCAACAAAAAAAAAAAAATACAAGAAGGCCCAAATACTTGTTTACCAACGTTTTTTATCAAGCTATTCCAGCATGAGTACTCTTGCATGTTAAGTATCTACGCCATTATCATAGTAATTGCCCTCAGAGCATGTGATTCAAACATCTTCAGTCCTCTCTAATTTTAATGAGCTCATCTATGATGTATCCTATGAGATTAAGGCAAGAATGATGATGATCTATAACATATAATGTTGTTCAGGTAGGTCATAGTATGCACAAGTGTCTATTAAGTTCCTGCTGTCCGTTATTCTGGGTCATTCATATAGATTGACTAGAATTTTATGGTGTGCAATGACATTTTTATCCGTCAAATTGTACAATTTAGGATCTAACAAGACAATTGGCAGGTCTTGCGAGTACGTCATAAAAGATGAACTTGCACAACAAACATTCAGGGTAAGTCAATTGATTATCCCAGCTAGTGAACAATGAGGCCTGCTGATGACTATGTAATAGATGAAATGGTTCATGCAACACTTACTATGTGTTTTTCCACTAGAATATATCAATGTGAAATATATTTTCCCAACTTTTATAGAGCTAAAGAATAAAATTTGGTGGGGAATTAAAATTTATACCCAAAACAAGACAACCTTACAAAGAAGGAAAAAAAAAAAAAATCTATATGTTCGTTCAGGAGGTCTCGAGTCTGTTACCTGCACCACCCAATCCAGATTTTGACTGCAAAATTGCTTGTCCATAAATTGATGAAGGATCCATAGACAAACTTTTCTGAGTTGCACCCAAGTTAACTTCCCCTTTGATATCCTATAAATTCCAAAGTTTACATGGCCCGGGGTAAAATAAATCAAAAGACCAATTATAAAATAAAATAAAATAAAATAAAAGTGAAGTGCATATGTAAGAGCAATAGTCCAAGTGGTTACAGTGGTCAGTTGATTTCTTCCCTGCATTTGCTGCAAAGCTGCAGACATGCTCCCAGAACTTCCTTGTACCAACTGGCTGACTCAACAACAAGAAGAGAGACAAATGAGCCACTCATGCTAGGTGTAATTGATGGCAAAAACTTGATTTCATATGCTAAAATATTGTTATAACTATTTTACCCTTGGTGAGTGGAAGCTGATTTGAGAAGGGCCATCCTATTGGCATCAATAAGAGCTGGAGATGCCTCCGAATCCATTGAACGAGGGTTCTTCATTCGTTCTTCATACATTTTCATAGCCAATACACTGGCTGATGGCTGCCCCATCATTCCGTCAGCATTGATGGGGCTGCCAAGGGGAGGATGATTAGGATCCCTTCGTTGCAACTGAGCATTGCGCTGCTGAATGAGTTGCAACTGCTGCATTTGCAGCTGTTGTTGGTGCTCTCTTGCTTTCATTTGTTGTGTCTGTTTTCGCATTTAAAAGATTAAATAAATTTTCTATTCAACTGATCTCGAGAAAAAAAAGAAGAAGTTCAAATCAGAGAGATCACTACAAAACAGCAAAATTAGATTCTGAAATTGTGAAATTCAAAGACACCTCTATATAAGCCGCAGCAGCCTCGGAATGTTTCTCATTCGTCCTTGCAATAAAGATATCCCAAAAGACAGACCACCATTCAAAGAGAAATCCTCCAGGCGCATCAATCGCTGTACATTAAAATTTAACTTCTAATTGACATACCATATGACTCGGTAAATAGTTCCAGTCAATTGATAGAACAAGACCCATGCTGCAGAGGTATTTACCAGGTAAAGTTTATCCTCACTCAATGCAACCAAATAAGATATATATAATAGGATTAAACTAAAATATGCTAGGAATCAGCTCATAATATTACCTACTGGATCCGTGGCGACCTTCCCTTCAGCCATGAAAGCTTTGGCAGAGGCATGCAATTTTCTTTTCAACAAATAGTCATGAATGTAAACATCAAGCCTGACAAGGAAGGCCAGAAAGATGACAGTAAAGATCAAAGTGTAATAACTTTGAAGTTTAAATTGATTTATTATGTGAAGAAAAAATCCAACATCTCTATTTCATTGCAAGCAGAAGTGAGGCACTGCTAGAAAAACAAATTTTGCATAGGAAAACTAGTTACTGACTTTTGGAACCAGAACAACACAGAACATACTATTGAAGATTGTATTTTATTTCCTTTTCTACTATTCTTTTAAAATGATTGAAATAAAAAAAGGAACACAAAAAAAATTTAAAAACATACATCTTATCAGCTTCCCAATTACTCTGCGCCATGATTTGGTTCAAACGCCAACTACAAAAGAACTAAGAAGTAGATGAAATCAATGTGCTCGCCACCAATTTAGTCCTGTACAATTAAAGAGCAAGATTCAAATGAGAATCACCAAAAGCAAACTCCAATAATTGCCGTTAAAATATCAAACCAGGCATTGCTAATCCAAACAAACTACCACAACACAAATCCAACTCCAACCAAATCAAAAACAAAAACAACCAAAATTAACAAAATTCAACAAACAAATACAATATTTTCACTAAATCTTTTCCCAAGAAAATTTAACAAAATCCATATCCTGATAGCGATCTGAATTCATATTTTATTCAACGTTTCTGAGTTGGCTAACATAATTTTGAATTGCCTCGAGAAACTTGTAAACTCTGAGAGAGGAAAAAAGAATTACAGAATCTTGAATTTCAACAGTGGGATGAGGTATATCAGAATTCGTACACTGATCGTGATCCGAAACACGCAAGCCTGTATACTTCTATACAAAATATATAGTAAAGTATTTCTGAAGTTCGAGTTCTTGGAAACTTCTGAACGAAAAATTCACAAATTTTGTCGAGAAAAATATGAATTCTCAGTGAAGTTTTACTACTAAAAAGCTCAAGCTTCCCACAAACGGAGAGGGGGAGAGAAAAATATCAGAAATGAAAAAGTCGGATTTCATTTAACAGAGAAGTGTGTGACAGAAGGGCCTAAACATTAGGTTCGGAGTACGGACACCTGATTTCGGGATTATGTTACGTGGTTAGGAGTTAGGTTTGGTGAGAAATGATCGATGTTTAACCGGTTGGGATTCTGTTCACGGGTTATCCAATCGATGTAACAACTTTCCGTAGGCGAAAGGTAGGTCGTATATCGCGCGCTCAATGCGTTGCATTGGCTGACGTGGCTAGAGGGAGGAAAGCAACGTGTTCGATGTTTAGCAAGTATTGAGGCCAGGTCATTGCTGGATGGAGCTTTAATGACAGACTTGGAGGGGAAGATAAACTCACTCCTCACTTTATATATTCTATGTGCATCCAACTTTCTTAAGTGGTCTATATACTTTCTATACTTTGTGTCTTTAATCCATGTGAACGGGCTTGTCACTTGCCAAATTGGTCCCGCCCTATTTGCTAATAATCAATCACTCTCTCATATTAAGAAAAAGAAAACATATCTTTCTCATCATGTTATTATTCGTTTCATATTAATTACAAGACAAATTTGATCACAAATCTGTGTCATAACATGGTGTTATTATAAGTGTGTTAATGTTTATATACATTTGCAAACAAACTCCTATCAATACTTGTTCTATTAGTTATAATGTCAATGTTAATTATTTTAGAATTTCTTGAAGTAATTAATTCATTGATATGAAAATTTAAACAAATAATAAGTACACATTTCTTGTCTTGCATTTATTTCAAAATAAAAATTATAGTATAAACTTTTTATATTAAATCACTATTAAATATTACTAATATTATATTTCTGTTAACATAGAAAAAAATTTAATCGCTCATCGAGCACATTCTTTCTTACTCATGATATTATATATATTTTTATTTCCCGAATAAAATGACCTTTAGCATATGTAAAAATAGCGAAAATCACAAATTATATCTAGATCTATAATAACATACAAGTATACAACCGTTTTGGCAATTTCAAATTTTGCCGTTTTCATACAAATATTCAAAATATAAATTTACATCAAAGAGTTGGCCAGAGAAGCTACTATTAATTCTTTACTTTTGAATGGTGCTTGGAATTTCAATATTTTGCAAGCTGACAGTTTGATTCCAGTTCGAGATTATTTGAAGACAGTTCACATAAGAGCTGGGGAGGATTTGCTGAAGTGGGTTGATGGAAAATTTTCTTTTAAGAATGCTTGGAGAGTTACTAGAAGTGTGGAGATAGAGGTACCATGGTATAAACTTTGGGGCAAGGCAAGGCCTAGGTGGTCTATCACAGCAGTTCTGGTTCTACAAGATAGATTGCCTTCAATGACTAATTTACAAAGAAGGAGGGTGTGTTTGGCTGCTAGATGCTCCTTATGTCAGAATAGTCTTAATAATACAGATCACATTTTTGTCTCCCGTCCCTTTTCTCGTGGTTTTTGGACTTGGTTGGGTGAGTTATTAGGCTGGGATATGGGTACATTTCAGGAGGTGTTTTCTGTTTGGGATTTGTTTTTACGGATGGATAATCTGTATCACAAATCTAAAACACTACGGAGCTTGTTTGCTGCTGGTCTTTGGCATATTTGGAGAGAGAAATAATAGATTGCATGGATCTCCTAGTGGTCTCTTGGGGGTAGTGGCAAGGACGGCCCTCATGGAGGTGTGTGAAGTACAGGGTGTTATTCTTAATGATGTCATTCCATAATTTCTGGGTTGGTTTATTGTTTTTGTACTGGAAATGGGCTTTTTCAATAAGCATATTGTCCTACATTTTTTCTTTTTCAGATTTCTGAGGGTATGCCCTCTGTGCTCCTGTATTAATCTTTATATTTTGAGCATCAATACAACACCAATTATGAAGAAAAAAAAAAAAAGTTGCTGCAAAAAAAGTAGTTCATCTCAAAAATAGGTCTGAGCTGAATGGGACTTTTTCCCTTCAAAAATTGATGGTGCAAAGACAGCTAAGAAATGCACACGGATGGGTGTCCAATCTGCTATAGGACTTCAAAACATTACAAGCATTATTGTGGGCTTTGTTTACCATGAGCCAGAAAAACACGCAAACAAAAATTCAATGCTTTAAATCAAGAGGTAAGTGGTTTCTGTTGACTAGCAAAAGTATTTGACCTAGGTACTTTCACCCATCAAGCTAAAGTCAAAGAATAAGAATTTTGTACATTTACTATGACTGCTGTTAAAGAAAGGTCCATAGAAAATTGGCAAAACACGCTAGGAAGTGGCAGTGTGTCTGGAACAACAATGATGGAAGGTGATCTGAATCAGTTAACTAGTATTTACATGATCTAACTTTGAGATGGCTTCTTTTGATCTTGAAAAGGCATCCGAAGGGATATTAATGCCTGCAAACCCAACCATGACAGCGGCAGCTCCAATGTAATCCATTGTATGGGGTGCATTGCCGGTTACTGAATCAACAACAGCTGCCAATGGGACCTGAATTGTAAGTCCTGCCGTTGCTACTGTGGTGGTTGTAAGAAGAACGGCTTTGGCCCATAAGTAATCACTCAGCACATTATCTAGCAAACCTAATCACAATGATAAAATTTTACACATCAAAGTCGAACAATGGTTGCAATTTTACATCATCCACTAGAATTTAAAGAGAAAAAGGGGAAATGGGGAAGAAAAACAATAAGGAGACCACAACACCAAAGTCCATGATATAGAGAAGGTATCGGAAAAGGATTCCAGATACTACTGTACAAGGAGATTGATAGGCTGTCCTTGATAAAGTCTACAATCCTTTGAAGCAAAGTAGTTTCCTGTTTTCTAATTTGAATCCATTTTTTTGTAACAAAATTAATTCACCTGATTCCTTAATATAAATTTTCCTTAAGCTTATCATAAAACATGTGGTAATTTGGAAAAGGTTTCCTAGTAATCAAACTTCAGCTAACATCATATGCACCTAAAAATTGGACTAAACATTTGTTTCCCAATGCCTTCAATAGACCATTGATAGGGAAAAAACTAGCTATCCAAGTCTCCGTTTCATTTATATATTCTTCAACATCATTGAACAAGCACTACATCAAACAAATCGGTAGTCTCATGTTCCAATACTTGAGGAATGGAGAAATCGCTGAATATGTCCCTTCCATTCCCCCCTCCCAACACACACCAGATTTACTACCCTTTCTTTAAACACAAACAAAATCAAAATCCTCCCTTCCTATCTCTGGTATTATTGAAACAAGAATTGGTATATCAGTCAAACACCAAATAAACAAATGAAGCAATTACAAGACAACAATTTTCACATTGCAAAAAACTACAAAAAATGGGGTTGTAATAGATCTCTATTCCTCATCCATGATTGACAAGGAAAAAATCAACTCCTCTCCTAGGCAAGGGGTCTGAGATCATTAAAACCTCAGTACAAGGTCTCCCTACAAGTACTAACTTCTGAACTTTTAGAGAAACTTGAGAACTGTCTGTTAATTTTTCTGAAAAGAAAATTTAATTTAAACGAAAAAATAGTTAAAAATTTCATCTGGTTGACAGTTCTTTTAAAATTAAAATATGAAAAACAGAGTTGAAAGGACTCCATTCCAAAGAACATATACAATACAGTATAGTAAATATACCTTGTAATCTGCTTTGACAAATAATCCAAGAAAGAGGAGGTATAAATACAATAACTATCACAATAATTTAAAAAGAGGAGGTATAAATACAATAATTATCTCAACAATTTAAAGCACAACTTATGATGCCAAACTATTGATGAAAGGAAAGTTTTGCAAAGTAGAACTAAACCAACTCTAAAACTAAAAGGTCTACAATCAGTATTCCATGAAAGACATCGAGTCTCAGCTTCTGCACATTCACTGCTTAGAGGCATCTAACTATCGTCTGTATGGCAATAGACATGCTACATATTTAATTGCAGTGCTCAAAATCTATGAATACATCTAGACCGCAACTTAAGGCCGATCATCTTTTGCCATGCACCTGGGCATGGCTTAATCGTTCTTCAATACCACTGTCCACAAGTAAAAATTTTACAATGAACATTGTAATGGATCAGGTAAATAATTTCTAATTACGCACAAAAGAAAGCAATTTCACTAAATGAATGTGGAAGATTTCAACTGCAAACATATTTCAAAAATTAAATCTTATTATTCTCCACTTTAAAATAAGCAAAGTTCCAGTTAAGAATAAATCTTCAATAAATTACCGAGCCTCCCTTTGCTGAGATGCTGACTGCAGACATTTAACCAAAAGAAGTCTATGGTTCCGATTGTAATTGATGCAAGAATTTGTTATAAAAGGTGTGAACTGTGAACATCACATTTTAACATAGACATTATCCAAAGAAGCATAAGTTAACACTAGTAACTATTAACACACAAAGAAGAGCTTAAACAAATGTTACCAAGCATGCATATTATGTAACAAGGACACTGCACAGCACGACATGATAACTTCAGAACAAAAAAGACCGTGACAAAGTTATTGGGGTGCAATGTGTAATACAGGATCAGTCTTTCCATGGCAGGAGAAAATCTTGCCAAAATAGGCATGTCTCAGTTACATAGCATACACGTACACACCACTTGAAGAATAAAAAATAAAAATAAAAAAAGAAACCTGAGGGAAAAACTTGTATAACCTAAATATGATCTTGAAAATATTAAAGAATAAAGATGCACAGTTTCAAAAGAAAAAACCATATTTTAGGTGCAGATAAACAAGATGAACTTCAACTATTTACATACCTTTACCGACGATTAGACCAACTTGCTTCCATGTAAGCATATTAAAAGGTTCCAGCTTGGTAACATTAAGTATTATGGCAACAGGTAGGAAAATCAAGAGGTTGAACAACCCTAAAAATCCAAGGAACTGTGCCATACTGGCATGACCACTTTTCCCATCATCATCTGGCAATTTTTTACGAATAAGAGTAATATACACAGCATAAAAGGCTGCTGACAGAAGAGCAAGAATGTCTCCAAGAGCAGGGTTCGAAGCAATTGAACTTAATCCAGATTGTGAGTCGCCCAAACTGACAATTATTGTTCCTCCCATGCAAAGAAGAACACTTATCAGCTTCACCCAAGTAAACTTCTCACCCAGGAATGCAAGAGCCACCAGAAATGTAAACAGGCTGGAAGCACTGCTTAAGATTGTGTTTGACTGGGTAAAAGGGAAAATAACTTACTACTTCAGATGATGAATATCATGGACAAATTACAATGGAGAAAAACAATTCAAAATTCCAAAGCCCTTACCGTAACTGTAGTATACTTCAGTGAGAGATTAAAAGTGAGTTGAGCCAGAAACCAAAATGGGCATATCAAGAGGCTGACCTTTGCCACTCTTGAGCGTGTCCATCGCCCTTTCGAATCTAGTCCTTTCTTAGCATCTTCACTAACCTTTTGTTGTCCTGTATCACTTTCCACTCCCAAAACAACACATTTTTCATTATGGATCAATTCTTCTTGCTCCACAACCACAACTGAATTTAAACCTTCAGCTTGATCGTTTGAATCACTCCCTCCAAGAAGCACAACCTCTTCCGATTCCCCTAATTTTGAATCACTCCCTCCAAGAAGCACAACCTCTTCTGATTCCCCTAATTTTGAATTACTCTGTCCAAGAAGCACAACCTCTTCCGACCCCCCCAATTCTTGCAAACTACCCTCTCTGGTTCGCCAAAAGAATATGCTTCCATATGTGTCCTCCAAATAGCGTCCTATTTCAGCTACGGGGATGTAGATCACAAACAACGAATTGCAAATGTATGTGATGAGAAACGGAGAAACACCCGAGCCTACAACTGACTGAACCACAAAACTAGCAGCAATCCAGATTGTTGCAACAGCAAATATATAAATCAAACCTAAAACCCATCTCCAAACTTCACTTCTCATGCCTTTCAAACCCAATTTCGAATCAATCTTGCTCTAGATATATCTGAAAACAAGGACTTCAATTCTAACACACCCACATGGTAGAATCTTTTCTTCACCATATACGTTCATGTTTTGCAATTACCTAACGTAGGAACAGTATTGGGCAAAAAAAGTTCGAAGCCTGCAATATAATCAAAGAACAAATAATGCCACACCAATGAATATTACCAAACAAAATGAGTGAACAAGGTCAACCCACTAATTCCAAAACTACGACTAGGGATTTGATAGAGAACCCACCTACAAGATGAATTATATTACAAAAATCAGACCTGATATCGTATCATGAACAAAACGTGTTTATAACATATACAATCATATAGCGTGAAATAGCTATATAAATAAATAGCGATGTAAATAAAAAGAAATTGAAATTGAATATAAACAGGTAAATAGATAGCGATGTAAATAAATACCAGGAGAGATCCAATCCTCGTTCCTTGCAGAAATATTATTGATCGAGATAGAATTGGAGGACTCAGTATGCGGGTTTCCGGGGGAGGATTCTACGGTGCAATCGAACTTTGTCAGGCATGCGGATCTGCGAAACACGCACGTGACTGGTGAATACTACGGAGTATCTAATTCCATACAATTTGGGCCGACGGGTTTGACCTAAATGGGCCAAATCCAACAACGTGTGGGCTGCAAGTTGAAATCCTCATTTAGGTGCGGTATACGTAATAGTATACATTAACGAATCTCAAGTCATGAACTCTCAGCCGCAATGGAATCTCTCAGGCTTATTATTATTATTATTATTATTATTTTTCATCTAATTTTGTTTATATACATAATATTATGATATCAGGACTGATTTTTCTAATTTAATTCATCTTGTAAGTGGGTTCTCTATCAAATCTGGTCGTAGTTTTGGAATTATTGGGTTGAACTTGTTCACTTAATTATTATTATTATTATTCACATGCTAGAAACTCAAATTCAATGTTGGAATTATCATTCCAGACTGGTACTTAGTTTACATTTTACACTAAACTAATAGCTTCCCCTTAGCAATATGATTCCAACATAGGTTCATATCTGAAAATGAAGAGTTCTTTATTCAAATTGAAGTCTCCATGTGCAATAAACTCTCTTTGCACGTGTCATCTTCATGATTGCTAGGTATTGTAATACACAGCTTCCATGTCTAAGAATGGTCATCAACATTCTGTTCTCTAGATCCATCACACTCGTTTGGCACTTGATTGTGAAATCTGCTTGTTTGCAAAACACTGCGACATCATAATATTTTAGGTAAGTGACATTTCCCTATGTTTGAAAAAAAAAAAACACATTTTCTATGGCTCCTTTTGTTTCAACATTTTCTGAAGCTGAAGTTGAGTCCATCAGGGATAAGTTATTTTTGTTAAATTTTAATATTTTTTTCTTCCTAAATATTTTACCCTCATTTTGCTACTTTTAATGCAATAAATGGAGAGTCGACACAATACAATGTAATGAAATCCCACCAAAAGCCCTTAACAAGTCCAGAGAAAGAGCATAATCACGGGGCTTTTAAGCACTGCATCATCAATGATTGTACTTTTATCACGTTTCAAAGTAAAAGGTTGAGGTTTCAAGTCTACAATTGACCAAAGGTTCTACCCATCACACAATTAGCAAATCAAACTTATGTTTATTTTATGTCAGCATTTGGATTATGGAATTTCCATCATTAGTCCAAGGATAATAATTTTAACAGAATTTAGCCAAGTCAAGAAATACTCCATAATTTATAAAACAATGTTTTTCCATATTAACCTTGTATTACAGAAGGCCATGATACACAGATCACATAAATTTAGCAAAACACAGTGTGTGCCATGTCTCTGTCTCATCATATCACTTTGTCCTCGCATAATGATTCAACAGCTATTCGCAAATTCAAATTGTTTCATCTAGTGTAACAAATTAGATTGTAAACATCTTTGCAGGATCGAAGCCGTGGGAGAAAAAGAAAACCAAATAGATTCAAATCCTCATAATATGTAGGGCGGCGCATTTTACACTGAAGAACTAGTCCTGTCCAGTGTCTTCTTTTTGTGGTGTAATGAACTTGAACCCCATTCTATGGCTTCTGCTACAGCTTGTTGGCGTTCCCTTGCAATAACTTCGTCTTGACCATTTTCAATCGCACCATCATGTGGTGATGCTGGAGGAGAGGGAGATGAGACAGTTCCTAGCTCTTGCACTCCCCCAAGAAAACTGAGAGCTGTGACCACGTCGCTCATCAAGGGACGGGTTTCTGGATCATCTTGGAGACACATTGCAGCAACCGCAACTGCTTGATTTAAACTTTTCACTGGGACTTCTCCGTGAAGAAGTGGATCAGCCAGTTCTGAGAACCTATTTGGTTCCTTGAATACAGGTTGTGCCTGGTCAGAAATCGGAACAACAAAAGCATCAGAGTAAGTTACAAAATCAAAGAAGTACCCAACAAATTCTATAACAGCAATATTCATTTTGAACTATAGTTGGATTGTGGCTGGAAAATAGAAGTTTCTGAAATGCTTTTAAAGTCATTCTATATGGAGTTTTAAGTGTCATATGGTAGTGGATCATTTGACATATATTTACATGGCACTGTCACTGTTAGTACAAATTCATCTTCCATAATGGATTAATCAATTCATGTTAAAAGACAATGAAATATCTTAAAATCCTTAACAATGTCATGTCATTTCTGGTGGTGCATTAAAGTTACATATATATAGAGGATTGATCTGCCCCGCAAGTTCTATGTAAAGCACAATAGAATGATTTCATTCAATGGGACAACAATGAACTGGTAACGCCTAACATGGATACACATACTTAAGCTAATTCTGCTGTGTTGTACTCAGGTACTGCCTAATAGTGTGCTAAGTGCTTTCAGGCATCGAAATCATGTCACAGTCCATTTTGTTCTGAGGTTGTTTCTAGGTGATCCACAGCCATTCAAGTGACTTCAGAATATAACGACAACAACAATCAAGCCTTTTTCTCAACTACTTGGGGCCAGCTACATGAATCCTATGTTTCCATTCCGCTCTATTGAAGTGCCTTCGGAATATAAAAGAAAAAAAGAAGAGGGTTGAGAAGAACTTACCCAAGAAACCAGAGTTTGCTCGTCTGTTTTCCTTGTGGTGTCAATGGCTCTCCTTCCTGTTATTAACTCCAATAAAACAACACCAAAACTGTATACATCGGACTTCACAGTTAGTTGACCGGTTCTCTGATACTCGGGAGCACAATAACCATATGTTCCCATCACCCTTGATGATACATGTGTCTTGTCCCCGACAGGACCAAGCTTGGCAAGCCCAAAATCGGAGAGTTTTGCATTGTATTTTTCATCCAGTAAGATGTTGGATGATTTCAAATCGCGATAGATGACAGGGGGGTTGGCCTTATCATGCAAATATTCCAGACCTTTGGCAGCACCTAATGCTACTTTCATCCTTGTCAACCAATCTAATGCTTTCTGATTTGGTCGAAGATCTGAAAATTCAAATTCAATTCATTATTTTCATAAGTGGGGAAGTTTTCATTTAATGATATCATAAGCGGCGCAAACATACAAAATATGTCATAATCTTGTAAATATTTAATTAGTACACTGTATCTCCCACAGGAATGAAGTAAATTAAATTTGTTGTTTTCAAAGAGCTTAATTGTCTTCCTAACATGTTTAAGGTAAATTATTTTATAATATCACTAGTTTACTGAATTGAACTTGGCTGTGGTCATAATTCATAATGGTAACATTTACAACACTAAATTATGCTTTGTGCATTAAAATCCTATGTAGAACTCAATAAGTTGATTCACCTTTCAAAGCAACAAAAACTCAACTATTTTATCATCTATAATACTTGCTATGATGACAACTAATTATTTGCTTCTCTATAGATTAAACACAAAAGATTAAGGTCAAAATGACTCAATTTTTTGGCTTATGTGATGAACTAGGATGCTCTATTTTTTATTTTTCCTAGTTGGTACTCATACGCACGTATTTTTTCTGAGACTTGAACCCTGACTTCCCTTCGGGAAGTAAGAAGCTGATACCGCTAAGCCACTGCCCGTTGGTAACCAAGATGCTTAAATTCTATGAGCATCAAGTTTGCATAATTTTATTGCTATATCCTCCCAAAATACCCCATAATGAATTACTTTTAAGTGAAATAATACCGAGTAGGTGGTCTTCCAAAGATCCCAATGGCATAAACTCATACACAAGAAGTCTCTGATCTCCGTCGGCACAATATCCGATAAGATTTACCAGATTTTGATGGTGCAGGAGGCTCAGCATCAGAACCTCAACAAGGAACTCTTTGTTCCCTTGCAGTCCATTCCTATCAAGTTGCTTCACAGCTACGATCTAAATTGAAGTGAACCAAGATCACTATAAATATTGCTGATAAAATAAGAAAGCAATCAAATTAACATGGTTGATTAAAGCACAAGTATATATCACCTGGCCAGTTTTTTCAAATCGACCCTTGTAAACTCGTCCAAATCCACCTTCACCCAGTAGACATTCCTGCCGGAAATTTTTTGTTGCCGTGGCCAGTTCACGAAAAGTGAATGTCTGCGCGGCAATGTTGCCTGCTTCTTTAGTGGCATTTTTTTGATTTGTAGCTTCAGTGGTAGTTTTCCTTGGATAGTCTGTGCACAAGAACAGTAAAAAGTCAGCAAAATGTGTCGTTAAACTGAGATTGTTGAAATTCACTATATTTTCATCTACTCCAATTTTATTTCTAATTAACAATATTCAATCCAATAATATCACATAACTTTCACATTGTATGACAAGCTTAGCCCAATAATCCCCAATAAGAACAAGTAACTGAAGCAAATTCGAAAAGGGTGAACTTTTAATTCTGCTTCTGTTGTTTTTGAAGGAAAATACGACTGAAATGATTCCTTTTGTGGTTTCAACCAGATTGAAAACCACTGAAGTTGTTGATTAGAAAATGTTTAAAACAAAATATTCATTCAACTGCTTCTGTTGTTTTTGAAGGAAAATACGACTGAAATGATTCCTTTTGTGGTTTCAACCAGATTGAAAACCACTGAAGTTGTTGATTTGAAAATGTTTAAAACAAAATATTCATTCAACAGCCAAGGGAAAAAAAAAAAGAAAAAAAAAAAAAGAAGTTATTATCAATGGCACAATCAGACAATTATCCGGAATTTTGAAGGAAAAAATGTTGTCATGCTGCAAGTGAGAACTTAGAAGTTAGAAACCTCTAAAAAGCAAATTGTCAAAGCACATATCTAGTACTATGTTTTACAAGGGATCATTAAAACAAAAAAGTTGAATCAATCGAATTGCAGAATCAATAGTGTGATGGTCACATATAAAACAAGAACGTGGAATTGAATTGCAGAATAAATAGTGGCATGGTCACATATAAACAAGAACGTTGAATCGAATTGCAGAATAAATAGTGTCATGGTTGAATTGAATTGCACATTAAAAGTCCTTAATACCTCTAAAAAAACATTCGAAAGGCAATGTACTCACCGGGCTGTGGCTGTGCAGGAGGAGTAGTAGGCAGAGGTCCCCCTCTCCCACTATTTAACCTCTTATTGGCTTTCTTCTCTTTCGAAGAAAAACATGAAAAACAACTCATGTCGGTCTCAACCCTATTGAATCCAAACAATAGAAATGTATTTCACCTAAATCTCAAAAATGTACTCTGATCCCAAGAACCAGAATCAGAATTCAATCAAATGAACATCCACAAAGACTCAGAACCAATTTTGATTTGGAACTTCTATAATTTTTATGTTTATTTTTTTTTACAAAGGTTATTTTTTACTTTTACTTTTTCTTTATATTTGAAAATCCTCGAAAATACAGAATGTCAATTACCAGAAAAATCAATCTCCAAAATTTTTGGATTGAGAGTCAACTTCTACAAGTTAAATAACCAAAATGTTTTCATGTTTACTATAAAACCAATCAAAAAACACAAATCATATTGTGAAAATATAACATGAAATTAATAAAAGGTTTTACAGATAAACACCAAACCCACTAAAACCCAAAAATTGGAACAACCATAAAACAAGAATCTAGAAAAAGGGATGGGTCAAATTAGACAGACAAAATTAACCCATAAGCACAAAAAAAAAATGAATGATTGAGAAAAGAGACAGACAGGTGAAGCTAAAAAGAAGGGAATGAATTAATTAATTTGGAGTAGACACACGTTATGATGAATGAAAGAAGACGTGTTTAGGAGGAGAGCCAGAAAAGAAAATGGAATGCTTTCCTTTAAAATTTTCCGAAGAAAATGGGGAAGAGTAGGAAAGGGAGAGTTTGAAGGGATATGTTAGAGAAAAACGCGGAAACCATTTCGGTGGATCATTGCCAGGTTGTAATACCGTTGTACATATTTACGTATATGTGCCTCAAAGGCTCAACAGTCAAAACATTCAAGTTTAGAGAGAGAGATAATTGTTACCATGAATATATATATATATATATATGTTTGTATGTTTACACACACAGTCACAGACACATACCATAATATATTTATATACGCACAGATGTGTGCGTAACTATATATGTGTGTGTGTGTGTGTATATATATATATGGAAGTTCAGTGGCCTGCATGTTAAGGTGAGCTATATCATTCTTTTGCTTTTCGAAATTCAAATGCGAGTCTCAATTAAGTCAATTTCATTTATCATTATACTCGTATTAATTAGGAGAATGCTTAGTATCATCTAGAAAGTCATAAAGTAGGTCTATATGGCAAAAGTTTGTAAATTATATTAGGGAGTATTCATTTTCCATATGGACTATATTCATTTTCCATACGAAGGAATTCTTGATTCAAAAGCTTGTTGAATAGTGTAGCATACTATCCATATATACTTTATTTATTTTTTAGGGGTGAAAATTCGTGAAATTATTATTCTTTAAGGTTACGTTTGGTGTGTAGGAATGGAATGGAATGGAATGGAATGTTTATTCCAACTATTCAGTTGTTTGGTCTGCAGGAATGGAATGGAATGACCATTCCAATAGAATAAAAATCCATTCCAGGGAATGAAAATCCATTCCATTTGTAAACCTATGGAATGACCATTCCATTCCATAGTAAGATAAAATATTTTTATAATATTCCCAATAAGCCCTTAATCACATTCCAATAAGGCAAAAATATTTCGCATTCACCAAAAATCTTTCACATTCCATTTTTCATGTTTATCGACTTTTTTATTAGTCGTGATAAAAGTCTTTCATCTTCCTTCTCTTCTGAATATACCCAGAACTGCCATTAACAAAAAGTTGCAGGACTTTCAACTATATTGCAAGTATTAATTTCTTTGTTTAATAGTGTAGCATACTATCCATATATATTCATTTTCCATACGAAGGAATTCTTGATTCATTTTTATTAGACGTGGTAAAATTTCTGAGTATTCATTTTCCATATGGACTATATTCATTTTCCATACGAAGGAATTCTTGATTCAAAAGCTTGTTGAATAGTGTAGCATACTATCCATATATACTTTATTTATTTTTTAGGGGTGAAAATTCGTGAAATTATTATTCCTTAAGGTTACGTTTGGTGTGTAGGAATGAAATGAAATAGAATGTTTATTTCAACCATTCAGTTGTTTGGTCTGCAGGAATAGAATGAAATGTCCATTTGTAAACCTATGGAATGGCCATTCCATTCCATAGTAAGATAAAATATTTTTATAATATTCCCAATAAGTCCTTAATCACATTCCAATAAGGCAAAAATATTTCGCATTCACCAAAAATCTTTCACATTCCATTTTTCATATTTATCGACTTTTTTATTAGACGTGGTAAAAGTCTTTTATCTTCCCTCTCTTCTGAATATACCCAGAGCTGCCATTAATAAAAAGTTGCAGGACTTTCAACTAAATTGCAAGTATTAATTTCTTTATTTATTTATTTTTGATAAGTATGTATTAAATCTTTTTTATCTTCTGAGTATATCATTTTTTTATTATTATTATTTTTATTATAATTCTTTTTTTTGAAACATTTGTGTCGTCATCTGGAACCAAAAGTGGACTTGCTTGACTTTTGAATCCTTAGTCAAGTTCATCGTTGGATGATTGGAGAACTTTGTTTGATTAGACTTTTATCAAAACTAGAATTTTCAAGAAATCTACAATAAAAAAATTTAAAAATAAAATAAAAAAAGGGGTATAAAGAATATATATGTAGTCTTTATTCGTTCCTTCCAGTAAGTTCTTGTATTTTTTAGCCTTTACATCAACTTCTTAGGTTAAATATTCAATCATGGTGAGTTGGTTTAGTTATAATTTTTTTATTTTTCTTTCCTCCAATGAAAAGGGCATTTTTGAGAAAATGTATTCCCTTCCAGATTTAATGATACTCGACCATATAATAAAATGGTAATAATCATTCCATTCCACAACGATTCACCGTATCACACCAAACATTAGAATGGTAATACTCATTCTCATTCTCATTCCATTCCAAGTTTCATTTCATTCCATTCATGCACACCAAACGTAACATAAGGGTATTATATTATTAATCGTGCCGTATTTGAGTTGAAGGGTTCAATCCGTTTATACACTTTTAATTATAAGTGTCATAAATAAATTTTTATTTAAGTTTCAAAATTATTATATAAACTTGTGTCCAATAATTTACTTTAGGGTGGATCGTGTCAAAATTTGTCACCCCTACATTTTTCATTCCGATCCAATGAGCACTTAACACTTCCCACAGCCATTTGGCTAAACTTCTTCAGAAAATTTTCTACTCTTAAACTCAATTTTAAAAAGGAAAAAAAAAAAAAAAAAACACACACACACACACACACACCCACATATGAACATCTTTCTGACTTAAAAAAAAAAAAGACACATTTTTCCCCCAACAATGAGTGCTGTGTTTTTGTGAATTAAGGATTACGTTTTTTTCCCTTCACTGGCATTCTTTGCATGAAGTTATTTTTACCATAAAACCAATCACAGATGATAAATGAAAGTGTTCGATGCCTTACTGGCTCACCTTCTACAACCAAAGCAAGGCATTGTAGGACAACAGTGGGTGTGTGCGAGTAGGAGGACCTACCAGTAGAAGGAATAGAAAAAAATAAAAAATAAAAAAAATAAAAATTTCTCCATTACCATTTAAGGCCTTGAATGAAAATATACATTTGAACCTCGGGAAGAGTTTGTTAAGACTACGAGCCCAGATCCTGTACAGTACCGTGCTGAAAATCAACCTATGTACAAGTAAATGTTTTGAAAAACGGAATTAATGTATTGACAAATTATAGCACCACTACAGCAGAGGATGCGGGCGCCAAGACCATTGGCCCAGAATGATCATCTTTTGGGTGGTTGAGATAATCCAACTTACCTTTGATTCTGTTTATGGATCCTCCTCCAAAGATCATGTCTTCACACTTGAATAATCCATGCCAACAGAGCAAGTTCTTCAACCAAAATGTTTGAGGAATCAAGATCAAGAAACTAACAGGTCTGTGCAGATGCGGCTAAGGCCAGGCTTTCTGTTTACATTATCAACTTTCCTCCAACTCTCTCTTACTCCATATGCTTCATTCCACATCCCTGCAGCCGCATAAACACTAGAAAGAGTAACATAAGTTGTAGTGTCTTCTTTCTCACTTTCTAGCATCTTCTTAGCTACTCTCCTTCCCAATTCCACATTCCCATGCAATTTACATGCACCAAGCATTGCGGTCCAAACGGTACCAGTAGAGCATCCTTTGCTCATTTCTAGGTCCTCAATCTCTTCCAGCAAGCACCACGCATCCTCGAGCCTTCCAACACGTCCCAACATATCGATCAAACATGTGTAGTGATCTTCTTCCGGGATTAACTTATATTTCTCTCTCATCAACTTAAAGTACTGCAAACCTTCACCTACCAAACCACAGTGGCTACAAGCATTTAATACAGACACAAATGTCACCTCATTTGGTTCAACGTCCATTTCCATCATCTGTTGGAAAATTTCTAGCGCTCGAAATCCAAATCCATGAACAGCGTAGCAGGTAATGATAGAAGTCCATGCAGCCACATTTTTCTCCAACATCAAATCAAACGCGGTTTGTGCATATTTCAAATTACCTGATTTAGAATACAAGTCAACCAAAGCTGTTCCTACAGCCACGTTATTGATATCCGCATTTGTCAGTGTTCGAATGAGTTTCGAATGGAGCTGTTTTCCCCTTTCCAAATCTGTCAAATCCCTACATGCTGCAAGACCTACCACAATTGTCAAGCAGTTTCCTTCCACCCTAAGCCTATCCTCATTAGAATACATTTTGACTAGTAAATTTAAACCTTCTTGTGGCATACCATTCTGCACATACCCTGAAATAATGCTTGTCCAAGAAACTACATTTTTCTCTGGCATTTCTTCAAACAAAATCCTAGCATCTTCAATCAAATTATTATATATATAACCTGAAATCATTGAATTCCAAAGGAAAATGTGTTGTGCAGTCAGCCAAGTATGAAAAACTTTTCGAGCTTCACCAAAATTACCACACTTAATGTACATATCAATTAAAGCACTTCCGATAATTGCACCATCTTCCAACGTGTCACAGCTATGATAAAAACTAGATGAAGTAATAAAGAGACCGTGAAGTTGCTTTCCAACTTTGAGTAAACAGAGCTTTGCACATGCAGTCAAAAGAGGCAAAATGATTGTATAATCCACTTCAAAAAGTCTGGCAATGTCATTCTCAGAAGCAACATAGTTCATCACATGTTGGTATCTTTGATTAAAAGCATAACCTCTTATCATTATAAGTTTCGAAGTGGCATTCCCTTCCACTCCATTCAGAATTCTCTCGGCAGAAGACACATCCCCACAGTGAAAGTACATGTTACTGATCAGCTTCACACAATTCGACTCAAACCCACTAACAATGGCGTACCCATGGACTTGCAAACCGAAAATTAAATCTTGTGCCCACACACAACCCGCTAATACAGTCGTAACAATAAATTCATTGGGCATGTTTAATTCACAACACTTCATCCGATAAAATAACTCCAACCCACGAAATTCCATCCCATTCTGGACATAACAAGCCATCATTGCATTCCAAGCAACCCAATTTCTATGTGGCATTTCATCAAACAACTTCCTTGCACGATTCACAAGACAACATTTTGAATACATATGCAAGAGAGCAGTCTCAAGAACGACATTGTTGGGTATAAATCCGGATTTGGTTACGTGGGCGTGGATGGCTAGACCCAATTGAAGTTTTTCTGGGTAAGAAGCGATGGCGCGGGCAACGGTGGCGAAGACAAAGTGGTTGGGTTGGGAGGTGGGGTGGTGTTGGTGGATCATGAGAGAGAATAGTTGGAGAGCTTTGTGAGGGTGGTTGAAGCGAGTGTAGGCGGAGATGAGAGAGTTCCATAGAGGTGTGTCTTTGGAGGGAACTTCATCAAACAGTTGGTGTGCCTGACTTAATAAGCTCGGAGTTGGGTAATAAACGTAATCGTTGATGAGTCGAGTTACAATTGTGGGGTTTGTGGTGAGGCCGAGTTTGAGGAACCAAGCATGTCTGTTCATTCTTGCACTCCTTTCTTCTTGAATGGTGAAACTGATGCAACTTTTGCTTCTCCTAACGTAGTACAAATTTCGTATATCATAACGTGTTTCATTTTCATTACCGTTGAAGTAGTCACTGCATTTTTTAATTCTATCAAGTCCTGTCTTGCATCAAACCTCAAATCTCCTAATATCATCCCCTAATTTTTGTGCACCTTTCTTATATCTATAACTCGACTTCTAAATACAAGTTTGAATTTTTTTGTTTTTGAAGTATTTAATATCTAAAATGAATAAAAATGACTGTATGAATGAATCGATCGCATAGAGAAGTACTTTTATGATTTTATCAATAATAATGAGACGTGGCATAAAGAAAATGATTTCGAAGTATTTTTTATAATTATTAACTTTTCTTTAGAGAGAGAGAGACCCTCACTCAAATTTTCTTTTGAGAGCAAATTTTATTTTTCTTGGATCATTTCTTTGATTTCCTTTTGGAAGAACAGTTATAGAATTTTAGTTAAACAAAGTGTGTGTGGTGTCTATATATATATATATATATATATTGAAATTATGTATAATTAATCATGGATAAATTGAAAGATATGTAAATAATTTTTATGTACTGGTATGAAATTATAACTCTAAAATTTATGATCATGTTTGTATCTCTGCTGCATCCTATAAAAGAAATTAGTCATGGAGAATTATCTTATGCACATGTAGAGGAGCCCGGACAATTTTGATGGGTTTCAATACTGAGATATGTGATAGACTATTGTAGAGGAAGGCTACTGATCTTTATAATTTTGGAAACAGAATATTGAGAGAGAGAAACTAACCTAAAAAAGATGAGTGTTGGGGTGGAGAAATAGGACATCATATTTATCATTTGTGATACAATTTTGAATATTTTTTCGTAAAGTCTAGCACTGTCCGTGGCATAATTAACTTTCTTTTTTAGAGCCGAAAAGAGAAACCGTCACTCAAATTTCTTTTTGGAAGCAAATGGGCACCGACAACTATAATCGTTTAGTTCTAGATTTTGCTTAAACACAGTGTATGTTGTATGTGTATATACATATATATATATATTGAAGTTATATGTAAACCATGGAGAGAACCAAAGGATATGTAAATAATTCTTATGTGATGGTTTGAAACAAATTGGATATTGGAAGGAAAAGAAAAGAAGGTAATGGAGGAAACCAAATATAATCTTTGGTATGAATTTTTAAAGGAAAAGAAAGGAAACTAGTAATTTGGAAAGAAACAAATTATATAGGATGTGTCGGTTTTGTTAACATTCTAAAAATGGGAAGAAATGCAAAGGGAAGAAAATGTTAGATATTTTATTAATTTTTTTATTAATATCAAATTTTCAATGCTTAATTTTCAGTTTTATCAAATAGCATCTAAATTTATGAAAAAAAGTATGGTAATAAATTAATTATAATACCATTTTTTTTATAAAAAAACATTCTTAATACCTTCCTTTCCTTTCTTCCTCCAAATATGATTAATATCATTTTTTTTTTTCTTTATTAATTAACCAAACATGATAAGTGGTGAACTATATCTCTCATTTAATTTCTTTACTCTCATAATCTTATCCTTGCTTTTCATTTCCATTGCACCTTAGTTTTAAAGCTGAGATCTCCGCATACTTCCATAGGCTTCCACATCCCAAAGTTCATGATCGGATGGGATTTTTGACCTTTGACCAGAGATGGTTGATGGCAAAATTATTTTGGCTAACTGCAATTCGATCGAACTGACTAGGTTGGCTTCACAGAGAGAAGCACTACTTATTCAAATTGAATGTCCCATCACCACTTTTATCAAACCTTCCTTCGTGTCACAACATATTAAACATGCAGAAGCTTAGTTCATAGATCAAACCAGCATAAATAAATAAACCTGCATTCCAGTTATAGACATGTCAATGCAGGCAGCAAAATGTACAAACTAACCATAATAACACCTGTAAATTGTAATCAATTTAATCCGACTTTACGAACCACCCAGCTTTCGTTAGGAATAAAAACCTAATACTCATTCGTCTGAATTGGAATATTTTATATATATATAAAATTTATCAGCAAAAATGAAGAGAGGCTTGTACAACAATATAAGAATACAGTTATACCTACCGCACTAAAAATATAAGTTAATCTAGAGATACATTGACCTCAATGGAGGACTCTGTTAAAATGATTTCTTTCGAATTATCTGCTGCTTTAGGGTGATCACGGCAATCAAACTTTAGCTTCACAAGTAGAGGTTTCATGATAACAAAGTCTCCCAGATAGCTGTTTGATTTCAACAACAACTCAACGCATGGATCCGTTCCCACCTCTGCATTTCTCTTTGGGTTCAAAATATCTGCTATCCTTGCTGCATTTTTCTCTTTACTGCCTTCAACTGAATTTTGATTTCTCTTCAGTTTTAAATACAGAGCCACGTAAACCACAACCTGGGTGAGAAACATAATTGAAATGATAATATTTAGAATTATATCAAACATATGATACCCATAAAACCTAGCATGCTGAATGTAAAAAAGCAATTTTCTTTTGACAAAAGGTTCGAGATTTCAACAATTTATCTAGTTTTTAAGTCATCAAATATTGAAATATTAAATAAAAGGTCCTTTTCTAATGTAAGCCCTTTAGGTCCTTTTTTAAATACAGAGCCACATAAACCACAACCTGGGTGAGAAACATAATTGAAATGACAATATTTAGAATTATATCAAACATATGATACCCATAAAACCTAGCATGCCGAATGTAAAAAAACAATTTTCTTTTGACAAAAGGTTCGAGATTTCAACAATTTATCTAGTTTTTAAGTCATCAAATATTGCAAAAATTAAATAAAAGGTCCTTTTCTAATGTAAGCCCTTTAGGTATTTCAATATTACAACCAAAAAAAAAAATATGCTTATATCTTACAATATATGCTCAAATGGTTAAAAATGCTTAAATTTAAGCAAGGATGTTGATCCTATATTGAATCGATGGAGTGTATTCAAATCGCACTCAAATATCTAACAATATATGCCCAAATGGTTGGTTTAAACCCATGGAAATTATTGAATAATAAACAAGTACTTGGACCACTCAAACTTCCAAAAATTCTTCTTAACAATTTTGATTATATTTTTTTGAACCACTTGGCCATGAAAGACTATAGCAAATACGGAGAGAGAGAGCCGGCGGGGCCGGGGGGGGGGGGGGGGTTGGTGGTGGTTGGGGTTGGTGTACTGATCTTAATGAGGGAGCGAGAGTCAGATTGACGTGAATATTTGAGAAGTCTTTCTAAAACAAAATTATGTCCCCTTCTCCATTATATCTCATAAAAATAATCAACCAAAAATAAAGTTTAAAAAAGAGGGAAAGGAAACAAAATCAAAGTTATGCTATTCCAATAAGGAATGCAATGAAATAGTCGCTAAGCAATTACAAACAGACAAGAAGTCTTTGCAAAGTCAAAATGAGAAAAATAGGACAAAATTGTGTTATTTAGGACATTTAAGTGGGTATCCTTTTCTATTCCAAATATTACTTAGACCTCCAGACCCCTACTTGGGAAAAATGGCACACAAGAATAACATTGTAAAAGCAGTCAGTAGAATCGATAGAAACAGGAACCCAGAATTCATGCTATGTTATAAGGATTCTACCCTCGAGGAATTTTTGTGAGATATAGATCAATTTTTTGGATCGTAAGATCATCTTCATCCTGGACAATTCAAAACCATCAATAAAGGATTGCAAGAACACATACTACTTCTTACATTTGAGTTTCTTTACAAGGAATTCAGGTGGGCAATGGTATCCAATAAAAGATGTTATAGCTTTTTACTAACCTCTTTGAAAAACGTGCTCCACACACACAGGATTAGTGTATACAACATAGCGACAAATGATATATTTTCCTATGGCACTTCAGATCAATCTAGTTCATTTAAAAATTGACAAAGCCTAAACTCAATTATATAAAATAACCAACAATCTGGACCTAAAGGTAAAAGATGATTTGGAAACTTTTTTTTTGCTATTATCAAAAGATCTTTGATAGAGTAGCCTTTGGCGTACCACCAAGTAGAAAAGAACCATGCTCTTATCTTTTCGGTTGGGTTCTCAATTAAGCATTTTTTGGATGGTTAATGAGGTAAATAAAATGAAATGAAGGGTGATCTACAAAGTTAGCCATGAAAACTTGAATAATGAATTTGATTCATTCAAGTAGCTTTTAGACTCTTTAACCTTAATTGGTAAGGAATTTGGTGGATTTCAGTAACCTTTCCAAGCCAACCCCCTGGGGTTAGAAACATCCCTATTCATGAGACCAAATAGTATAAAGGACGTAGTCACCTAGTTCAAATGGCAAAAGATGAACTGTTCCAAAACAATTCGGTCTAGTTGGACGGCAACTCTCGGAAAGATATTGACGATTGACGACCTAAGGAAGAGGCGCCAGATCATTTTTGAGTGTCAACTGGTGTTGTATGTGCAAGAGAGATGAAGATGGTGAATCACCTTCTTTTGCATTGGCCCGTGGCTAGAGACGGTTGGTCCATGCTTTGTACAATTTTTGGGATTCAGCAGGTCATGCCAGCTTCCGCGAAAAGCTTGCTTGAGGTTTGAAGAGGTTGCTTGGTGGGATCCCAAGTTAGAGATGCTTGGAGAGTGAATCCCTTGTGCTTATTGTGGTCCTTGTGGAAGGAAAGAAATAGAACGCATTTCGATGGGGAGGAGTCTCATAGGAGGTTGTTGAAATACTATGTACTTAATTCTTTATTTTTTGGTCTAATGGGAGATAGGTAAATCTTTAGAGGATCTATCATCTGTTGTGGATGGCTTGAGGGCATAGGGTTCTGAGTTTTGTTTTTTGTAGATGCTCTCCCCATTTGAGAGCTCTTCAATGAAATATTACTTATTAAAAAAATTAATAATTCGTTCTACTTTTCAAGGAACTTACTCCAAGGGTTGTGCAGCAATAGTTTTTCTTAATGGCCAGTTCATTTTTAAAATGATGGCTATCAGAGATTGCTTTATCAGATATAATCCAACATGGGGATGAACAGAATCCAACTCAAAATCCTGAAAATATCTATGATAAGCATCCAATCACATAATCAAGCATCCCATTGGTATTTGTGATGTTGTGGCCTGAAATTGGTGCCGGGTTGCGTAGCGGCCCGTTTACGATCCAACAATCCATCAGATGCCATGGGGGTTCGTGGGCTTGGCCCAGAGGAAAATTTTGGACCCGTTTTTGCTTATGGGTCATGGGCCCTAATTAGTACTCTCTTGTAACCCGACATATAAAGGCGCTTAGGGTTTGGAGTGAATTATCTGAAAATCGTAATCTCCGATTTTAAACATTGTGAAGACTTACGCTGGATCTCCACCGTGGACATAAGCTTTGCTGAACCACGTATAAATCTTTGTGTTCTTTGTGTGTGGTGTGTGACTTTTTTGTCGTGTTTCGTGATTGTTGCTTGGGTTCGCTGAGTTTGTCGTAACAATATTACTTGACCAAGATTGACGATTGTATATTGATCATTTTTTGCTCCATTTCAGTGTGAACTAATCCGACCAAAACATATTTGGAATATCTCAGTGTCGGTTTTGAAAAATGAAACCAACAATTAAAAGAAATATGCATTTGAACAAGTTACCTCACTTGTCCCTGGACTTGTATTGACGGCACAATCGATGCAAACTCTCCCTTCTTTTAAGTTTCCATCAGAAGTTGTGGTTTTCTCCTCTTCAGAGATCAATTCTACTTCTGGTGCCGAGAAGGCAAGGTTATCCAAATCATCATACCACTGTTGGGAAACACCAACCTGCAAACACCCAAAGGCCAATCTCTAAGCTACTAGAAATATTAAAATAATTTAACAAGGTTCCATATTTGAATAATTTTTTGGTTTTTCTTTTCCATTCTTTTTTAAAGTAAACTATGTGAAATTTGGTTAAATGCTTGATAAGGTAGACACCTTCTCAGAGGATGCCACTCTGCTCTCTGTTCCTGAGAGTTCAGCAGCAGCACCTCTAGCCTGGCACCATACACAACCTTCTTGCAAGGGTTCAACAAGCTCAGTGTCTTCAGGGATATCTACATTCAATTGTATGTCAATATTTCCTGTTGACAAGACAAAAGCAGGGATCGTCAAAACCGTTACCATCTATGAGGCTGCATCCAATGTTTGTTAGGCTCAGATAACAAGAAAAATATTTGGAATGCCCGTAGCCCGTTACCATCTAGCCGGGCCCTTTTTTGTTTCAACAGATAAAAGATAATGATTTATCTTATTTGAAAACAAAAATTCTTGTTTTAAAAGCAACAACAAAAAGGACTATTTCCATTCTTATATTATATAAAATCAAAGTGTAATTTCTTATTATTCTATCCTCCTTTTTCATTTACTTCGCCAAAACAAAGGAAAGGAGAAAAAAAGGAAGAAGAAGAAGAGAAAACTATGAATTCTTACACAATGCATTTTTATGTTAGGATTTCAGCAGTTTTGTCCAGCCGTATTTCAAACCAACCATTGATTTTATTATTATTTTCTGCCTTTTATAGAGGTAACACAGTTCTTTCCTCTAATTCATTTATACGGGCAGAATGGATCAATAACAAGGTCCCGGTACACATATATATTATGGTGCTGTGGTTAGTTTGACATGGTCAGCCAACAGCCAGCATATCATCTTGTTCAAACCAAACATTGATCTTATTATTATTGTTATTATTTTTTACTTTATAAGGTATTACAAAAGGGAGTAAGGTTTTACTTCAAGAATTTTGGAATTCCAAACCTAACATCTGTCCCAGCACCGAAATGAAAGCCAACCTAGATTGGTGCATGAAAGAAGTCTCAGAGACGATAAAACTAAATAAGCAAATAAACAAAAATACAGAAAACACTATAGTTGCTGCATGTTTAGATGATAGATTCTCTACTTTGCGTCATTATATTACTCTCAAAGAAATCTTGGAAACTAAAATTTTCAATAAGTAAAGCGGAAGCAAGGGAGAATTGATTCTAATTATCAAACACTAAACAGATAAAGATGAGTAGAAATTACTTATAGAGATATTCAAACAGAATTAGTGAAACAATTTCAAAAGCTGAAATGTGTTTATATAATTGATAAGCAATCCAATGATGTTACATCGTAGACAACAAAATTACCTGGCAACAAGCTGAAGCATTGAACATGATCTGCGTGAACTCCCGACAATACATTGCCACTGTAAACATCAGCGGAGGTTCGAAAAGTTAATGAAATTTAACGGGTTAAAAGGAAATTATGTTACACCAACATCCCTTTCAAAAAGAAAATATACTTACGCAGCGTATACTCTCTCCAAAGAGGAGGACACCCAATAAGGTAGTCCAAGGATCCCAAAGTTTGATAAGTGAAAGCTTGAAATTGATCCAGATTCTCTATTGAATTTCAAAACTGTCTGACAAACTTCACAAAAACACTTATCACAAAATGAATCTCATTCGATGAACTTATATCTAGACTATAGAAATAAAAAGCATTGCATCCATTAAAAGCCCTGGTACCTGTATCACAAATGATAATATAATCCTGAAAGGCTGCTAAAGATGACATTAGACCAGCATACTGAATTCTCTCGAATGAATAAATAGTATTAGATTGCTGTTGCAACCAATCACAAGGCATCTGCTTCAATAGGGAGGTCTTCTCCAGTATCATCTGTCCACAGAACTCCGATATCTTCGGAAACCCTTTGGGAAATCAATAGGTTAACACTTGAAAAAACTAAAACAGAGAACAATAAACCACCTAAAGGATAGAGCAAACCTTTAACCACTTCTTTAATAACCCCCGAAACCAAATCCATAATCCATAACGTCTCAAAGCTGCACATAAACAAATCGATGATAGCAACTCTAAAGCCATGTTGATACAATAGAGATAGACATTGGAGATACAGATCGATACTGAAATCACAAGTTCAGTTTAGAAATTTATATGGTTGGTACCTATAATGGACCATAGGAACTGATACTGGCAATACAATTTGGTGCATTCAAGATTGTCTTCTCTCTTTGATTTTAGATTTGTTAATGGGAACTGGAATTTCATTGAAATAATATTTGCGGAAACTAAATTTATATGGTTGGTACCTATAATGGACCATAGGAATGGATACTGGCATCACAATTTGGTGCATTCAAGATTGTCCGCTCTCTTTAATTTTAGATTTGTTAATTGGGAACTGGAAAATCATTGAAGTTTTTAACTCGATCATCTTTGGAGAAACTTTCCAAGGTTCCATTTAGATTTGAAATAAACTGCTGATATTTGACACTCATTTTAAATTTTAACAAGAATTTAGATGTGCCACCAGTAACAATGAACTATGTTATCGAAACGAGAAATGAAAAGGGGATTAGTTACCGAGCCCTGCTTGCTTAAGGCCTATACCTGACTAATTTGAGGATTTGTTTTATTCCTGGATTCATCCAAACAGATCCATAATGTCTACAGAGAAATATGTACAACAGATAATAGGCAATCCTTGTTGAAACACAAACTATATTCTGGCACACATATAGTATGAAGATTGAAGACTCATCTACTATACTAGAGGCCACATATTCCTCATTCAGAAAAATAAGCAAACTCCAAATAACAGATTTGAAAATCAGATTGTCACAAGTGCCGAGTAAAATAAAAGTCCTTATCTAGTGTTGGTCCCATCTATGCGGGGTGTTGCAGGGGAAGACTGGAGATGAACCTAATATTTGTCATTACTTTGTGCGAAGTGGCTGCTTTCACCCTCGATCTCATATCGTTACACTTATCAGTCTAAGTTTTAACAATTGCACCAAACAATGATCCCCATCTGTTGATGTTTATCATGTGAAAACACAATTTACATCCAGAAATAGTAGGATATTTTAGTTCATCCTTCTCTAAACAGATTCCTATGAGAACTACTTCACACTAAAAAAATTAGCTCTCTTCCCTTCTCACTTTCTACCAAAATATTGAAGCACAAAAAAAAAGGATTATAAATTTCAGCAACTACTAAAGTAGAAAATATTTTACAGAAGAAAAAAAAAGTAAAGTAGAAAATAACGCTTGATGTCTTAACCTTCTATACATATAATATCTAAAGGAGTATCAGAATATTGAGATGAAGTGAATAAGAAAAGTAGATTTACTAATAAAATTGAGGAGAGTTTAAGAAAAGCACCTATTTATGAAAAAAAAAAAAAAAAAAGAAGAAGAGAGAGAGAGAGAGAGAGAGAGAGTACGCTTAGGTGGTATGGACACATAAAACGTAGCCCGTCAATGTAACAGTTAGAAACGGAAGATTAATTTGCATAGATGGTAAGAGACAACGACACTGGCCAGAACTCACGTAGATGAATTCATCTAAAAAGGAATCTAAAAAATTAAATATAATAGGAGACAAGAGGTGTATTAGATTAAAATGGAAAAAAAGAATTCATGTGACCGACCCCAATTGTCTGAGATAAAGGCAAGGATGATGATGCTGATGATGGTATATATCAAAAGGAGTATTGAATGGCTTTATCACATCAATGAGTTGAAAAGAGTAAACAGTTCAAGCATATATACCATAGCATACAATTTGAATGGCTTTAGTCAAAAAGACAAAAACAAAACAGAAAAAAGGTGCAGAATATAAGGCTTACTTGGTAGATCGAGTTATTCCATCTGACACAAACGTAATTGCTCTTCCATCTCAAAAAATTACACAAAGTGACCATCTACTTGACCTGTATTGGACTATCCAAGGACCTTCAACCCTTCTCTTGAGCACTTTTAAAGAATCTTAAAGTACAGCATACTACTACAACTTTCCAGCAAGGTGGACATGAAGAGTGCTTCAGTTGCCACACCACTCTGGCACCTCTTCCTTAGGTGGGCGTAGTCTGTGATTAGTTCTTTATTCTTTTGGTTTCATGAGAGGAACTGCAAATCTATGAAGATACTTTTATCTTTTGTGGATTGCCCGAGGGTATAGGATTTTGGCTTGTGCAGTTGTATTTGAGTTACAATAAGAATCTAGTAAATAGAAGACTAGAGAAATTGAAGAAACATACTCAAAAAGAATGTGTTAGTTGTTGAAAACCAAAAAAGAAAGAATAAGAATAAAGAAGAAAAGGAAGAAAAACAGAATTTTCTTTTTTTCCATTTTGTATACCCTCCAACATCCTATTAAAGAGCCTAAAAATAAGAAGAGCAAAGAAAGCAGAATGAGAAGGGGGAAGAGGAGGGGGTGGGGGGAATGGAGGAAGATTTCTCAGTTTTTCCATCTCATATGGCCAACAGGATTTATACAGGATAGGGGACCTATGCATATTCTCCTTTGGCTTGTTGACATCTCCACCCAATCGCGGCACTCTGGCAGGCGTGCATACTCCAACTCATTCAGACACTTATTGGGACTCTCTTGGAACAAGATGGGACGAAAGTTATCCCCACCCCATTTGGACACTGACTGGGGCTCTCTAGGAATGAAAAAGGATGAACCTATGGTTATGTTAATTATATTCATTATCTTTGTTTTTGCAATTATTTGCTCAAAAGGCTTCTTTATTTTAACCCTGACCCTCTTCTAGAACGTCTATCATCCTATAGTTGTACATCCATGTCCATAACCAGACACAGACACCCACAGACACAAACATATAAAGATACTCTCTTCTTCTCCAAAGGCCCGTTTCTTATTTCCCTGATTTAATCAATAAAAATTCGATATTAATGAAAGCTTTCAGTTACTTTGGAACACTTCACTTCCACTTACTGCCAGAGGTGTATTTACGAACAATATTCAATCAAATATAAGAAGTATATTAATATTCTATTATGTCACTAGACCTTTTTAATGGGGGATTAGCTACCCCAACTCTCACAGGATGTCTGGTTACCACAGTGCTTTTGGTAATGATCATTTTTGACATTGATGCATCATGCAACCTCCAAAATGGTCATTACCATTTGAGATTATGTGTGATGCTTCCGACTATGCTACGGGTGCCGTCTTGGGGCAGGAGTTCCTCAATCAAATTAGGATAACAATACACTATTGTAATCGAACATAAAGGAAAACAAACAAGTTCTGATGATATAATGTGACTTTATGAGACAACTAATAAGGGGTGAAGCTAGAGCAAAAAGAAAGAAGCATTTGTTCTGTACTATCCAGGAGAAAAATTAAAATGACTCTTACCTACGGTTAAGAATAAAGAGATTATCATCCAATGATTTCATCAGATGCCAAGGAAACAAAAAAGATTCTGAGTTCAATTCATCAGACTTTATGTCAACGTCTCTCTTCATCGAAAGCTTATCCATGATCCAGCTCCAAAGAGAATCACTTTTCTTACTAGCATTGTCGATTGGATAGAGTGTCTCCAAAACCCTCTTCTTCATATCAGCCCTCCTGATGGCATGGTTCTTCAGTCGGATATGAACACAAGTTACAAAATAAATGTAGAATTAATTATTGGAAGATATTAAAAATAAGAGAAGTAATAGCAGATATAGCAACATCATAACAAAAAGTGTCCCAGCACCTCCTTTTTTCCAAATTTTAAGATCAAAAAATAAAAAGGGGGAAATACTTGCATAAATCAATGCAAAAAATTTGCTCGTGCTGGTATGCGGTAATGATACCTAAACTATTGAAGATTTAATGGAGAAATCAGTGGAGGAAAATCTTTCACTAATTGATGTTGTTTCCTATCATTGAAGATTTGATGTTATAGGGGAATCAGTGGACAAAAATCCTCCTTGTTTCCTATTTTCTATCTCTTTCCATTCTCATAATGTCTTCTCCTATATAAAGGAGCCTCCACCATTGTATTGTATATGAATTGAGAAAGAGTTATAAAAGTGATGTAGCCCTTTGGGCTCTTTGTGCCGTGGATGCAGGCCCTAGTGACTGAAACACGTAATATCTGTGTGTTCTACTTGTTTTATTTATTTCTTTGCTTCCATTTTATGGTTTACAACATGGTATCAAAGCCTAATTTCTCTTCCTAAGTTCGGACCCTATTTTGGGGTATTCCCTTAGCATCTGAAATGTTGCCAAGGTTTCTCGGTGCATTGTGAATTGTTTGGGCTGTCGGTTTGTTCGGCACTAATGTTATTTGCCTTTGTCGTGTCTCAAGCAGTTTTTATTGACTTCTTTGGGCTGCCGGTGTGTTTGGTAGCATTGTCTTCGTCTTTGCCGTGTCTTCAGCAGTTTTTATTGACTTGTTTGGGTTGTTGGTGTGTTTGGTAGCATTATCCTCGCCTTTGCCATGTCTCCGGTAGTTTTTTGTTCACTTGTTTGGGTTGTCGATGTGTTCGGTAGCATTGTTCTTCGTCTTCTCTCTTCATCATTCACACGTGTTGCTCGTCATCTCAATGGCAAGTTGGGCATTCATGCTCCAACTTGAGGGAGAGTATTGAAGATTTAATGGAGAAATCAGTGGAGGAAATTTTTTTAGTAATTGATGTTGTTTCCTATTATTGAAGATTTAATGTTATAGAGGAATCAGTGGAGAAAAATCCTCCTTGTTTCCTATTTTCTATCTCTTTCCATTCTCATAATGTCTTTCTCCTATATAAAGGAGCCTCCACCATTGTATTGTATATGAATTGAGAGAGTATTATAAAAGTGATGTAGCCTTTTGGGCTCTTTGTGCCGTGGATGTAGGCCCTAGTAGCTGAACCACGTCATATCTGTCTGTTCCACTTGTTTTATTTATCTCTTCGCTTCCGTTTTATGGTTTACAACATGGTATCAGAGCCTAATTTCTCCTCCTAGGTTCGGACCCCTATTTTAGGCTATTCCCTTAGCATCTGAAATGTTGCCAAGGGTTTCTCGGTGCTTTGTGACTTGTTTGGGCTGCCAATTTGTTCGGTAGTAATGTTCTTTGCCTTTGCCGTGTCTCCGGCAGTTTTTATTGACTTCTTTGGGTTGCTGGTGTGTTCGGTAGCATTGTCTTCGTCTTTGCCGTGTCTCCGACAGTTTTTATCGACTTGTTTGGGCTATCTGTGTGTTCGGTAGCATCGTTCTCGCCTTTGCCGTGTCTCCGGTAGTTTTTTGTTCACTTGTTTGGGTTGTCGGTGTGTTCGGTAGCATTGTTCTTCGTCTTCTCTCATCATCATTCACACTTGTTGCTCGTCATCTCAATGGAAAGTTGGGCATTCATGCTCCAACTTGAGGGGGGAGTATTGAAGATTTAACGGAGAAATTAGTGGAGGAAAATCTTTCAGTAATTGATGTTGTTTCCTATTATTGAAGATTTGATGTTATAGAAGAATCAGTGGAAAAAAATCCTCCTTATTTCCCTATTTTCTACCTCTTTCCATTCTCATAATTTCTTCTCATACATAAAGGAGCCTCCACCATTGTATTGTATATGAATTGAGAGAGTATTATAAAAGTGATGTAGCCCTTTGGGTTCTTTGTGCCGTGGATGCATGCCTTAGTGGCTAAACCACATAATATCTGTGTGTTCTACTTGTTTTATTTATCTCTTTAAATCTTCAATATAAACAAATGTATTTTTGGGGGGGTGGGGGGGGAGGGATGACAAAGAAGAACCACAAAAGGAGCGTGAAGAAGAATATTCCAAGAAATTCAAGTAATAAAATAATAATAATAATAATAATCAAACACATGTAACAGAATATTAACAAATTTAAAGTCTACAAGTAATTCTAAATTACTCATACAGCTCATCTTAATAAATGCATTTAGTTGATCGTTAATTTAACAAAATAACAGCTCCACAGATACTCAATTATGTCTAATGATCGCGGCTGAGTCACTTGGGCAACAGTGTATACAAGTTGTAGTCCCGCAGAACAGAATTACTGATTGCAGTTACAAAAAAATTTAGTACTCGGGCTTTTTCTTATATACTTATATAACTCAAATGCAAATGTAAATTGAAATTTATAGTCCATTTTTTTTCTTTTCTTAAAATTAATCGTTGTATGATTCCCATCATTAAAATATGAACCTAAGCATGCTTACCAATTAGAGAAGTGAATCATGAGAGCTCTAGGAACACTAGCAAGAAGGCATATAGAGATTTATTTGAGCATGCGGCTTGCATAATGGGCATTTTTTTGCCACTTCTTCATAATGCATCACAACTCACAAATATTCACCTAGTATTAAGCTATGAAATTCTAACATATTCAAACAACCTCTAAGCTCCCATTTTTTTGTCTTTAAGCAAGTGGCTTGTATATTTCCAGCATTCTAGATATCAAAATTAAGCTCTCTACTACTATAGCAACACCAATCGATTCACCAAACTAGTAAAGCCATTCACACATAAGAACAACTATGCAACCCATGCAAAATATTTGTTCTTCGGATTCTTTATAACGTGGGACCTCAAACACATGTCTTGGCTCTCAGATTCTAGTAGTCTAGGTCATACTAAGAATCTTCTCTTCAATTTTACCACATATCACATTTTTAATGAATCTCAATATGTATAAAACTATAGGTATGATGTTTTGAAAAGCCTATAACTTCCCATTTAATGGGGAAAGGAAAATTTATCGTACACAAGATTTGACAAAAATGAAAGAGCCTAGACACAGTTTGCACGTTTCTTCAAAAAACTTCTGGTGGTTTTTTTATCTTCAATGATAGTACTTCTCTACATCTGAAATGCAAATAAAAATTTGGGCAATTCAATTTATGGCTATAGGATCATTTGCAGCTGCAACAGCATTTGCCTCCTACGACTATGGTTTCTATCACAAAGAGCTAAGAAATGTGAGTTTAGGTAAATAAATTCACTAAGGAAAATGTAGGTACCCTAAGCTTTAACCGTCTTAAAGTTTTTTTATTTTTTATTATCTATTTTTTTTTTTTTTGGTTTCATATTTGATACTCCCTTGTTCTCCAATGTAAAGCTTTCATTTCATATAACCGGAAAAATCTCAATTTCTTCTCTCCAATACCTAGTGTCTGCCAAACAACTAGACATGCGGCAAGCTTGACATAAAAACACTTGTATTAATAAAGGTGCATATGAGATATGTCAAAATTAGAAAATTAAGACTAAATCTACTTGTATACATCAAAATTCAAATGAAAGGAAAGGTAAAGGCATCATCAAACAAGCCATAACGCAAAAAACTTCCAGGCACATACCTCTGAGTCCACAAAATACAGGTAACCTTCAGCAGCATCATAGAAAGAACCAGCAGGGCGCACTATCTTAGCAGATTCAAACTCTCCATCCTCAAAACCTGGGGAAGAACCGATCTGACATAAAAACAAGATTTAGCATGGACAAAATAGTCCCCCCCCCCCCCCCCCCCCCCCTTCATTTTATGTTACAATAATAAATTAATATAAAATTTTAAGGGCCATTTGAATGTAATTCGCAGCAATATAACATCCATACTTACACAGTCCAAAATCTTGCCATTGCCATCAAATATGATAATTCGATGGTGATTGATGTCAGAGAGGAAAATGCGATTTCCACTTTCATCAACAGAGATGCAGCCTGTGATAAAGGATGACGATTCGTTAAAGAGCTAAATTATAAGTCAAACACTGCATAAAAATTGAGTGATAAAACGCAGAACCTAAAAAGCTTGAGGCATTTACTTTCGAGTTTAAAGATCAAAAGCATAATTTAATAAAACAAACCATTGAGATAACAAATATAATCTTTTCAAATGGCCATTGGAATTAACTTATCCACTATCATAAAACAGGTTTCTGTTCATATCCTCCATATAGGTTAAGCTTGAACCAGCAGAAATGGTTGTTATGCCTCAATTGTAAAATTTACAAAATTAGACAGTATTAAATTTTGTCTGGCGTATAAAAGAACAGGATCAATTTGGTATGTTATGCCTTTGATCATTTGAACCACCAAGATCATTTTTTTTAATCAAAGAAAAAAAGAAATCCACACCCCTTTGAACATTTATATTTCTCTGGTTTCTGGCACTAGTCAACCAAACCAAAGCAAGCCAAACTAATTTAAGGCAACATTCTGAACCCCCAAAGATAAAGTAGATGAGTGCCCATAGATCCCTGACACTTGACAGTGATATAAATGATCCACTACTCAGCAATAAATTAAGATGGACGCTTCTACTAATCTTATCCACCTTAGGCCTTTATCCCTTACCACTGCCCAAGAAAAGGACACCACATTTGTAGGGAGTCAGGGACCAAGGGCAACATATGATAAAGATCACCATATTCTTAATGGAATCAAAGAGACATTAAACATGTCACAAACCTGGAAAAAAAAAAAATGGATCCCTCATACATTGCCTGCATTAGCTGGTCGTAGTTTTGGAAAACGACCATCAAAAGATTAATTCAAAATAATATTCTCTTGGCAACCCAGGGAAATTAGGAATTGAGGGCATTCAGATATTTAACACTAGGAATAATATAATTCTGGTCTACTCTGGACCAGTTGGGACTGGTTTCGCAATTAAGGCAGATATTTGTGCACTCTTAGAGAGAGTAAGCAAAGCTTCTTCTATAAGATTAAAAAAATCGCACAGTTGAGGGCGATTTGGGCATAGTGAAGGGAGATTATAACATTTAGTTCGAGAATTTACAGTAACTTTATGATGAAATTTTACATAATTCTTTAGAAGCTAATATTTGCTGGATCCCTAGAGTATATTTTCTAATTATAATTCTTTTTTTGTTGCTCAAGAGAAAATGGAAATCTGAAGGTGTATGGAAATTGAAAACCTTGAGTAGCACAAGAAAACTTATATGGTAACTTGTAAAAATATATGCAATTATAAGCAATCCATGTACATGTAATCTATACCTGGGAAGTAAAGAAGCATGTTCCGCAAGGAAGAATAAGCATGTGGTTCTTTGATGACTTCAGTTTGCTTCATCCATGTGCTTTTCAAATTATTCACCAACTTGGGATTCTCATTGTGCTGAACATTTAAATTCTTGATGGCTGTGTATCACGACATTATTTTAACTCAGGTACATAAGTAACATAACTAACAAAACAATTTTCCAGCTCTTAAAATAAGTAAATAAACTTATCATAAAATTTTAAAATGCATCATAAATAACTGAACTGTGCAAATCAAATACAGAAAAGAAGTACTATTAACCAAAAGCAACTTACATATGCTGTCCTAGATTCAAATGCAGAGATGTTGGGGTTGGGGGAGAGAGAAAGAGAGACAGAGATATTGTCACAGAGACCAATTGCACTCTCTACCTCATGGTATCTCTTCTTTTTAGCATTCAATTTCCACATCATCATCACAGCTAATTTCACTCATTCCTTACATTGCCAAGTGGCAGCATGTTATACAAAGACTTGCCAAACAATACCAAACAAACCAAAAAGGGATGTCCCCTAAATATAATACAATAAATGTCAAACTATTTGGTGTCTGTTAGACAATACTTTCAGCTTGCCATTATAAGGCCATAATTTATCAAATCACAAGCTAAGATGAAATCTCTCACTACTCTCGCACCATCCTCCTCACCTTAATCAACATCCTTCTTTATCTTCCCACATCCTAGCAACAAATTCTACCTAAACCACGTTGCAAGTGCAATCACTGGCTATTGGAGCACATGGAGAAACTGTGTCAACTAGCTATATCTCGTCTTATCTCAAATTTCTCCGACCTCAAAATTCCCTATATGCATATTAAACAAAGGAAGGGAACTACTACTAAATACTGAATGTATATTGTGCGGATCTTCTTGACTCAATACCAAATCCTCCTATTCAGAGGTAAATATGGTGTACTTATGGCATATTGTGACTTCATTATTTTTTTTCAAAAGGTTATTGTGACTTCATTATTCTTCCCAACTTTGGTTAGACTTCCTATCCAAACTCAAAACTCTTGAATCTCCATAAAACATTGAATAATGAATTTTTTTATCCAAAAAGATGTAAAAGAACGGCACTTATCAAAAAAAAAAAAAAAAAAGAAAGATGTAAAAGAACGGCAATTGTTATTCTTTTCTGGTAGGAGCTTTTTTATCAACTGAAATTTCTCAAATCTTCTAGTCAGTCTAGGCATACTGCAACACATTCACTGATGATTTAATATCTCCATTCTTCTTTAGCTATTCACTTTTCTATTTCATTCCTTCAACGACTTTTTCTCAGTCAGTCCCATATTTAAATCAAAAGAAAGGAAGCATTCTTTAATGTTCATGTAGAAAGGCCAAAGAGTTCACGGTTCAACAACATCTCTGATGTTTACATTGTTGCTAAAAGAACTTTATCAACATGACAAAAAGGAAAATCATCATACCTTTGTCAATAGTTCCAAGATCCACGTCCCACTCATGGTAATGTAAAGAATTCTTGAAACCTTTAAATAAAATGTAACATGCCCCATCTGTCATCTAAATACGTAAAAGATAAAGTAATGAAAATAAGAACACCTAATAAAAATACTAGCAACATGTTTTAAAGCAGAAAACCAAAACCAACATAATAAGTTAGACAGTAACTGAGCAACGAGTGATAAAGAATATAAGCATTTCAAAGTTGCACACAGCAGAATTAACTTTGATACCTAGTCGTGCTGTTTATGGCTCAATATCAGAACATAAGACCTGGTTGATATTATCAAAAGTTATTTATCCACATATGCATATGTTTGTGCACAAACCAGTTAGAAAGGGTGACATAGTCCACATTGAGGGTAATACTAGGGGAAGAGAAAGACCAAAGTTAACATGGGTAGAGTTGGTAAGGAAGAATATGATACCGTGTGGTTTGACTTAGGATATGGCCTTAGATAGAGCAGAATGGAAACAAAGGATTCATGTAGCCGAGCCCAAGTAGTTGGGAAAACGGCTTGGTGGTTGTTGTTGTATGCATATGTTTGTGTATGCATACAGTGATATATCATATAATAAACCTTTTCAGAAGTGTGATGCCATATGCAAGAGAGGACATCAAGAGAATACCAAGTTACAAATAACTAAAGAACATTATGTGGGAAAAAGTTATAGCCAGCACTACTGCTTCTACAATGCTTCAAAGTGTTAGATGAGTTGCATTAGAAGGAAGCACAACCCGCCAAATTGGATCTGAAAATTACCCTTCTTGTTCTACATTATTAATTCATGACGACCTCAAGAAGTACAGATTGAGGCTTTGTTAAAAATTTTATCCATGAATTTATGTAAGCCATCAAAATATGCTTTCTTGCATGGACCAATAAGAGACTGCCACACAGGTCACTAATAAGGTGTCTCATTTGCGGGGATGCCATGATTTATATTAACGACTCTACCCATCCTAAGAGTGAATTACTGCACCCAGAACAAAAGCTCAAACTAAGGATAGATGCTCCTCACTGAAGCAAGGCCGACTCAAAGGGTTAATGAGTAATGCCTGTTTGAAAAAGTGAATACTTAAGATAAGGTGAATGCTTGCCTCAAGGGCACCTGATTAAGTGCCGCACCATTGGGAAGTCACCCCCAAAGGCACCTCACAGTACACATGACATCCTAAAGCTTCACACTTGTCTGGTGGAAACACAGCCGAAGAACCTCAGATGAGCTTGACGCTAGTCAACTGTACTTAAAAGCATCAACAGTGAATATCACTTGATGCATAAAAGAATTAACTTAGGCAAATTCAAATTATAATTTGATAGTGAAATATAGCACAATTAATGTAACTCAAACAATACAACTTGTGTTTCACAAAGAGGACTTCAAATATCACTATGCACATCATTGATATTAATATAATAATGGAGGATACATAAACAACACATAGAATGAGGAGAAAATATGTGTACGGCTGCTAATGACCATATAATATGAGTGTCTGGGCGTGGCTCAACTAACAATTACCAATTTTGAACTCAGCTCGAACAAGTCCCAAGCTCAACTAAACTTAGTAAGCTCGGATCAATCGGATTTGTATAATCCTCGGCTCAGCTACGCAAAACAAACCAACTTCCAGAAAAATAAGAGAACCAATCTTTTTTAGACTGAGATTCAGAGAAAAGAGAATAACTACTTTAATTCATATTGGGGCTAACAAACAAATCTCAAACACCACTAAATTAGATTCTGATAATACACAGGGCATTGCAAAATCACAAATTAACTAATACCAGGAAAAAAAACTTAAATCAATAATTTAAAAAAGAACAACAGGGAAGTAAAAAAGGAAAAACATAAATGGGGCTTGTTTACTTAAAAAATGAGCTTGACGAGCAAAAGAATGAGCCAACCCAAATTGTTCATAAACAGTTTCAGTTATTTTAGACAAGGTCATTACCAAGTAAGGGTTCCTCTCGCTAGAGAGAATTGGGAGCAACAAATTGGGTATAGACCTGACTTTTGGGATTATTTGTACAATGTGACTGCCTTCACACTCGAACCTACATTGAATGCTTGACAGCCGAGCTTTTACAACTGACCCAAACAATGACATGTGAGAGAGATAAATATTTGTATTCGAAGAGAGAGCTGTTCCAACTTCAAATAAACAACAGATGAAAACACCTAATTCGTTTTCAGGATCATAATTTTCTAATCCAAAAATATTAAGTTTGTTATATATAGTTGACAAAAAGCAAATTTTTTTTTTTTCCAGATCAATGATAGACACGTTCAGAAGGCTATTAAACTGCTATCTGAAGGTAAGGTAGTATTTTGATGTAACATAATCAGTACTGAAATATCAGGTATTATTCTGTCATGACAATATCCTGTGATGCATCTAATATACTCATTCATGATCACCGTATTTCGAGAATGTAAATCAATGATTTATACCTTACCTCGGCGAAATTCTTGTTAGACAGCAAAATGGGAAACGTAATATATTCCATCATGGTTATCTGGAGTAGACGAGAATGAACAGCATCAGAGAGAATTGAACTGCCAGACTGAAAACCCATAACATGGAGAGAAGGATACCTATAGCCACAAAAGAAACAAGCACAAGGTGATCTACCTGTTCTATTGGACATTAAAATCATTTGAACTTAAAAAGTTAATAGTAACCCATATACAACATTCTTCTACCTCTGCTGAAGTGATTTTACTTTTTCAAACATAATGACAGGGTCACGATCTGATTTTAGAGAATCCTCAAGGAATGCACCAGCAAGAACCAAGAAGACTCCATCTATCCTAGAGAGTTCCTTGCTATCCTTGGTTTTATTCAACCAACAATGATAAGGGCCTGTACATTCATTTCAAACTTTTATAAAAATTTAAAATGGTGGAAGGAGTGAGGAATTAGTTGCATAAGCATCTCAATTCATATTACCATCATGTTGGCTGCCGCAGGAGCAGCATACTGCTTCATGATTCAATCAATAGACCAGGAAACACAGATACAATCACACTATAAGTTGAATTTATACGAGCATGCACAAAATTGAATCAACGAAATAATCAGATACTGCAAACTTTTTACAAAAAAAAAAAAAAAATCATTTTCTAATGCTCCAAATACTCATTTGATCATTGAGAAAATTAAATAAGAGGATGATAAGTGATTAATTGTAAGTCAATATAGCAAGATTAACCCTTACAATTGATTATACACTCTTAGAGTGCGGAACCTTGATGAAAAGGGGCATGTGGGAGATTTCCAATATGTATAAATTCTCATTATGCTAGTTTTTCAAGGCAATAATGGTGGCTGAGGAGTATTTGATCCCTATAAGAACTTATTTGGGAAGCTCAAGTACCCTTCAAGGTTGCTTTGCTGCCTATATAGACTACAGAGAGAGAAAAAGAGAGAGAGGGAAAAATAATAATAATAAATAAAAGAAAAAATCACATAAAAAGATAAACTGGTCTGAAAGACATGGCTCTGCCTAACAGAGATGTTATGTGCAAGCAGTAGGCACTCACTACCTTCTTCTTCGTTGTTATCTCATCCTCTTCTATAGGGTATTCAACCCTGGATTATAAAGGAAGAGGTGGTTCCTAATATGTTCTGTCTCTGATTAGAAGTTTGCCAAGGCATGGGGGGCTAAAGTCCGCCTTCTTTGGAGGATCTCAAGTGCTAACGGTGGTGCTTGTGGAAAGAGAGGATTCAAAGAAATTCTGGAGTAGAAACTTCCTTCCAACTTGTGGAGTGCCTATGGTTTCTACAATCTCCTTCCCCATTCCTGTATTTCAGTCTTCTAATGTATAGGGATATGCCAAAAGAAAACATCTTGGGATGCCATTATTTGCTCAAAAGGGTGTTTACCCTTCTTTTTCGTGCTTTAAACCTTCCCATGCATTTCTAAATTATTTTCCTTCTAAGAGATATATCCCTACTTTGAAAATTTTTAGAAGAGAAAAAGAAGAAGAATAGAGCCAAAAGGAAAATTGAGAAATAAAGTACTGTTGAATAGATAACATAGTTTGCTTAGGTTAACAAGACCTCTGGGGATGGGCAATACTAGATTGGAAATAAAAAAATAAAAAATAAAAGATTTCAACAAGCAAAAAGCATGATTATTCAATAAATAAGGAAAAGGCGTGCAGGCATATTTATACCACTAAAAGAATTGGCATGTGATTATACGCATATGCCAGTTTCTCTTAAGCAAGTACAAAAACTGATTACCCTGAACAAATGAATCCAATTTACCTTCAGGCTCATCTAAAGCAGATTCAATGAAAGACAATAGATCACTTCTAGGAAAAGGCTCATGTGATGGTTCTGATACAGTTGAAAACCTGAAAGAGACTGTCATTGGTAAGTTAGGACTGCTACCAAGATCTGAAATAGAAAAAGATGCAAGTTCAAACTAGTAACATCTAAACATTTAAACGTCACAAGTCTAACGACCGAACATTACTCTCTCCACTACTAAAAATAGACTTCACCAAGTGGTTTCGTTTGCCAAACAATTCTACAACCTTGACTATTAGCAATCCACAAATAACAGCCTAATTATGTAAAATAATGCTCTATTACAACTTACAAGTGAAACGGGATAAACAGTATAAGATTGTACAAATAAACTAAAATCAGTGTCTCGAGTAGAAGAGGAAATTTGATTATTACCTCTGAGCATGACAACCTCTCTCTAAAAGATTTCTGTGGATGTTTGACCATATTTGAGGTGAAGGGTTCAAATGTGAGGCGAGTAAGTTGAAATATTGTCTTGATAGTTGATAACTATGACCTAACAAGAAAAGAAGCACAAAAAGGGTTGCAAATTACTTCCTGCAAATCCAAACCATTGTCACATTGTGTTGACATTTCAAATTTTTTTTTTTTTTTTTGGATTTCAAAAACAATAAATAAAGAACTAACGCTTTAATTAATAAACTTGAACAAAAGATTCAAGAACTCTCCGAGAACCAAAAAAGAAACAAAATAGAGCATAAAATATAATTAGTCTGCTTGACAAGACTACAATAACTTAATAATCTCAAACTTATGATCCGATTCGCTCAGAAAAAAACAAAAGAAAGAAAAAGAAACTCGCAAAAATTATGCTTCGTTTGGTTAGTCAGAAAACACAAGAAAGTAAAAAGAAACTACTGTAATAGATTGAATTATCAAAAACCCTGCGGCCTCCGCTGCAAGCAACTAATGTGGACAGTTCAGTCGAAGGTTTAATGTACGTTCTTTTCCGTGCTTTCTGAGTAACCAAACGGAAATATAGGTTTTTATGGAGAAAATAGAACTGAAATTCCACAAAAATTATCATCAACTTCAGACGTAGTAATAAGGAAGACACAACAATTTGATTGAAAAATAATAAGTCCGTGATTTCACCTGAGTAAAGTTGGGGCAAAACCCTAGAAATTTCTTTCAATCGCCGGAAGGCCATTTTCTCTGAGAAATACAAACGGTAACGTCGGCGGGAATTGACCGCCGGGTAGGGCTAATGAAATTTTGAGTCGATAATTTTCCTTTGGGTGGGCTTCGTCGTTTGGGAGAGGCCCAAATTGAAGCAGAGAAAGGAGGGTTTTTCAAGTCCTGAAGCGTGATGTGAGGCCCAATTTGAGAAATAGAAAAAGGCTGTTAGGGTTTTCAAGCCCTGATACGTGATGTGAGGCTCAATTTGAGAAATAGAAAAAGGCTGTTACGGTTTTCAAGCCCTGATACGTGATGTGGGGCCCAATTTACCAAGGCGGTTCGGGTTTTAAAAGTCGATGTGAGGCCCAATTTATAAGAGAAATTCTGTACGTGATTTATTCCGGAATAATTATTTTTTTTAATGTAATTTGAATATATAATTTTTTATTTTTCTTTTTTGTTACTACTAAATTTCAAAATGCAATTGGATGTGTTTCACTTGAGAGAGAAAATATAGAACATTAACAAGAAAAAAAAATTTTAACGAATTAGCTGTTATGACATACTAGTAGTATATAAAAATATACTGAAGAGAATAGATGGATGGAATAGTATTGATTTTCTATTTGATGAGTGATTCCATCTATTCTTTTATTTTGCTACATCTCTTTAGTTAATTTACAAGTAAATCAAAATATGAAAAATGAAAGGTTTGAAAAAGCTCCTCTTTTATTTTGTCTATTTTTAAGACAAAATAAATTTAAATGATTTAATTATATAAAGCATATATATATATATATACACACACACACACACACACATAAATATATATGTTAGGAAGAGAATAGATGGATGGAACTGTAATTCTTATTTCAATTCATGTTGTTTGTGATGATATTGAATTTCTCCGAGTAATTCCATAGAAATATTCCATTTATATGTTTATTTTGATATATCTCTGTATATGTTAATTTACAAGTAAATAAAAATATGAAAAATGAATTTCCTAATAATTCATTAATGATTTATAAAATTTATTTATAAGCTAGTTCCCAATAACTTTTCTTTTTCTCAATTTTTTTTGTATATAAAAAAAAATTAAAAATAAAAAGTAGGCGAAGAAAGATGATTTTTTTGTCCTTGAACTAGTTTTATTCATTTTTTTTTTTTTTTTTTTTTTTTTTGGCAAAAGGCATTCCATTAATCTGATTTAATGCAGCTACGCCATTTTTTGTCGTTTCCTTTTATTTTATATGTTTTTAGAGGTGTATCCTTCTTTCGAAATCTGTCCCATGGGCTTATGTGATGATACTAGTTGGGCCTTGTGCCTTAATTTTGGGCCACTTGGCCGTTCTAAGTCCTCTTGTAATAAAATAATAATAAATAAATAAATTTTAGCTCGCTGACGAGCAAAATACTATCTAGATTTAATGACTTAAATTCCACTAACACTCTGATTTTCTTTAAATTCAGATTTATTGACAACCAATTTTGTAGAGCAATGTTTATATAATTTAATTATTGGCAACAATTATATATTTCATGTAGATAATATTTGCATGAGGCAAAATTGCTTGAGAATGCTTAGAGATTAATTATTTCCTTTATTTAGTCCAATTGTATCTCTTCAATTAGATAGGATTCAAATCATTGTAGAAACAAATTATATGCCTGGATGTGTTATTTGCTAGGACCATAATAATAATAATAATAATAATAAGCTTTATATAGAATTTTGGAGAACTTTTTGTTGCTGATGAGTATTAAAGGGAACCAATCTCAATCGCTAGTTTCTCGGTGATTCCTGCAGTAATTGTACATATGAAACAAATATTTATATTAATTATTTGTGCCCCTATATATGTTTGGTTTGTATACCACTGAATCAGCTAAAAATCAAGTTATATATGGTACTGATAATCTTTAATTAAGGATACTATAAAGTGCTTGTGAAGAATCAAACATCACCATTATCCCAGGCTACCATTTATATTATATATATCAATCCCTCCAATCACAATTATAATATTAATTAAGATCTTGGAAATGAAGCTGTCATATGATCGATCTTAATTAATATTATGTAATTTATCAGTTCAGGTAAAAAATCATTTTTATTTGATTTCAACATTCTTTGCCTTCTGATGCTGTTGTATATGTTTTGTGACCTATAAAATTTTATTTACCCTTTTAAACGAAATAAAAGTGATGGAGTGATGCTTATTTGCAAGCCAGAAGATGCTTATCTGAACTGAATGAATGCCTTCAAATAAAAAGACATTAATTAACTGCGCGCAATTCTAATCCTCATGCATAAATTATCAATATCGATCACACGCACACGCACATACAAGTGCATTGATGAGAATGAAGTCATATGTCATGATCTTAAATAATTCGATCTCATTCCACTCCCGATAAAAAAATCATATATATATATATATATATATATATATATGCTTACCCCAATCAGCCCAAAATATGAGGAGTGATTTACGTAGACAGTGTTATTGTCCTTTTATCAGTACGCTTACCAATATTGACTGGCATTTGATGATAATAGGAAAATTAAAATATCTCTATACCTTTAATTATAGTTTATACAATCATTTAAAAAATAAAAATAAAAATAAAAATAAAAATAAAAATCTATATACCATCTAATTAATCACATGACTGGCAAGATGGATACTACTAAACTGTCAAATATTTAAGTTCTTGTATTTGAAACTAAGAAATGATGAAATTAATTGTACACTACTAGTAAGTCCCTTACTTGATAATAATACGGTGACTTTATATATATATATATATAGATCATAGAATAATTGGTAGTAATTGATAGTAATAGATTGCTCAGTCACAGAAAATCACGAAACTGTTATTATTATCAAATCATATATATGGACTCAAGTGACTTTAGTATATATGAGCAGCTTTATTGGGTGATGTACGTGTTTGAGAAGACAAAAGCAAAGTCCAACACACCTAACAAATAATTTCTCAGGGCCAAACAAAACAAATTAAAAGCTTCTCTCTCACTGTTGCACAGATAGATCTGTCACCACCGCGGATCAAGTGGGTGTGTCAGATTCCGATCTCATTCGACCTCAACTTTTAAACCTAGACAGAAAGACATACATATTACACACACATACATACATAAGGAGAACCAATGAAACTTGAAAACTTTCATGTTCTATATCTCTCTCTCTCTAATCAATACTAGTCCATATATGTTCTTTTCTTGAATTCAATTTAATTACCAATATTAACTACCAATATTCATCTGAAAATTAAGTATGGTACAGCTCAGAAAATACACATTAATAGCTAGCTATATAGTTTTTTGGAGTCTTTCATATGAATTTGTATTGCACAATCATGGATTCTTCTTCTATAGTATTGAATATGAAAAATTAATTAACAAACTATATAGCTATGATTTGCAATAACAAATTAAGAACATATAGATAAATACGAACCAAACCCATCACATACATAAACTGTTCTTTCTCTAGCTCGATCTCTCTCTGCAAGATATATATCTCTTAAATTAACAGCAATATATAATCTCATCATCATCTGTATTATCAAACATATAAGTAAAAGGGCACATACAAACATAGATCATAAAAATATATATAGTGTCTCCTAATTGCTATACATTTTCTAGGAGGGAAAATAACCGAAAAAAGTAATGCTAACGATGATGATGATGATGACCATAACAAAGAAGGTAACAAACCTCTCACTGAAGACAAGCAGTATTGATGGCCTCCATAAATATGACAACTAATAGCTCCATCACAAACTCTAGCTTATATCATCAATTAATATATCTTCCACTTGTTCACGCCACTGCACATTTTAATCCCTGCTAGTTTGATATGGGGTTTGGCCCACTTGGAACTTCATGAGCACCGGCTTCGAATTCTTTACGAGTAGAAGTAGTTGAAGAAGAAGAAGAAGGTCTAGAACTATGTGAATTTTGCTTCTTTTTCGGCTGCAAATTCATTGTAGAAGAAGAATCCATGAGGATCAGCCTATGAGCAGTGGTGGGGATTGAAGAGGAGGCCATGGAGGAGGGGTTTGTCAATGGAGATTCCGCGGAGTGAACGATGACGAGAAAGATGAAGAGAAGGGCAAGAAAGAGAAGGAAAGGGTGTTGCTTTGTGGAGCTTTGATCAGAGATTGAGGTGGTTCTAAATGTTGCCATGCAATTCAATTAGGTTTGAGAAACCACCCCCAAGAGCCCACAAGAGATCTATATCCATGTACCACTTACACCACCAATTAAGGTTAAGAAGGGAGACCTAGGAGAAGAAAAAGAGGTGAGAGAGAGAGAGAGTGTGTGTGGGGAAGGAAGAAGCTTCAGCAAAAGTGGATGGAAAGGAGGTTTTGAAATTCGATACACATTTGTTGACAACCAAACAACCAACTTAACATGGCCTGTATATCCGGATTCAGCGAATGAATTTACTCATATACCCCTCTTCTGAATGTGTATATTATTTGAAAAAATATAACCATGGGCTTAAATTAAGGAAGCAGATATTTAAATCATTATCTCTAAGTGACTAAATTGCACTCAAGAAGACCCGTACCGCTTGGATGATCCAGCAACAGAGAGATCCGAAGAATTGTCTTCCTCATTTGCTTTTATTGTCAAATCAACACTTTTACCAAAATTATCTTGAATTTTTGTAAATATAATACTCTATATTTGAAGAGAACAAGTTAATATGTCATTTCCGTTTAGTTGGTCACAATGCAACACAAAAAAATAATAATAAATAAATAAACATTAACATCAGAAAATAAAGTGATTTAAACATTATTAAAGTGATTTTTTTTTTTTTTTTTTTGGGTTGAAAGAACTCCAATATAGCTATATTTGTAAGGACAAGTATCTCTAATTCTCTATGTATCCACATGCAGTGGGAAATATGAGACTAAACAAGGGCATTTTGGTCAATCTGCCACGCCTAATTCACCCACTAGAAATGGGGTAACCTGTAAATTATGCAAGAAAGAATATTTAAAAAGGAAAAGAGGCCGCGGAACATGAAAGGAAAAAGATGGTGGAGGGGGGTGGTGGCTTTTTCTTGCTTGGGGAATTGTCCAAGAAATCTTTCTTTTGACTTACTGGTGAACGCTAAGTTTGGAAAAATAGTCTAATGTTCTTTGCTTTGTTTTGCTTCTTTTCTTTTCTTTTCTTTTTTATCATTTTTTAATAATTTTTTTTTTATATAATGAAATAATTAATGAATGTTCCTTTCATGCCCCTTCTAAGGCGTGACATGTGTATACAATTTCATTCAACATATACGCGACAAGAGTAACAAGACCATTATATAAATGTCAATAGTTTATATAAATATATATATAAATAGTCAATGACATGTTCAATTTCTTTCAATATTTATCAGTTTACTATTTTTTGACTTGCATTTACATAAATCTCACCACTCAAGAATGTTATGTTAATCAAACTAATTTGTTATACACGTACTTTTCAAATTTATAACTGTGTTCATCCACGTTTCTATTCTATTTGATAGGTATACAATTAAATTGATTTATATATTTGTAATGAACAATTAAATTATATAGTTACTTCAGGGGACTAATTTGTTACTACTCTATAATTTTCACCTTTTTTAAAACATGCAAATCACTTACATTTATATTATTAAATATATATTTATAAGATAATTTGTCAATAGTAAAAGTTAACATGCAGTGATTATTTTGGTCATCCCTGACCAAGGTTTAAAATATGCTACACTAAAACTATGGCTAAATTGAATACGTCCGTCCAAACATGATTGTTAGAAAAAGATACATAAATTTGATAACTTAATTATTTCTTCATTAATATATCGACTCCCTCCAACAAAAAAAGTCCAAAAACTCGGAGATACAACAATTGAAATTGCCCTAGAATTGTCGTGCCAATTTTCGAGCTTAAATTGGATGAACCTAGTCAAGCCTGTGTATATGACACACATATACATATACATATAATATATATATATATATATATACATATACATATACATATATATATGTGTGTGTGTGTTGTTCGTGTTGTTCACGTTCACATGCACTCTCATATGATTCATATCATCACCTACCATTTCCTATATCCTTACAGTATAGTATATATGATAAAAACACACACACAATCACCAAGAAAAAGGACACAGATTGCAAAGCATCGTATTCTCTATCAGGGCTACTGCTGCTCTCCCGTTGTGAAAGGTAAGCCCAAAAGACTTGTCTCCATCATGGGCAAAGCATGGGTCCTCCTGACTACGGTACACACGTTCTAGTACGTCCAGGTTAATTCTGTAATTTAACCATGAATCGTCCTTTTAATCAGTGGCTCATCATATCATGCTTTTATAACCTGCGCATTGCCCAAAATGAGTGACCACTAGTAATTACAATGATGATACAAAGTATAGTAGAACTATAAGCTGAAAGACCAAATATTTCTTGGTCAATCTATTAAAAATAAAAAGAGAAAATAATACACATATGTGTGTAATTATGTATACATGAGTATATTGCATGTTTTTTGGGGTAATATTATTTACCAAAAAAAAAAAAGAATATCATTAATTTTAATATGGTTTTGTGACCAAAAAGAAAAAAAGAAGTAACATCAAACCAAATAAATATCATTATTTAATTATCAAATTAAAAACACAATTGCATGCTTACATAAAATTTGGCTTTAGAAGTCAATAGAGTGGACAATGAAGCTAATTTCCAAATTGATTATTAATTAATAAGTAAGCGAAAAATCAGGAATGATTTGAGCTTCTTAAAGACAAGACAGCTCTATATTTTAGTGATTTTGTTCTTGTGGTAGGTAAGCTGTTAGCTAGCAGCAATAACAAGAACACATTATTGTGAACCAATTTGTCAACAAATTGAGGTAAGCATTCAATCTTGATCTTCGAGCATTATATATGATTTTGTCATTTACAGAATCCAGCTATTTTGATAATCCGTCGGAGTTGTTTAACTGTTGAGTTCTAAATGATGAAAATTTGAATCTATTCCAAGTATTTCTTTGTATCTTTGGTATAGTTTCTGTTGAGGCCAATAATGAACTCAAATCGGACTTCTCACTCTCTTGGTCGGAAAGTAATTGCCCCTCCTTCTCTTTGAAGATGAAAAAATTATTTTAAAAAAATATATCACTTTCATTTAAAGTGGCTTTTTGGGATAGTAGATTGGGATGTAACATAATAAACACTTGATAATCAAGAATAATAATGTGGAGTAAAATTTTCATTCTATGCAACTAATCGATTTGATATTCTTTTACCTTTCGAAAAAAAAAAAAAAAAAAGATATTCTTTATACTCTACCTTAGCAACAAGAAAAGATATTCAATTCCCAATCTACGGTGTGAAAGAAAATTTAAATTATATATATATATATATCAGGAACAAAGAATCACTTCCAAACGCATATTATACAGTACTTAATTAATTACCATTAATCATCTTCAAAATATTCTTTTCCCACCCAGGAATCGGATTCTCATTTTGAGAATGGTATGAAATTTGGAGATCTGGACAAATGGTAATAACTTTAAAAGCCTCATTACTCCGGGGTTAACTGTTATTATATATCATTTATTGTCACATCTTAGGCGCAATTTAAGCAAATTTCAACTATAGGTGAGAACTTGTAAGCAAATTACAACTATAGGTGAAAACTTGAGTGTGTATATGTTATTTGAGCACTGATCCGAAGGATGTCCTGCGGTAGGGCCCAAGTGGGTTCCACCAAAATCCTTCCAAAGGAGAGTTGTGTGCCGCTCCCCCCCGAGACTTTTGTTTGTTATGTAGTTGTTGGAGAATCAATTTTTTACATACATATTACATGCGCGCACACACACACACACACACAGTTACACACATGTTTATGGTCAATGGCATACCAAGACACTTGATTTAGTAGACACTCGACACTTTCTGGTCGCCAAAGGGGCTGCAGATTTGGGTGTGGTGTTATGCTACCTTTTCTATGTAACCAACCTGTCTTTTAATTGAGCTAAGTTTTCAAGATTTCCTTACAATATTAATAATGCCTTCAAAATCCCCATAGTCAAACAATTATAATCAAATACCCAAAAGTGATTAGTCAAATGTTTCAGGAAATTAAAGGAGAAGAACATTATATTCCGATTGTCCCATATTAAATAATCAATTATTGACAATTATCAGTTCATAATCACAAATTACAATAACGTAACAAAACATATCACCCAAGTTACATACCTAGCTGATGATTCTATGAGAAGATCTATTGTGTGTGCAAAGAAGGATTTGGCATCACACATAAACCCACACACATCCAAAAAAAAGTAATTTTTATTTTTTTCCTTTCATTCTTTTTCAATCAATAATATCAGCTTCACCCTTCAAAAAAAAAAAATTAATAGTATCAGCTTCATGTGATGTTGTTCCCTTCTCCAGGCAATTAAGATTGTGGCCAAAATCTATTATGATGGTCAACATAATCATGCTGTTTTCCTTCATCCTAATTGTACAATGATAGGATGTTATATATGTATATATAGATAGATAGATATATATATATATAGGGTTTGCCACACCCACATTATACGCAAAAGATATTACCCATTCCTTAGCATTCAATTTGGGGCCCTCCTTTCTGTTTGGCTTGTAAAGTAATACCTCATCTACGCTGTAAAGATGTCCCTCTTTTCTTCTACTATATTGTCAACCTTGGCTTTTTGGGAAAAATAAAATAAAATTTGGCTTATTGTTTTTGCAATATTTTGTATTATTTTCAGATTTATTTTTCTCTAAAAATTAAAAACTGTTCAAAGTAAAATTCACTTAAAAATAAGGTCACTCAACTTGTCATATGTGTGGTTCAAGATTTTTCAGTACCAAACTCAACGAAGTCTTCCCCCATTATATTTAAATTTCAAAATAAGCATATAAGGTAGAGATTTCAATTAAGGGATGAAGTGTTTATATAAAATAAAATGTGATAGGAGATCGAGTTGGAATCCTGTATTGTAGTGCTTTGTCACATCAGATGGATCCCAGCCTTTGCCACGTTTGTGAGTTGGAATTCATCTGATGCAGTTCATCACCATTGTATCAACTAAAATTGTTAGAGAGAACCGTACCCAACTTTATTTGTGAGGAATCGAGTTGG